AGTATGAATCATTTTTGTACCAATGCTCTGATGGATATGAGAGATCAAAGGTAACTGTTGTTTGTCATCCACTTCCAAGATAGCATTCAACTTACGAACGTCACACACCACTCTAGGCTTAGACATTGTGTAATTACCATCAGCGTCCTTTTTCTTTACAACCAACAATGGATGATTGAAACGTGTATGACTAGCAGATCTTTCAACAACACCCTCATCAAGCCATATCTGAATTTGTTTGGCAACAGCATCACGATAAGCTTCAGGCAAAGGATATTGAGCTCGCCAAGCGACAGCACCTGGTTTAGTATCAAGCTTAATAATCGAATCCGGCAGATTACACTGAGTATTCTTCATATCAATGCGCGAATTCTCTTCTAATAACCCCTTTAGTGCAAGTAGAAACGGCTGTCTCTCTTCCTCACTACCAAAAGGATGTGCGTTTGGAGTAATACCATCATCAATAGGGTCTGGTACACGAGGACCTGATTGAAAGCCATGTTGACTCACCAAGCCCGTAAGACCAATGCCAAGCTTGGACAAAATATCCATACCAAGCAACACAGGTACGTTTTCCTCAGAATAGAATGGAAATACTTCAAACAAATGGTTTTTATTTGATTTATTGTAGCTAATGTGCAAACGTACCGCACCTATTCTAGGCACAGTCGTTACTTCATGAGCCATTTGAACAAAGCTCTCATCATCATCATTAGCCTCAAATCCAGCAAGAGAGGTTCCTCCTAAGAATTGAAAGAACTTGTCAGTGACGCACGAAAACGTAGCACCCGTATCCACTAAGCCAAAGCAAATGACATTTTGAACCACAATAGGAACACAAATAGCATTGGTGGTCATAGTAGGTGGAGCACTAAATCTAGCATCGAACTTACATTGCTGAGCAAATATATTTTGTAGCGTATCGTCGTCCACAGACATGCTACTCATCTCTTTTTCAAGAAGAATAGACTGGGCACGATTCACCAGGTCAGTATCCTCAAAGATACCATGAGCTTCACTCATCACAGCATCTTGGTCAACATCAACATTGTCACTATCACCAGAAGAAGGAGCAAGGACAACATCATCCACCGATTGTTCAGCAGAGGAGACAGCAGGGGAAGAAGCACCTTTCTCAGCTAACGCACGATCGACACGAGCAGAGAGAAAAGCAGCTTGGATTGCAGCATCCATCGAATGTTTGCCACCACGTTTCTTAGTCATGGCACGCAAAACTTTTTTACCACCATTGCCCTGATGGGTGTTACCACCACCAGTACGAATAGCAGTGTTGCAGTGATGCATCTGCCCCTTTGGTCGAGGACCGTTACATTTGGAGCAAGTCCCTTCAGCAACATGTTCAGCAAATGTTTTGCCAAAACGATTAGCACTAGAACGTGGAGAGTTGGACGAGGGACCATTGGATCTCGACGAAGAGCTACTTTGAAAAGCGTTTCCACTAGAAGAAGGTGCGTACCGAGACTTCTTTGCTTCGTTCGAAACAGGTATGTCAGCAGCGCGTTTTCTTCCATCAAAAACAGAGCCCAAAGATTCTTGACCCGTCTCAATAGCCATCATATCCATCTTGCGCACGAGAGAGGACACATAATCAATGTCATAAAATGACGATTCTGGTGCCTGACTCATAGCAACCATTAGCAACCTAGCGGTAACCTTGGGGAAAGCGTCAAAAAACACCATCGCTACGACACCCTTATCACTGATGTCAGCTCTATTTCTCAACGTCTTAAACCGCTCTACGAAACCATCAACGGATTCTTCGTTTCCTTTAGTACAACGAAGAAACTCCCTAATTCTTTCGAATCTGAGCTGTTCTTTTGGTGTACCAAAACGACCGATGATAGCTCCCTTCAAGGTAGCCCAAGACACAGTGGAGCCAGATGCTTTCACAAACTCATCAAGCCAATTGCGAAGATCGCCGGGAAGACAAGGAGGAAGCAAACGATACCAGTGTTCGTCAAGATCAAGCGTGCAACTGCTCAACTTATCGGAAAACCGGCGACAACACTCCTCAATGTTGGCAAAAACTTCCTTTTTTTCATCTTTGACACGTCCAAACCATTGAAACAAAGGAAGATCATCAGGTACAGTTGAACTATTAGCCGCACCTTGACTAACCACTGTTACTTGGGAAGGACTCTGGTTAGGTGTGACCATAGAGAGAGCTTTCTCTATAGCCTCCAAGTTAGAGCACTTCTTTGACAGGGCAGCCTTCAAAGCGTCGACCTCTTCGTCCGACTTGTCCCCACTGTTCGCAACTTCAGCGATCAACCCATGAACCTCCTGACGAAGTCGCTCTACAGCTCCTCCGTATGAAAGCTCGCTTCCAACAGCTTGAACATCTGAACTCTTGTTCTGTTCTGCAGGAGATACAGTAGAATCATTCATAGTCATATTTTTGGTTTAAATTAGATAGGTAGGTTAAAATCTGGAAGATTCTGATTTACACGATCTTAAAAAATGTTAAGCACAAAGAATAAAAGGATTATTATTTGTAGCTTATAAAAAATGTTCGATATTATAAAAACAAGAAAAGACTTATTTGAATAAGATCAGACACAAAAACTAAAGATTTATTGATGAAGACAAGAGTTATTCTATTTATACTAAGTTCTGAATGCCAAAGTAGCAATTTATCTTGTACAACGCTTATCACATCTGGTGAACCTCAGTATTTAGATAGCTGAGATGCACTTCACTTATCATAGCTTGTCCATGTTGTTGCACAACATAGACATATCTACCCATCAAGAATACCTTAATCTTTATAGGCAGTTGTAGCCCTTCTGGCACAACATTTATCATTGATTTCCAATTTCGAGGTTTGGACCATCATAAATCAAGTTATAGATGTTGGATCCGAGCTTGGAAAGGTACAAAAAGTGTAATAAAGAGGATTTCTACAGACACTTGAAAAGGGACATATAAAAATGACTAGACATTAAGACTGAATAACCATTATTGAAAGATATTTCGAGATCCTTTATATACACATTATCATCGTTCAATAATTCAACCTTTCTTTAGCAATCTAGAAGCAGTAGAACAGAGTTCCTACGACATTTGTATAACTTATTAGTAGTTTTCAGGAAGCATCGGATTAGCTGGTCAATTGAGATTGGCGTCCTAGTGATCATACCATCATAGCTCAATTGGCCGTAACAAGTCCGAGCCGTATGAATACTCCCAAACATCTACAGCTTATCCTTTATAATAGTTTCTTCCATCATTAAGACTGAGTAACAATGAGCTACGTTTGCTCCGGCCATAGGTAAGTTGCCTAAAGCCCATCTAGTCCGACATGCTTAACAATAAAGTACTGATACCAAAGCTTTGAAAGTAGCATGTTGTTATAGCAACATGTTGCGAGAAAAAAGACAGCGTACATGCGCCACAGCAGCAAAAATTAACCTTGTTGAGTAATCATTTTTCGGCAATTTCGCAGGGGCTGACCTAATAGGCGCTATGGATCCATGAGAACTGATGCTACAGCTTCGATCAAAATTTCAAACAATAGTTCTCTCTTGGGTCTATACAACCAACAGTATAACAAGTGAGTTGGTGGTACAGATTTAGTAGTGCATGCTTTCCTTTAAAAATCCTCAAAAAAACATGAACACAGGCTTGTCCGAATAGAAGTTGTGGAATAACTATCATGATTGGTACCATTCGAAGCAAGTTATAATTCTGTACAGATTCACTATGGATTGGGAACAATAGTTACTATGAAGAAGAATGCATTTGAGCGATCAAAAGGTGCAAGACTTCAGCATACTATTGTCATCAATCCAATAAAACTCGCGGATTCTAACAAATATAAAATTGAGCCAAGGACAGCTCGAGGGTATTAGCCCAGCCAAATGTAGGGTCGAAGCTGATCTTGTGGCGTGCCATAACCTGCTTATTAAGTTCTTACTCTCAAGTTATCGTTAGATGCCAAACATTTTGGTGGGCCATACTTCCACAACTAGACAACTGCAGCTTGCTTTATTCAACTCGATTAAGCCTTCTAGTTTAAGGTATATATATATATTCTTCCCGCTGTGCTATCTGTACAATGTCGTTTGAATCGTCGACTAGGCCTCCCTATTTTCCCAATCATCCAATATGCTTTGTTTTGTGTAAATTCACCATATATTTTACTATTATGAGGCGCTATTTCTGACCTTGCATCAGATCCTGAATGTACAAACCGATTTTCAATTTTGATTTTTGAACCATCCAAAATCGAGATTTGAACTATTGATCCCAGTGCATTGAAAGTAGCATACTACAGCCAAATTTATGAGGAAAATGAGATTTCGTTCAGGAGTATGACGATCTACAGGGAAGTCTAGTAATAAACATTAACTACAAGGCCTAGACAACAATCGCAAGTCAAAACCCCATACAGCATGGTGCAAGCTACGTGCGACTCTAAATATCAACTATCTACTGTTGCTTTGTTGCAAAGAGATGATTGTGATTCTAAGGGGAGCAGCTTCGAGTAACTTTAAAATCAGCTCTTCGATAATTTGATCTTGACAAATTTGAATGTAATAACGCATTAATTCTAACAAATGAAGTCAGATTCAATTATGTTTGGAAATGAATCCAGGCATTTCAGGGCAGTGCCTGAAAGAGCCAATACAGAAACTCACATGCTGATTCAATTTCGTTTAAGCTCATAAACCTTCATATCTATTTCGTGATTTGACTAGATGTCTATTCGGCTTAAATGGTTCAGAGTGCTATAAATATAGCCAGATGAAGTCATGGAGAGCACAGAAGTGCTGTTAACGAGTTTGGGTAAAGTTTTTGTTAGTGCATTTCCAAAATAGACTTCTTCGCCACATTTTGTATCTCCTACAAGATAAAGCTTGGCTTTTGTATGCTACAAATGTTTATAAAAAGGCGATCTTTTGATCCGAATTATTTTGCTGTTTCTTTCCGTTTGTTTATAAACATTTCTATTTTACTATTACTATACGCATAAAAAAATGGGTTGCTGCATTTCTCATGATAATGACCAGGTTAGAAATTGGCAGATGCTGTATATCCGGCATATTCATTAACAAACTTAACAGAAGGTCAACACAATTGAAGTAGTCCTGGATGAGAATGGTGTCGCTCGTAGAGTAGCTGCTGGCCAAGGCACACATTTGATCAGAATATACCCTGACAAGGAGACCAAGATGGAAAGAAAGCCTCCAATAAAGCCATCTGAAATGTCACATCTTTCACGTCCACAGGCAGTATATTATCCCAAGAAAAATCCAATGTCATGCTTCCCAACCAGCACGAATCGACAAAAGATTCATCCAAATAACGGTATCATTGCCAAGGAAGAGCAACTAAATTCTGATGAAAAGGCTTGATTCTGCTCAGCGTTTTACTTGTACAAAAGACACTAATCCAACATACCCTAATTCCATCTCTTTCACACACACTGTACTCTATCTCTTACATTCGAAAAAAAGAATACATCCCTTCTTTTTTTGTTATAAATAAATCGTTTTACTTTACAAGGCAAATCTTTTGGGCTTAGAAATAACAATGGAGAATCCATTTTGGATTGTTCTTGACAATTGCTATTTTTACCTTTGCATTTGTTACGCAAATTGCATAAAAAGTGCTATTTATAGGCGATCAATCTCTTAGATTCCTAGTGGTTAAGCTGCTTGTGGAAGAGCTGTTTAAATTGCTATTGGATGAAGATGAGTGCATCGGAATCATCTGGTAGTGCCCTTTCTCTGAGCCGTTTTCCTTGGATAGCTTGTAGTAATTGTAAGCAACAATGCCAATGATGGAAACAAGCAAACTGAGCGAAATCAGTATCAACTATACACTAAAGATCAACTCAACACTTACCCCAACACGTTTTTAGGTGTCAAGACATCTCCGTATATCATCACAGAGAGCATAATAACAACAATCTCTTTACTGATCCCTGCGACACTCAATGTCACCGTATTTGTACTCTTGATGAGATACAGCTCAGCCAAAGTCATTGCAAACGCTACATGTTACATTTGGGAAAGTGAGTAGTGTAATCATACATCATTTGCATCCATCTTACCCAAGAGCCCGCCAATTGACATAAGTCCAAATGACTCGATGATATGTGATACTGTGTCAAAGTGTTTCGAATGCTGGAATTGATCTAATGGGTGTTCGAATACCAAGCTAAGTGTAAACATTGTAACAAACATCACAGGCGTCAAATGGTACAATGTAGCAATAGGATTGCTGATGCCCATGTTTTCATGCTGCAATAACAGCTGTGTCATGCTCCACCGTAAGCCGGATACAATCGAAGCAATCAATACCAACGCAAACCCCACTGGATCAAACTTTGTTTCTCCCTCCACAGTCAATATGACACCAGCTACCATTACCACAATAATTGCCACCAACAGTAAACGAGGTCTTTCAAATCCAAACATGAACGAAAACAACAAAACCCATATAGGTGTGCTGGATTTGACCATGGTATAAAATGATAGTGTGATATATACAAGTGCTGCATTTGAACAGCAAATTTCCACTGCTGCTGCTATTCCACAAGGCACCTTGAAAAGCAAATTTAATCCATCAGATCAACCATACAAAAGATCAAAATAACCTACGACTTTGAAAAGGTAGTCATTCAGGGACATACCAACTGAAGCACTCTTCCAGCGATTGCCTCCCAACCACATCATCAACGCTGTTATAATGGCATGAAGTCCTGCGTGAATAGAGCTGACCAGTAGTGGAAAGTTGAAGTTGAATCGATCACGGCCCATCAAGTTTTTGTTGTATAGAGATAGAGATGTGGAGAAGAAATACCATATGAGAATATACGACAAGTTTTTGATAGTGTTTTCGTGCTTTGTGATATATTGAGAGGCGACATCTGATTTAGGATTTGCGATATGAATGGCAATAGCACCTTTCTCTGGTAATGGTGGTATAGGTGATAATAGAAATGATGAACGAATAGGTGAATTCAGTGACGAATGGTAGAAGCGGTTCGCTTCATTCACATGGATAGCCGTAGGTAAAGACCCTCTTCTACTGTGCTGTTTTTTCTTTTGAGTTACAGGCTGTGTTGAAATAGATTGAGTTCGACTATGTGCGTTTTTCCTAGTAGTAATAGGTGGCCCAGTAGCCTTCTTCATTGTGGTTGTGATACGATGTGGCAGTAGATGCATAGTACCGGTCTGATCTCCAGTAGTTGTATTGAAATTTTCATTCTCTATTGTCATGGTATCGATCTATGTTGGAAAAGAAAAGGAAAAAAGGTTAAATGTCTGAAAACCACGTACGAATATATGTAAGCATCGATCATCAATTACAAGACCGCCTTTCGCACCAACATTAATTGCCTGTAAATTACGCCGTCATTTGATGGTGTATCACATATCATTACCATGCCTCTTAAGGGATAAAGTAGAAATCGGTTAGACACAGCAAACAGGGCAATGCGATAACAGACAAATTTCAAAACAAGTGTCGAAGCGGATGGATATATGATAACCGATAACTTGGAAGCGAAAGAGTCCATGTAATCTCATCATCTCTCACACATAGCATGCAAAACAATAAAATTAAGATCTTCAATCTCACCAGCATCAATCTTCTGTTACCAGCAATAAAGCTAGTGATGTAAAAGCAGTTATTCCACCTGATGATGAACTTGAGACTTTGGGCTCAACTTTGCTAATGTGTACCAACTTTTCTTCTCTCCTTGTTATCCCACAGCCCATTGCTATACATGAGTTGATGTTCATCACAAGACTTAAGGATAGAAACAATCTAAAGAGCTGAAAGAATTTCAGTATCTTATTGATTCTGCTAAATTCATCTTTTAACTTACCATTACCATGCAAAAAGCCAATAAAAATGACCTGTAACTGCGGATCTGACCCTCCTGAGATGATCCGCGTCTGTATGTAAGGAAGCGGTTCACGTACGAGCAGACAGTATGCTTGCTTCGCCTCTCACTACTCAGGTATATGTAAAATATAGTGAAAAGTGTATGCATCTTAGTCGCAATTTCTCATGTTAGAAGCCGTTTTAGACCGTTAGAATAGCACCTACTTCCTGACACCTTTGCTCAACTTTTTTGGGATCATCAAAAATCGACCAAAAACTATGAGGTACCCCTCATAGTTTTCGTCGAAAATCAAACGATCGCGGTTTTCACCATAAAAATGAAGGCTTTTACTATAGCATATATTAGATTAAAATGATTCCCTCAATCCAAAGCAACCCCTGAAATCTCTCTTGGGATGTCTTCATATGTAAAATCTCGACATTCTGGCCAAAAAACTCGGTTGATATTTTTTGATATTACTCAATAAGTTATTTGCATCATTGGGTGCGCCTCGAAGAGTACTCTAAGAAAGTACTAGGGAGTACAGCAAGATTATTACAGCTTGTATAGTCGAATCTCTCAAAAATGATCAATCGAGTCGCAATTTAATCATAAATCGACGAATTGGATCAGAACAACAATCGGAGATTTAATGTATTTTGGCTAGTATACTCCATTTCATATGCCCATCTTGAAGGTGATTGCGGATGTTGTTGGAAGCTCATACAAAGGGCACTGCGAAGTGATAAGTACAGGTTAGCCAGGATATTTTTTGACCTTTTTCGCGCTTCATATTGTCTGGTTAACTTGACTGCCACAAAATTCTCGGCAAATCCTGATGCAAAATGCCAAACTGTCTTCGTATTCAGAATGTTATACAATGCTCTTGCCTTGAGAGTTGTAACGCGGACCATATCAGGAATTTTGAGCTTGACTTACTACAGTAAAAAAAAAAAAAAAAAAAAAAAAAAAAGCCTAGATCAAATGTCCTGATTCGTTGTTAAACTATAAAGAGTGCGTGGCTAAGTGATCCTTTAATACTTTTAATTTTGCTGTCAAGCGTAACTGTGCCATGATGCGATCTTGAACAATAAAAGTAAATAATTATAATTTATTGGTGAATTTGTATAGACTAATATATAATGTTTTTTCAGTAATAAGATTTAGACCTAATGTAATAGTAAATCTACATGATGATTGAGTAAGCATGGTAGATGATGAAGAAATTATGAAAAAAGGTGTTATGAGGATGGAGGAAATGGATGATAATAGAAATAGGAATCATTTGAGGCAATGGTATCATTGCTGCTACTATTACTACTACTATAGTTGCTACTCGAGCTGCATCTACTGCTAGTGTTGCTATTGGTGTTGTGGTTGCCAAAATCAAAGTAGGAATATTCTTTATAGTGTTGTTCATCATCGTGATGCTGTTGTGTGAATCCTATAGATGTCCAAGATTTTATGAAATAGATAAAGTTTTGCTGTTCTTGCTTCGATATAACATCTTTAGGAGGCATTTCGGTTTGCTCCTTGATGATGGGAATTATAGAAGCATTGGCACCAGTAGTTGGATTGGATGTTGTTGTAGTTAGTGTATTGGTGGGAGTTGCCAACGTTTTATAATTGCTGTTATTAGTATGATTATGATTTATGTTAGGTGTGTAGAAATTCATCGACTTTCGACTAGGTGTAGTAACAGATGGAGTAGTAGACTTTCTGAATGGGTTAGACTTTTTATTAGTAGATATACATGTTGCAGAGTTGTTTGATGAGGCTGTAGAACTCGTAGATGAAGAAGAGTTGGATAGAGATCTTCTCGTTTTGGGCACAAGTGCTTTTAGTTTTTCCAGTTGATATCTCTTTTCTTCCAATTCCTCATCGTCTTCATTCTGATCATCGTTGGAATTATAAATTTTGCGTATTAAATGAGGATTTGACCATACATTGTTAATTTTTGGCTGTTGCTGCTGTTGATGATGCTGTGGTTGTTGCTGTTGCTGCTGTTGTTTTAGATTCAGTGTAGGAAAATCGTCAGTTTCTTTTAATGCTGCTTCTAGCATGTTAGCCCTCAAGTAGAAACAATCTTTATAAGAATACTTGCATTTAGGTTGGTTTGGATAATTTACCCAACTTGGTGCAAATACAAAAGTAGACATTGTCCTGTATAATATTTATTCCATCTTTGATTGCTTTTTTAATCGGCTCACTGTATCCAAGGTATATTGTAAAAAGAAAGAGCTTTTTATGGTGCAAGAGGAAAAGAGGAAAAAGGGATTCAAGATGTACAGTTGCAACGTCATATATTAGCCGCTGTGGACTATACAATCAGAGGGCCATTTCAACCCATTCGACCGTCGGATCTCAACCAGGACAACCCCCCTCCTCCTTTTACCCAGTAGTATGAAAAACATTTTTTCCTCTCTCTCTCTCTTTTTTTCACTCTTTTAAATATTCCTTAAAATGGCCTTGGCACCCTTGAGAAATCAATTATTCAGACCATTGTTAACATCCCAAGTTCGCCTTTCCAGCACAAAAGCCAATTTAGCAGCTTCACAGAATGTGATTCCTACGTGGAATGATTATTTCAAACTTAGAAAGAAGAGACGTGTTTACGAAGTAGCTTCATATTTGCCAAGCACAGTGGCTCCTGCTGCTGGTACCTTTGCCTACTTTTTACAAATGCAAGTTGATCCTTTGACAAAGGTGCTCGGTATGGATCCTTTGATGGCCGCTGTAGCTTCCACTCTTGCTGCTGTAAGTATTCGCAATGGGGATTTGACATGTGTACTGACCAAGCCTGTAGGGTTTTGGTGGTTTCTTGATGGGCCCTGTTGTAGGCAATGCATTCTTCAAATTGATGAATGGAAAGGTTGTTCATGCTATGGATATCCGTGATAAAGAATTTTACGAACACATCAAAAAGAACCGTGCAGATGCTCGTCTCAATTCTATCCGTAACCCTGTTCCCGATTATTACGGCGAGAAGATTCAATCAGTTCAAGACTATAGAGCTTGGTTAAGAAAGCAACGAGAGCATTACAGAAAGGGCGTTTTTGGTGGCGATGTCAATGGTCTCGAGGATTAGATCTTCACTAGAAATAAATAAATGGGAATTTTGTAATATACATCGACATCTGAGGCAGATTTATCCTGCAATGCGAACATCAGCTGCAATTTGACACTTCAATGTGATTTGAATCATAGGAAATGATGCGCACGCTTAGGACAACAGGGCAGATACAATCATGCAATGCTGATTCTGTGTAGCATAATACATTTTTTTATTGTAGTTGTTAGTAAATACAGTGTAATGAGCATTTAAACAGCACCCGGATTTGCATAGTTGGCAGATGGGTAAGTGGGTTGACCACCAACACCAGGCTGAGGATAATCACTTGATTGGAAGCTGGGAGAGGGAGCGTCGTTCACCCGAGTAGAATAACCAACAGCATCCTCATAAGCTCTCTTTTGCATGTTAGATGGTGCCTCAATATTTTTAAAGAAATGAAGGACAATGTATGCAACACCAAACACAAGAATCTTAAATTCACCACAATACATTAGAATTTGATCATACGATGATAAACTAGAGAGTACTCACAATAATGCCTGAAGCAAGAGCAAGGCCACCGTAATTCAGAGTAATAGCTCCGAGGCTATATATATATACAAAGGATTAGTTTCACAAATGTCGAGAATGGAGCATGATGTTGTAACTCACAAGGCATAGACTAGAATAGAAGTGGCACGCATTAATATCAACCCGTCTCTTTTGCTCTTTTTCTACAGTGTTACTTACAGATACCACGGCCCATAAATGAAAACATAAAGGATGCAAATTGAGTGATAATAGCAGGCAATCTAAATTCGAACACGGCTGTCATGATACCAAAGATGCTGTATAACTGTTAGCATCCGAATGTGCATACAACTTGATGTGATACTTTACATGACAAAGATACCTTGGACAAAATTGGGAAAGCCTGCATCGCCATGATGAATTAGAAACATGGCTCAACGATGCCCTCTGTCGTGAAATACTTGCCTCCAGTGGCTAAACATGTTGCAACACCTCCTATAATCATGAATGCTGCTACAATGATATTGATAACTCTGAAAACAATTGAAAGATTCATCTTTGTAAGTTTGTGAAAAAGTATAGACTAGTAGAAAGAAAAAGAGAAGAGCTTTTGCATTGTATCATGAACTTTATTGCCCCCGGGGGAGATTTTTCGAGTTTCGTGTGTTTGTGATGGCACTGGTGTATGATTGTATTGAGTGTGATTAGAGTGAATCAGCGGCATTGGAAACAAACAAAATAGAAAAGCAGGCATTTTGCATCTCGGTGAAGCAAACAGCATGCTGATTCTTGCACATTTTGTTTGTTTAAACCACTTGCAATTCCACTAGCAAACATGACTCCCAACCAGCGTTCTGCAGCCATTTCATCGAGGTATTATCATTGAAACACAGGATTCTGATGAGATGTACAGGTTTGTGAGTACAAGTCCGTTTACGCAGGCAAGTACCCCAACTATACACATATGAAACATAACATGCTCACTATCACGATTTACGACATGAGAATGACAATGAGAGTTGTGTCTCTTGTGGCCGTGTGCGACATGTCTGGCTGCTATTGTACAACTTTAAATCTTATGGTTCCTCAGAAATACAAACGGTAAAATCATTTTTCCATTTCTCATTTTGAATACAAGACAATGCTCTGTAATTCAACATGCGGAATTGGTGGCAGAGATTGCACAGCGAATGTCTTGAAACGAATCCAACAAATGTGATCTGTAGCTAAAGTACCACACATCTAGATAATGCAAAGTGACAACTTGTTGACATTTGGTTACTATAGCAACGAGTAAAATCGGTTGATCCTTTAAAGGTAGCATGCAGAGTTTTAGATCTCTTGTCATAGCAAAGCAGTAATTTGAAGTAAATGTGACAAATACAATAAAGTCTATTAAAACATTTTTTTTTATTAGAAAGATCAAATTTTGAATGATACGAATTTCTTTCAGAATATAAATTGAATACATTATATGCCTCGGTCCGAAGACGGAAGCACATTGATATTAGAGATGCCAGAATATGCAATTAAAAATTCATCATTAGAAACAAAAATTCGTATACATTACAAAAAGAGACAACAAAAAGTATGGTATAAAGGAAATGGATCCATCGCAAGTTTATTAAATGACATTAATGAAAATGTCAAGAAATAAAGAGAGAAAGACACAGACATCTAAAGTAAATGGAAAATGTAAGTGACAAGTTGCAATCAAGTGATTCGCTTGTAATGTATATCAAGAGTTCATCAGACATCCAAGGAAGTGTTATTGCTGACACAGAGAGGACTTTCCGATGCTCGTGAACTCCATACAGAGGAAGTCAACCAAAGTCAACTTCATATACGAATGGAACACCGTAATCGCCACGACGAAGTCTCTTCCAGAGAAAACTGCGAACACGGGATTTCATCATCATATGAACCGATGATATACAACAAGGCAAACAGTAATATGAATTTACCTTTTCTATCGATATATCTTGACAGCCAACCCTCAAACAACACGCCCAAGCCTCTAGCCCAGAGTAAGATGAGAAAGACATGTGGATGCGACTTTTTAGATCTATAAATGTATGAAATTAGTAAACAGCGATTAAATAAACAAAAGATTGCTTATGAAAAAGTTAAAAACAATACAAGAGATGTGGTCAGGAAGTTATACTGGCAAGTATCAACAGCACTCAGCGAAGCACTGCGGTTTATATCATCATGGTCGATAAGTTAAAATGAAGACAATGTATGGTTTTCATCTTCCCACAAATCAAAGTATGTTCCTTACAGTTTCACATGAATCAGACAAGAGCAACTTACCGTAACTAAATGTCTCTCTCGCTCGCTCATTTCCAGTCAAGAGGAAAGGGATGAAGAGAGGAGAAAGTGGTTTTGATGTACTTTACGTTCCATACATCTTTTTATACCTTTTTCCTCTCTGATCCAGAAAATTTTTTCACTGTGATATACTGTCACATTTGATGTCTTCCAAGGCATGGATCACCCAATTGTATCTATCCAAATCAATGAAAAGGACTGTTGCTTGGAAATTTTTTAGCCGCTGATAGAAAGACAAAGAACCTGAGCTCACTGCCCAGGTGGCTGAAAATGCTAGAATCTTCAGTAACCACCATCGTTTGCCACTTCCGATGCATGTAAACATGGGCCCATTTAACTGAGAAACAGGCAAAGCCTATATTGATGCTATGTGTTCTTCCAATGTCGAATAATGACCACCGCATTTGATTCAGTCACCATGTAGCTGTATAGCGCCCGGTTTGTACGTGTCAACTGCATTAAATGATGTATTACAGCACACTGCTCTACAAATGCCAAGAAAGTTGGATGAATGCATAGACCCAAGACGTTTCAGCCCTATCACGTTTTTTCCGTTTTCGAATGAATGGAATAGTTTGATGAATGGCTGATGCTAACGCGGGATGAGAGGGCCTGTAAAAAACTCGAAAATAAGAGAGGGCTGGTGCATCTGCGAAAGATATATAAATACACCATCATTGAAGTTTTAGATTCTTCATTATCACTATCAACATCTCATCTATCTCTTCTGTCTATACAAACACAATGCAATTCACTGCTTTATTCGTCACTGTGCTCTCTATTGTTCTTTCAGTCAACGCTGCTGCCATCTTAACTAAGCGTGCCGCTCCCAATGTGCAATCATGCATCACTAACTTGGATACTGTGGGCAACCAGCTTGCTATCTTGCAAGCATCCGTAACTGAGGGGGGTATTCTGAATGTCAATCATGACTACAACGTGTTGGATGATGCCATGGATGATGCTCAGCTCAACTGCTGTGCTATCACCAGTGTAATCTCTGATGCAGATGCTACTGAAGTCCTTGGTGCCCTTGGCAATACGACCCCCAAAGTGCTCAATGCTCTGAATACCATCAAGTCAAAGGAAGGTAGCTATAACTTCTTCACCAAAGCCGTTGTCAGAAGCCATCTTTCCAGTTTTGATGACAAGACTTCCAGATTGAACACATGCTTCAATGTATTCGTCCCTGCAGCCAACACCTCTACACTTGAAGGCTATTTCAATCAAATCAAGGCCGCTTTTACTACCACAAGAGCTGCTTATAACTAGGCTCAAAGCTTAATTACTCCCTCTTTTTTGCATTCATAAATAAACATTCCATACATTTACACAAACGCCACTACTTGTTTGTTCCACAAAAATGTCTAAATCATACTGGTGTCCTCATATTTCAGCCACTCTCTCGTTACAGAGAGTCTCTGATTCTATTTTAATCAAGATTTTAGAGTACACATGTGTTATGTTCCAGATCATAGTATCTGAATTGGCTAGGGCAGGTGGCTATCACCGCTTTTCCATGCAGACAATAGACAAACTGACGAGGGTCTTTTGTATGAACAGGCAGAATGTAAAATTCACCGTTTCCAGATGCACACTCATACACTTATTATTTAGCCATCAATATTTAAATTCTCGAAAAGGGATTTAGTGAACTGTACTCAACCACATCTCGAGGAGCTATAGCAGCGGCAATTGCAGAAGATGTAAAGATAAGAAGAGCTGCCAAGATGTATTTCATAGTGATAAAGAAGAATTGCTGGTTAAATCTAGCGTTCTTGGTGATGGAAAACCACCTCAGCTATTTATATATTGAGCTCAAGTGCTTTACATGTGCTGTGATCTGTTCACATCATCACTTGGAAACCAAAGAATTTTGTAGCAAACGCTTCTTTACCGATTAAATAGCGTTGAATGCACATCCAAAAGGGTCCAAGATTGAATTTGCCGTCATTTGTATACAAGGAAGGGTTCCAGATGCCTTGGTTTATATTAAAACTTGGGATTGATCTTAATCGCCATTTATACAGTTCAAGGCGATGGTGATGCTCTGCATTCGCATATGGTAGTTTCGTATTTTACTGAATTTAGCCGGTAGCTTGCTATCCCGACTAGTAGTGAACTGGCAAAACATGGCATTCCAATGTCCTGTCTAGTTGCCCTGGACCTCACATGCGCGTCTGTAACTTCAAATTGGTAATACCTTTTATCCAGTGTATATAATACTAGCCGATCTATCTCGCTACGCTCGATGTCGGCGTCGCCCTGTGGGCTCTCGCCAAAGACAGTTTAAATTAGATATTATGAAATTTTGGTATATCAAATAGATTTTATACAACCAATTATTAGTTAGCAAAAGAAAGGTTATATCAGAGTCAGGTGGAGGAGAGGAGGTATCTTCCTCAGCATCCTTTTTGCATACACTGATATCAGACGAAGCCTATTATTGAGTCGATATGAAAGAAAATTCAGGTTTTATGCAGCATTTGTACATCACAATCGCCATTTTCTGATAATAGAATTGACATATCATTCACTGCTGCTGATGCTCTTAATAATAAGATGGCGACTTAAAGCTGGTCATAAGTAAATACAGGGCTTGTGTAAGATCTACAGCGAATTTTTTTGAGATAATGTCATTGCAAAAGGCACCTTCGTGAGGCAAAGCTCTATAAAGAAGTATTTGGGCTAAGCAATTGTCCTTTCAATTCCGTGATCCCCATTTAATCAGTATCGCAATCATCATTGTCATCATCAGAAAGGTATTTGGGCCAGCCCAGCACCAGCGCCGCCCGCAGAAATCAATTGAAATGCCGTTTATTTTTTTCTGTTCAAGATTGGACAGATATTGTCTTTTTTCGACTTCTTTAATTTATTCTGTGATATTCGACTATATAAACTGTAATGATCACCCTACGCTTCCTAATACATTCTTGAAGTACTTTTCAAGGCGCTTCCAATGGTGCTGATTGTAATTAGTGTTTTGACTGAAATTATTGAGCAATTTAATAAAATTTGAAATGAGGTTTTTAGCGAAAATAGCCATATTTTGCATATGAAAACCTCATAAAAGTGGTTTCAGAGGTGGCTTTGGATCGAGAGAATCATTTTGATATGATACATACCATAGTAAAAGTCTTCATTTTCAAGGTCAAAAGTGCGATCGTTTGAATTTCGATGAAAACCATGAGGGGTACCTCATGCTTTCTGGTCGATTTTTGACCATGTTTTTTTTTATCCCAAAAAGTTGAGCAAAGGTGTCAGGAAGTTACTACTACGCAAGTAAAATTGTTTGGCGTTATTTTGGTGGCTCATAAAAGCCTACATGTCGAGATATAAAGGCTTGAAAGCTATCCAATTTGGTTGTTTTTTTGCTTTATGGAGTTTATTTACACGGCATGAATCACATCTTTAGTAGCTGAAGTCTTTTGGAAGGGCAGTTCTGCAGCCCGTGCAACTTCTAATTCGAATAAAAGGCATATTGATTTCGGTAAAGCTAATTCATGCAAATTTTGATGGGTTCTGTTGCTGCTAAGCTTATTAACAATGGAAATGAAAGCCCGAATTTGCTGCTTGAACACTATGGTTTTGCACTTTTGTTTCGCTACGGTAAAACCGCCATTAAAACCAATGCTATCAAGTATTGAATTCGATACCTGATTACCTTGGCTTTGCACCTTTGCTTCGATACGGTAAACCCTCTCTATAAACCAATGCTATCAAGTGTTGAATTAAATGCATTATTATGCTCTTGGAGATAAGGAGGTCGCATTCTTCTTGGCTCTGAAATGAAAACGGCAGGTGCTCTCGGTGTTCTTGGTGCTCTGGGTAGTCTCAATGTAGATCTTTTTCATTTCTTTTGATTTATTTATCAAATTTCTCTATTTACTCGACATAAATCACATTTTCGAAAATTAAAATCTTTAGGTAGAGCAACTCTATAGGTTACACAGTTTCTAGCTTGAACAGGAGGCATGACAATCCGATTTGATTTGACTTCATCAACTTTATGCAAATTGCGATGCTTGATATTCTTGTATATAGTGAAGATGTATCGACTTGCGTGCAGTAATACTAACGACAAGTATTAAGCGTCAAAATCAATACTCTTTTTATACTCTGAACACTGGATCGCTGGTGGACATGTTTGTTATTAAAATATCATATTTAGTCTTATTGAGAAGCCTCTCAACAAGTGCCCTGTCCAGCTAGAGGCAACCCTTTCACACCAAGGCGTTCGCAATTTCTTGCCAGGCTATGAGCTATCCAGTCCTCTATGGATGTGTACATTTTCAACTACAAGCAATAAGTTGAAAAATGTACTTACGTAAGATGGACTTGGCATCTTCATTTGCATAAATGGTGGGAAATACCAAAGCAAAGGCTCTTCCGTGAGCTCGGGCTATACTATTAAGCACTGCATTATCGAAGGCCTGTTCTCACGGATCTATATAGTAATTGTGTATCAATTGGCATTATCTATGGAAACAAGATTGTGACTCATGAGAGGATCAATGAGCAGAGATTGATATAAATACAGCACGGGTATCCTTTTTCTAGTCATATACTGTATCTCCATTCAAGGATGCAATCTCATCAGCAACATCAACGCGCTTATCAAGCCCCCGCAGCTGGATCAAAAATCATCATCGTGGGGGGTGGCTGCTTTGGTTTATCTACTGCCTACTCACTTGCATTAAACAAGGCTAAAAACTATAAGGTGTGGGTGTATGACCGAGAAGAGATCCCTGTACGAGATGCCGCTTCGAATGGTAATTTTTAACGGGCATTTCTTCTTACAATACATTCATGGTAATCTGCGCTTGCATAGACATCAGCAAAGTGGTTCGTATGGATTATGGTAACGAGAGGCTGTGTATGGAGCTTGCTATCGACTCGATTGACATCTGGAATCAATGGAACAAAGAGAGAGCGGCTCAAGATCTTTCGCCAGTGTATCACAATACAGGCATGCTTGTTTTCTCGGGCGAGGACAAGCTATGCGAGAATGAAAAAAACACTTTACATCATATTCGTGCTGCAGGACATGCCGACTGGATTGAAGAGCTGAATGCAGAGCAAATAGTGTCAAGATACCCATACTTTGAAACAGCTGTAAAGAATGGTATCAGCTGTGCTTACTACAATAAGGTTGGAGGTACATTCAAGCTCTATTTGATATGCAAATGACGCAGGTATTCTGATTCGTAAAGTAGGGTGGTGTAATTCAGCCGAGGCCATCAAGCACATTTACAACAAATGCAAGTCTGTAGGCGTCCAATTTGTACTAGGTGATCAAGGCTGTTTTACAGGTCTAGAAACTGATAAGAGCAATAACAGATCTGTCATCGGGATTCGCACCAAGACGGGTGATACACATCTTGCCGACCGAGTAGTCATGTGTACTGGTTCCTGGACTTCAAGTGTGATCGACATGCACCAACAAGTGATTGCAACAGGCCAAGTGGTTGTTCATTTCAGACCCTCTGAACGAGTCAAGAAGATACTGAGTAATCTGCCTGTCTGGTTTGGTGATTTCTCTCGAATCGGCTTTTACGGATTTCCTGATAATGGAGATGGCATTATAAAGATTGCGAAGCATTCCACCGGATATTTGAACCCACGCAAAGGCGACAATGTCTCTGTGCCTCGTACTCAATCGACGCATGAGGGGGATACTATTCCAGTCCAAGCTCTCAGAGATTTCCGCGAATATCTGCAAAAGTTTCTACCTATTACTGATGATCTGGACATTACTTACTCAAGAGTGTGTTGGTACTCTGACTCCATTGATGGTCAGTTCATCATAGATGCTCATCCAGACTATGATAATCTTATTGTTGCTGCTGGAGACAGTGGCCATGCCATGAAGTAAGTTGCTACCCCCCCAGTGTTTGTCTGCTCGATAACTCACCCTATCTACAGATTTTTACCCATGATGGGCAGTAGAATATCAGAGGTCATTGAGAATCAAGATACAGAATACACTCGAGCCTGGGCTTGGCGTAAGATTGTACCTCGAGCTGGCTTTTATGATCGACCCATTCTGGTTGACGATAATCATATAGTGAGAATGGTTACATCTGCTGAACTGAGATCCTCAAAGCTTTGAATAAATTACACGTGCTTTATTGATGAATAATTTACAAAGAAGATTCCTTGGTCTTGAAGCATTCGCTAAAGAAGTTGGCAGTCAATTGGATGGCCTCATTAGCTCTTTGAGCATTGAGTTTGTCGGTATAATCACCACGAGCAGCACAGAAACCGTGGACCATGTCATCAAAGCGGACATGCTTGCATTGGTTGCCGAAAGGCTTCTTGGCCAAAACCTCCATGTATTCAGTCATATCGGGTTCATCTTTAGAGGGAAGAGCAAGGATGGGAGCACCAGCCTTTTCAGCATCCTTGACATCGACAAAGGAAGGATGAACCAAAGAGGCACCAACAAAGAAGGGCATTGTAGAAGTCAATTGGACAGCGATCTTGGCACCCCAACAGAAACCAACCAAAGTGGCAGCATCAACACCATCTTCCTTGAGATACTTGACGGAACGTTCAACATCAGGAGTGACCTATAGAGCGAAGCAGATCAGTATACAAACAACATCTTTTCAGTTTTTTTTTTACATCACTTACAGCTTCAACGGTACCAACTCTTCCAACCCATTCCAAAAGCTTAGGCTTATCGGCAAGCAATTCCATAGTAGCGTAATCGCCATGAAGGAAATCGGGCATGATGACTCTCCAACCACAATGCTTGGCCAAGATGTCACAGAATTGATAGGCATTAGGACTATCACGGTTAGACAAACCATAACAGCGCCATCGCTTTGCCTCTCTCTCACCCTAAGCATACTTACTGGTAACCAAAGATATCATAAAACACAAGAACAGCCTTCTTGGCATCCTAGTATCAAGTGATCGGTGTCAGCTCACGTCTATCAACTAAAGTGCATTTGTAATACCTTGGGGCCAACAGTATAAATGGAGAGATCCTCGAACTTTTCCATATCGCCAGTGTACTTGTAGTCAGAGACGACAGGAGGGAGGGAGCAGCAGGCTTTAGAGTAAGACATTGTTTATGAGCGTAATGGATATTGGAAGAGAAATCGAAAAAAAATGCTTTTGTTTACCAATTGAAGTCTATTTAAATTATTAATGTAGCGGAAAAGTTTTCCCCCGTGGAAGAACGTTAATTGCTCACACGGAGTTTGTCATGTGCACGCTGCTGACAACAAGATGCTCCAATTATGAATAAACTGCAAGATCGTGGCAAACGTGTATTCAAATGCAATATAATGAAAAACTGGTTTTAGTTGCTATTGGCATAGATTTGCTGTCTTTTTTTTTTTTTTTTTTTTTTTTTTTTTTTTTTTTTTTTTTTCGTTACATGCTTGATTTAACATCTCAGCAGAATAGCTGCATGGTCTAGCATGTCCTATAGGTGAGTATGCAACAAACAGGTATTTTGTCCATTCGATCGAGCTTTGACCAAAAGCTATGCTTCAATTAGACAGTTCTACTACTAGAAAACATCTTGATCCTCATAAAAAATGTTTACAAGCCATAATTCCAAGGATCCTGTATTGTTTGAGATGTAAATCGGTAATAGATGGTACTGTCGTATATACTGAACTATTGCAATTCAGTTTTATACTAACATGTAAATTCCCAGTATAAACAGCCTGTGGCTGCAGATATGGCTTTTCTGCAATGCTCCACATTCGAATCTATAGTGACAATTCGTATTCGGACAGATAACATACTTGCATCGCCACTTGCTACCCATATATAAGCAAACCAGAGTGGAATCCGGATAAAGTTATGCCGTGATTTCTCGTGTTAGAGGCCATTTTAGACCGCCAGAATAGCACCAGACAATTGCTCTCATCCAGCACTAACTTCCTGGCACCTTTGCTCAACTTTTTTGATGACCAAAAAAAAAATCGTCAAAAATCGACCAAAAACCATGAGGTATCCCTCATAGTTTTCATCGAAAATGCCCTTCGGGGTCGCTGTCAGAGTGGCTTTCGCACCTGAAGTTACAATCTTGGTCTATCCGGTCTGGTTTCGCCTGGTAGTTTGTGTTGGGACAAACATCTCCCTCCGTCTATAGTTGTTTTGTAGTTATTATCACTCTAGTTTTCTCTTGCAAGTCGCTTTGTTCACATACACTTGTCTCGTATTTTGATACATTTAAAGCCTTTATTGGGCGCCAGATTACTAGTAAAGTCTTTAATATTATCCACCAAAAAAAAAAGAAGTTTTCATCAAAAATCAAACAATCGCGTTTTTGACTTCAAAAAAGAAAACTTTTACTAAGGTATATGTGAAATCAAAATGCTCTTCTCGGTTCAGAGCAACTCCTGGAACTTTGTTTCCAAAACCTTTATATGTAAAATCTCGACATTTTCGCAAATTACTCAGTAAGCTTGTCCAAAACACATATAATAATTAGCACCATCGGATGCGCCTTGAAAAGTGCTCTAAAAAAGTATTAAAGAGCATAGAGTGATAACCACTATTTACATATTCGAATTTTGCAAAACTGTTGAATCAACTCGATTTTTTTTTATTTGTATAAAGATGTATTAGATAAACTCATAAAAGGTATTTAGATAAATATGAAAAGGGAGCGGGTGTAGTCGTTGCAAATTATACCTCCAAATGCGAATCCCAAACCGAATCCAAATGCAAAATGCAAAACGCAAAACTACATGTACAGTACCACACACGAAAAAATAATAAGTCTAGTGATTGTTGTTTTGTAATCTTCTTCTATACAAAAATCCTTGAAAAGAGATTTACATCTCTTCCCTTGATTTTTTAATTTTTTAATTAATACATTTGATAAAAAGCAAGGGAAATTTTCTAAAACTAATCAAAAGATTTAACGACGTTGAGAGTAGACGTGAGCGAAAGCACGAGTGGAAGCACGCTTCAACTTGGATTGAGCAGACTTAAGGTCATCAGCCTTGGCCTCATCAGCAGAGATCTCCAAGAGTTCCATGGCCTCAGCGAGAGCAGTTTCAATGGACTCACGGTCACCACGACGGAGCTTCATGTTGACATTAGGGTCAGAGATGTTGTTCTCGACTTGGTAGACATAAGCCTCAAGGTCTTGCTTGGCTTGGACAACAGCCTCACGCTCCTTATCAGACTCGGCGTTCTTCTCAGCATCTTGAACCATACGTTCAATATCAGCAGCAGAGAGACGAGTAGAGTTAGAGATGGTAACATCAGCCTTGCGACCAGTGGTCTTGTCTTGAGCAGTGACCTTCAAGATACCGTTGGCATCAAGATCGAAGGTACAGAGGAGCTCAGGAGTACCACGGGGAGCGGGGATAAGACCAGAGAGAGAGAATTCACCCAAAAGGTTGTTTTCCTTGGTCATCAAACGCTCACCTTCGTAGACAGGGAAGGTAACAGTGGTTTGGTTATCAGAGGCAGTGGTGAAAACCTTGGACTTTTGACAAGGGATGGGAGAGTTACGGGGGACGACAACAGCCATAATACCACCTTGCATTTCAACACCGAGAGAAAGAGGGACAACATCCAAAAGAAGGAGATCTTGAGTCTTCTCGTTACCGGCTTGGTTGGTGAGGACAGCAGCTTGGACAGCGGCACCGTAGGCAACAGCTTCATCAGGGTTGATGGACTTGTTCAACTCCTTACCGTCAAAGAGATCTTGGAGGAGAGATTGGATCTTGGGGATACGGGTAGAACCACCAACAAGGACGATTTCGTCAACCTTCTTCTTGTCGATCTTGGCATCCTTGAGGACACGTTCAACGGGCTCAACAGTACCTTGGAAAGCAGCAGAGTTGATTTCCTCGAACTTGGCACGAGTGATGTTGGATTGGAAATCAACACCATCGAAGAGAGAGTCAACTTCAACAGTGGTTTGAGTCAAAGAAGACAAAGTACGCTTAGCACGCTCGGAGGCGGAACGAAGACGACGGAGAGCACGGGCATCACCGGTGATATCCTTCTTGTGCTTGCGTTGGATTTCAGCAACGAAGTGGTTGACAAGAGTGTTATCAAAATCTTCACCACCCAAGTGAGTGTTACCAGCAGTGGCCTTGACAGCAAAGACACCACCAGAAATGGTCAAGAGAGAAACATCGAAGGTTCCTCCACCCAAATCGAAGATAAGAACGTTACGTTCCTTCTTGTCATTGGCATCCAAACCGTAAGCAATAGCTAAACAAAGCATTTCATTAATACACCATAGCCACTATGTCCAATCTCTAATTATTACTCACCGGCAGCAGTAGGTTCGTTGATGATACGGAGAACATCGAGACCAGAAATGGTACCAGCATCCTTAGTAGCTTGACGTTGACCTAATCAAACAGGATCAATACACACTATACCAAGCCATCAACACAATTCATACTGATACATACTGTCGTTGAAGTAAGCAGGGACGGTAACGACGGCCTTGGAGACCTTCTTACCGAGCTTGGCCTCAGCAATTTCCTTCATCTTGATGAGGACCATGGAGGAAATTTCTAAAGAAAAAATTTTTTAGCCATCAATTGCTTGTCAGATTTAGGATTATAAGCTTTTACCTTGAGGAGAGTAAGTCTTGGTCTCACCCTCGAATTCAACTTGAATGAAGGGGTTTTCATTCTTGTCGACAACGGTGAAAGGCCAGTTCTTCATATCAGCCTTGACTTCGGGATCATCGAAACGACGACCGATGAGACGCTTAGCATCGAAGACGGTGTTCTTGGGGTTCATGGCAGCTTGATTCTTGGCAGCATCACCGACAAGACGTTCGGCATCAGAGAAGGCAACGTAAGAAGGAGTAGTACGGTTACCTTGCTCGTTAGCAATGATTTCAACACGCTCGGACTCCCAAACACCAACACAGGAGTAGCTAAATGTAATGGCATCTGTGTTAGACTATGCTAAAAAGTGTCATTGTAATACTGGACGATATAATTACGTTGTACCCAAATCGATACCGATAGCACCCTCGTATTCAGCAGACATATTTGATAGAAGAAGGAAAAAGGAAAGATCAAAGATGTTCCAAGCTCAGAAATCGTTATATTGTCGCTGCCATCCCTGAAAATTTTTTTGCAAACACTTATTACAGTCACTGGGACGAATACACAAGTGGCTTAGGATGATTGATTTCTTGATCTGATAGCTCAAGGCATTGGTCTGTAGTAGTCTGGTTAATGATAGCCTGAGAAGGATGATTTTGTAGCAACCATAATAGAGCCAATTGGGCCATCATCAACACCTATTGGTAGAAATTGCATAGGTATTGGATTGGAGCAAAGGGGATGATGTATCTCGTCAATACCCATGTGTTTAACACTGTACATTGCAGGGAAGTTGTGCTATCAAGCATTCAGCTGCTAATGCCGTGCCAGATGTCTATTGATCTAAAACTTCAAGTGTCATTGAAAATGCAGCATCTGGTGATTTGTTTGACGGGATAATAGCAGTAATCTGAGAGAAATTCCTAGTTCTTTGTGGCCTGATATGTCATAAGTATTTGATAATGTCTTCGCCGTGTAAATCAGATCACTTGGCTTGACAATGAGGATATAAAATGAACACTCAAAATTGCTCGGGGTCGCTAAACCAAATCTGTAGTACTTTCATCAAACAACTATGAGAAAAACTAAGTTGTTTATTGTTTCAAATAAATCGAATGAGTGAGAGTGGCATGCAAATGTCCAATCCAACTAAATCATCAGGACGCTAGACTTTGTCTTGCCATTATTCATCAGATACTCCTTCTCATTTACCCGTCTGTTTTGCTACATGTAAATAGAGCATATTTAGTGTGAGAATTAAGAAAGATCAAGTTTACTACTGTACCATGGACGAAATGTATGGCAACAATTTGCCAATACGTTGAGAATGATCTGTCGTCGCAGTATTCTTTTTGGCACTTGGCATGTTAGATGATACATCATATTCATCTACAGGAATACAGGCATCAGATGTAAAGGGTTTCTTTGGTAAGCTAGGCATCATTTATTATCAGGTTGTTGATGTGAAAGATGAAGAAAGAGAAGGAAATAAGCAAAAAAGTATTCTAAAGTTATACCCTTTTTTTTTTTTTTTTCATCATGTATCAAACAAAGAGGGCGTTACAACAAACCAAATAACCATTCATGGTATAGAGTTTAGAATACAGATAACTACACAACAGCAGCTGATTTCCTTAACTTGACAAGGAAAGCAGTGTGACCTCTTACATCAAAGTTCTTTGGTCTACACACCCAAGCATCAGGAGGTATTGATGCCTTTACCTCTGTTGTTGACGGTGTGGCAGGGCCGTTTTCCTCCTTTAGTTTTAGCCTACTTCTGATATGGGTTGCTCTAACTTCCCACTCTTTCCACTCTGCTTCAATGCAGTCCTCCATCACCAATGGCAGATCAATAATCATCTCGGCTAATGCAAGTACTTGAGTCATATTTGGCAAATAACAGACCATGAAACGATCATTTCTTAAAAAGGGTAGTAGACGAGGGATCTGATCGCAGGGTTCCGGCATATCTAATGCAATCGCATCATATTGCTCTTCCGCTGCCATCATTTCTGGAAGCTTGTCTGCTACGGCGCCAACATGAAACACAACGTTGGGCTTGTATCTTCCTCTAGAATAGCGCTCTACATGTTTGCGTGCTGTATTGGAGTGTGATTCTCGGATGTCAAATGTATCGATGGTGCCTACACAGTCTCCTCCTCCAGCTATCGCTCTTGCCATGTATAAGGTGAGTGACCCATTACCGGTACCTGCCTCCAGTACCTTATGTCCCGGTTCCAAATCCAACATTTGTACCTGATATACAAACAACAAACATGAGTACATGTATTGAAACAACAAATACGCTCAAACTTACAATGGTGGAAGCGTCTTTGGGGTAGATTGGTGTGCATGCTCTTGGTACATTAACAACAAATCTATGTATGGCCATTAGCTTTGTCCAGTTTCCATGCTGTTAATACTTTACTCTTCTAGTGTGGGGAAGTGTGCCATATACCCAAATTGATCTATAAATAAACGGAAAAGCTTAAATACTGCATGAATTTCCTCCTTCTTGTGTATTAGAGATACCACTGTCTTCTCGTATCACAGATCTCGGCTTTTTTCCTATGATACTGTCATGACGAATGATTCCGCCTTTGACACCTCTTTCTCCAGTCTGCTCTAAGGGACCAACAAATATCTTCTTGTTGGATTTAACTTGACGTAACATGCAAAAATCCCCTTGTTCAAAAGTGTGATAGCCTCGTTTGCATTGGAACGCCTTGCTTAAATGTCGTAACATGGTTACTATGAAACTGTAAGAGGTGGAAGGGGGTCCATGAGCTCATCTTTTTATTTGATTTTTCCCTTCCCGAACCGGGTTGTCGACTGGCTTTTTTTTCTGATTTGGGAAAAAGGAGCAATTACGCATAAATCATGTGTATGAACACAGCATCAGACGGTATCTGTACACTGAGTGGTACATGTCTACCTATACGGAAAAGAATAAGCATCATTGAATGAATCTGATTTGAGATCGTCAGTGATTCAGTTGGCCAATAACCAATCCCATCAGTTGACTTGGTTTCGCTGCAGACATGGCTCATTTATCAGAAGAAATGTGAAGAAGCATCCCATTCTTGATGTATAGCTATATCCTTATAACAATATGACTGAATCCTAATCACACTGTATTCAGCATATATAAATATTATTCTTCTGTTAACAAAGTATGAAAGCAAAACCGACACAATGTACTCCATCAAACATCTTTGCTTAAAAATTCTTTGATTTGGTCAAAATTTACACTTTATTTTGAAGTTGCTATGTGAGGAAAAAGGCTGCTCTTGCAAATCCATTTCAGTTGCTATTATACACATGCCTAGTGTCTTTTTAGTAAATATATTTCTATGAGTATATGCACAATACCTGAATCAAATCAACGAGCTTCTTCAATTTTATTATCATCATAACATAATAAATTTATGGTCCCTAGACACTTTCAAAGCCTCAAAAAGAAACAAAGTTAATTTAACAATTATTTTGATAGACTGGCGTTATTAAATATAGAATGCAAGAAGAATAGCATGACTAACAACGCTGTGATGTAATTTGCCAACTACTTTCCTTCATGATTAAAAGGGCATTGAGTTTGCCAGCCAGCCCTACCAGCTAAAATCAATTCAAACCCAGGCTCATAGTCTGTTCTAGATTGGCCAAATCTTAATAATCTTCGACTCGATTGAACTATTTTGACAAATTCGACTAAGTAAAGTATATTGATCATCCTATGCACCTTTAAGCTGTCCCTGGTGGTAGGGCGAAGTGGTAGAACTCCCGTATGCCAACGGGAGGATCCCGGTTCAAATCCTGGTGAACGCAAGTTGTTTGATTTTTTTGACGTAGTACTGATGTCCTCGTTTGGTGTTTTGTGCTCTTATCCATGATCTATATTTTGACGATTTTTCGCAAGACTGTACTGGCTCTAGGAGTCGCACCTTATTAGTAGTAGATTTCTTTCCCAACTTAGTTCAAAAAATATCTTATTCCCCTTCTTTGCAGACATTGGGTCCACCAACAGTCTTTTCTATCCCTCAGCATGACATTTAAAGGACTTTAAATAAAACCTGGAGCTCGACTCCCCTACAAAAAAAAAAATGCACCTTTAAGCTTTCTTGGAGTGCTTTTCAAGGCGCATCCAATGGTACCCAGTAACATAGATGTTTTGAATAAACTTATCGAGTAATTTACAAAAATATCAAAAGAGGTTTCTGGCCAAAATGTCGAAATTTTACATATCAAAGTTCTACAAAGATGATTTCAGGGGATACGTTGGATCGACAGCAACATTTTGATTCAAGATATACCATAGTAAAAGTCTTCGTTATCAAGGTAAAAAATGAGATTGTTTGATTTTCGATGAAGATCATGAGGTACCTCTCATGCTTTTTGGTCGATTTTCGGTCATGTTTTTTTGATCCCCAAAAAGCTGAGCAAAGGCGTCAGGAAGTAACTGCCAGTTGAGAGCAATTGTTTGGTGCTATTCTGGCGGTCTAAAATGGCCTCTAACGCGAGAAATCACGGCTTAAATACATCCAAATTTTGCTGTGTTTTGCATACTTTCAAGTATTAAGAGATGATGCAAGTGTACTATCTATTCATATATGATTTGTTCTCATTGATAAAGATGTAGAGCACTCAAGAAGAGTCAGTTTTACAGCTATAGAGTGGTTTCACGTGATGGTAGAATGGCGAAAAGTGAAATTTTCGATACATTACTAGAGCTTTTTGTTCATTCATTCATCAATCCCATTCGAAAACCATCAAATTACTACTTACAGTTATTTTGTGATCAGATTCACCCAAACTTTATGCCATGATCCGTTTTTGATCGAATTAATATTGATTCGTTGCCTATTCGCAGTGTTGCTGTGACAAATGATTTTGGAGAGCAGCGTGAAACAAAATTTGGTTGGAGAGAGAGGTTGGTGTTTTGCTTCAACACCTTTATTTCAACTCAAAATGAATTTTCTCGACGATGAAGTGGAAACAAGTGACGATATAGTTAGAGGAACTAACGACGATGCTACAGTAAGCAGGCTGTAAAGGACAAAAGACAGTATTACTATAGCTTTCGTAGATTAACTTCTTTTGTTGAAATTTGTACAGCTCTGCCGTCAGTTTAGGTTATGTTAAAGATCCTTTCGTCAAACTGTTTGTAAAGAAGCCTACTCGTCGCTCTCCCATAATCAACAGAGGTATTGTTATCAATGTCAAAACTACACGATAGATACTCAGAGATTGCAAAAGGCACATTCATTCGAAGTTATGCAATCGACTCTATTGTGTCTCAGTTTTTAAGTATACCAGGACCCAAAAAGCAGATTGTGGCATTAGGAGCAGGATTCGACACCAGATACTTTAACATCAAGGTAAAACGAATAATTGCACTACGTCTTATCCGAGACTAACAGCGACAAGGCAGGGATTTTAAATCAAGGTGGAAATGCACTTGCGCAAAACCTGTCAAAATACTTTGAAGTCGATTTCTCAGAAATTACAATGAAGAAAGCAATGACGATAAAGCGGCGCAAGGAATTGTGCTCGTTGATGACAGAAGCAGATCAAGCAAAGATTGGGCGAGGCGGCATGGATCTACTGGGCAAGGATTACTGCCTCGTGGGTGGAGATTTGAGAAATTGGCCAGACATTGCTAGCAGATTGTTGGAGGCAGGCTTGGATCCTGAGTAAGTGACAAACTCTGACACATGATATAACACAGACTGTCTCATAGCATGGCTGTAGATTGCCAACGCTATTTTTGTCCGAATGCGTATTCATTTATATAACACCGGAGGAATCTAATACCATCTTGAAGTGGATAACTGAAACTATGAGGAATACTATGTTCGCATTGTATGAACAGATCAAGCCAGATGACGCTTTTGGCAAGATGATGATTCGCAACTTGAAGAGTCGAAACATTGAACTGAAAGGATTGCAAGCATTTCCAGATTTAACCCATCAAGAAAAGAGATTCAAGGATCTGGGCTGGGAAAATGCTACAGCAGTGGATATGAACACAATTCACGACAAGTACTTGAATCAGTCTGACATTCTTCGGTAAGTGTTCCATGTCTTGTGTGTTGAATTGCAAACCTTAGTAATATATAACATTGCTAGCATGTCGAAGCTGGAAATTTTGGATGAGCTTGAAGAATGGCACTTGCTTGCAGCACATTATTGTGTAGCATGGGCAGTTCACTCGACTGATTTCTCACAGGAATTCAACGCAGTGCAATTGCAACCACAGTAGAACATTAGTATATAGTAGTATATAGCATTGGTAGTTTTTTCATAATACATGATTCACCATCGATATTATGGCTACATGAATCTCAGTAATTTTACCGCAGGAGTGAAGAAGAAAAGTTTTTTTTGCAAGGTTTATTTCTTCTCATAAGATGAATTCATATTTGCTCCCTCCTCTTTCTTCCATGGAAATCATGTTATATGTAATATACATCCTTAATTTCAATAGACATTAGCCATAACAGAAGACGCGTGATACATATCAGAAGAGCAAATGTGTCATTCTTACTGAAAACGCATGGCAGACGACAGGCAGAAAATACATTCATCCATTTGCTGGCAGAAGCGCAAAAAGCACTGCTTGTTGTATGATCTTGATCTCTGCACACACATTTCAATAGAGTTTACCTTACCTAATATCATAACCATGATTGCAATGAACCTTGTACAAAACAACAATCCTCAAACCGGCTAAAATTTATAAAATAGTGAGATCTATTCGTGTTACCCGCATCTTACCAGAGATTTTTATGGAGATTTCTCCCATTAACATGTTTTACCTTTTTTAGGCGAGATTGACCCCAAATGCTTGCCCCGCAACGCTGTAAACCGCGGGGTAATCCAGTAAACTTACTAAGTTTCAGCGTTTGAATTTGATTCCAAGACTAAACATCTGATTTAAATCTATTATCCTTAATATTTGAGTCTTGCACACCCTGGAGATGTCGACTTAATAAGCATTATTATGTAATGGGTTCAAATATAGTCGTGGAAATGGCTCTTAGATTGCTCGTCATGTTCCTTAACTTATCTCGTAGAACCTCTAATATAACAGCCATACGTAAACCATACATCTATTCGCATGTTAGCATTGTTCGCAAATGTAATCTGTCAAATGTGTTTATTACATAATATTAAGTTGAAAAAAAGGGGACCATATACAAGAAGTTGATTGATTATCCAGACATGAAAAAATGTCAAACAACTTCTTTTTACAAGCAAACCGGAATGATTCGGCTTATAACTTTCTGCCAACTCCAAACAGGTGTTGCACCAAGAAGCTGATTTACGTAATATAAGTTCCCTGTGCCCTTTTTCTCCTGCTTAAAGTAAAAGCTCCTTGATGTTAACCAAAGGCGGGATTTCGTCCCTCAAATTGCACTGCATTTAAGATTTGGCCGGGAACTGCTTTCAAGATTTTAGACTCTGTCTGGTTTGAGACATAGTTTTACTTGGTGTATTACATAAGAATAACCAAGCATCAAGGCGAGAAGGCTATACGCCCTATTGGGCGGGCTTATACAATGAGGACAGCAGCAGTACGGTGCTGATATCCTCTTTTAGAATCTGAAATGTTAAACTTGACTCATATAAATAGCGAGCCCAAATCGTTTCACCAAAGAAAACCCCATTCTCATTTCATTTTACATCAACATGTCTAGTTCAGATACAGCATCGGTCCATAGCAGTATTAGAAGTGAAGAAAATGCTACTGCAATCCCTATTCAATCAGACGTCTACGTTGATACTGTGGTTGAAAAGCGTTTACTGAGAAAGCTTGATCTTCGTTTGATCAGTTTCGCCTTCTTCTCGTACTTTACCAGTAATCTTGTCCGTAACAATATGCGTAAGTTTCTATCACTGCTTTACCTAAAGAGATGTTAACATGTCAATAGAAAATGCTTATACCAATGGTATGGATGTCGATGTTGGTATCGATTCTGAAGCCTACAACTGGTGTGTTACCTTTTTCTTCATCGGCTATATCATTCCTCAAATCCCTACAAATATGTTTGTCGCTCGTCTTTTGCCCAAATACTTCTTGCCTAGTGCTGAAATCATCTGGGGTGTCATCACTTGCTGTATTGCTGTGGTCAAGACTCCAAATGCAGTTTGGGGCTTGAGGTTTATTCTCGGCATGGCTCAAGCTACGTTCGTCCCATCCATGGTCTTCATTATTGGTTCCTGGTACACTAACAGCGAACTTGCTACCCGTACTGCTATCTTTATGGCTGGTAATCAAATGTCTGGTGCTATTGGTGGTATCATTGCTGCTGGTGTCAACAATAACTTGAATGGTGCTGCTGGTAAGGCCAGTTGGCAATGGCTCTTCATTATCGAGGGTTTGATGTCTATTTTTGTTGGTCTCGTTGGCTACTATCTTTTGCCAAATTACCCTCACAACACCAACTGGGTCAAGGGCGAAGAAAAGGATTGCGCTATTGCTCGATTAGAACGTCAGGGCAAGCAACTCAAGTCTCAAAAGTACACCTGGGACACCTTCTTGAATGTACTAGCTACTCCCTACGCCTACCTCTTGACATTGGATTTTATCTGTATCAACATTGGCAACCAAATCCCCCTCAACTTCTCTATCATTATGAAGAAAATGGGCTATGACGCCAACCTTGCAAATTATTTGGTCTCTCCCATCTATGGTTTAGGTGCAATTACCATTGTAATCATCGGTTGGATATCTGACAAGTATAGTGAACGTGCTTGGATCATCATTATCGTGCAAATCTGGGTGGCTGTCTGGTATCTCGTATTGTTTGTTGTGAACCATGCTGCTACGCCATTCTGGCTCTTGATGCTCAGCTCTTTCGCTATCATCAACAACATTTCCATGTTCCCGCTTGTATTTTCATTCATCAATGAAATTTTCGCTCTGGATGCCAACACCCGTGCTCTAGCCATTGCCTGTATCAATTGTATTGGCAATCTTGTGCCAAACTTTGTAAGTGTCAAATGTTAAGCGAAATATTCATATTATTAACGTCGTGGCAGATTTCTGTTGGCATATGGAAGGTAACTGACTCGCCTGACTTCTTTCTCGGCAAATTGGTTACATTCATTCTTTCAGTCTGCTCAGTCATTATCACGTTCATTTGTTGGTGGTGCCTTAAACACAATATCAACCTTCCCCGTGTCAGAGACAAGAAGGAGGAGCTCGAATTCCCTGAAATGGACGACGATGCCAACGAAAAGAAGGCCTAAACTCTTTCATCAACAGCCCTCTTATGTACTTATATATCTCTTTTCACCAAATCAATCACCTTTGTAAAACTACTCATCTTATACACTCTTCCGTATCTTAATTTTTTATCGTTTCATCTTCATTTTTTCAATTTTCCCTTTGTGCATTCTTACGAACCAATAAAACTATCAATTACTTTTATCTAGTAATAACAGCTATTGAATAAGAGCGAGAAAGCCATTTGCATGAATGAAAGGTAAAAGAATTCCAGCATCACCTTCACTATATATACTGGAAAACCATGTTTTTAAAAAAATAGACAAGCTAATCACATTCTTTCAAATAGAATTCTAAAGAATTGAGAGCTGGACAAAGGTGAATAAAACCACCAGAGAAGCCGGCAATGGGGAGAGGGGTTGGGGGAGGGGCTTAGCCCCTCCATCAAGAACATCAAACATCACAATTTGCAAATATCTTCTGTTAAAATCAAATCGAATTGTCATGCCTCCTGTTCAAGCTAAAAACTTTGTAAGATCTGCACTACCTGAAGATTTCAATTTCAAAAATGAGATGTTTGTCGAGTACATAGAGGAGCTTGATAAATAAATCAAAAGAAACAAAAAGAGCTGCATTGAGACCACCCCAAAGCACCAAGGCCACCGAGAACATCTGTCGCTTTCATTTCGAAGCTAAGAAGAATGCGACCTCCTTATCTCCAAGAGCATAATAATGCATTTAATTCAACACTTGATAGCATTGGTTTATAGAGACGGTTTACCGTATCGAATCAAAGGTGCAAAGCCATGGAAATCAGGCGTCTAATCCAATACTTGGTAACATTAATCTATATGAGGGCTTGATCGCAGCGAAGCTAAGGCTCAAAACCATAGTGTTCAAGCAGCAAATTCGGGTTTTCATTTCCATTGATAATAAGCTTGCCAGCAACAGAACCCATCAAAATTTGCATGAATTAGCTTTACCGAAATCAATATGCCTCTTATTCGAATTAGAAGTTGCACGGGCTGCAGAACTGCCCTTCCAAAAGACTTCAGCTACTAAAGATGTGATTCATGCCGTGTAAATAAACTCTATAAAGCAAAAAACAACCAAATTGGATAGCTTTCAAGCCTTTATATCTCGACATGTAGGCTTTTATGAGCCACCAAAATAACGCCAAACAATTTTACTTGCGTAGTAGTAACTTCCTGACACTTTTGCTCAACTTTTTGGGATAAAAAAACATGGTCAAAAATCGACCAGAAAGCATGAGGTGCCCCTCATGGTTTTCATCGAAATTCAAACGATCGCACTTTTGACCTTGAAAATGAAGACTTTTACTATGGTATGTATCATATCAAAATGATTCTCTCGATCCAAAGCCACCTCTGAAACCACTTTTATGAGGTTTTCATATGCAAAATATGGCTATTTTCGCTAAAAACCTCATTTCAAATTTTACTAAATTGCTCAATAATTTCAGTCAAAACACTTACTACAGTTAGCACCACTGGAAGCACCTTGAAAAGTACTTCATGAATGTATTAGGAAGCGAAGGGTGATAATCACAATTTATATAGTCGAATATCACAAAATAGATTTTAGAAGTCGAAAAAAACAATATCTGTCCAATCTTGAACAGAAAAAAATGAACTGAGTTTGAATTATTGTGGCGGCGGCATTGCTGCTGGCTGACCTAAATGCGTTTCTGTTGATGGCAATGATGATTGCGATGTTGATTAAATGGGGATCATGGAATTGGAATTACAATTGCTTAGCGCCAATACTTTTTTTGGAGAGCTCTTCTCATAAAGATGTCTTTTGCAATGACATTATCTCAAAAAAATTCGCTGTAGATCTTACACAAGCCCTGTATTTACTTATGACCAGCTTGAAGTCGTCATCTTATTATTAAGAGCATCAGCAGCAGTGAATGATATGTCAATTCTATTATCAGAAAATGGCGATTGTGATGTACAAATGCTGCATAAAACCTGAATTTTCTTTCATATCGACTCAATAATAGGCTTCGTCTGATATCAGTGTAAGCAAAAAGGATGCTGAGGGAGATACCTCCTCTCCTCCGCCTGACTCTGATATAACCTTTCTTTTACTAACTAATAATTGGTTATATAAAATCTACTTGATATACCAAAATGTCATAATATCTGATTCAAAATGTCTTTGGCGAGAGCCCACAGGGCGACGCCGACATCGAGCGTAGCAAGATAGATCGGCTAGTAGGATTATACTTTATTTGGCGAATGCTTATTCCCACAATATACACAAAATCAATCGCCATCGAGCTACAGACAATAATCTACTCGCTTTCAAAGACGGCACTCATACCCATGCCCGAACCAATACACATAGAAGTGACACCAATCTTTTTGCCCTGACGCTTCAATTCAGGGAGAAGAGTAGCAATTTGACGGGCACCAGTACAGCCCAAAGGATGGCCGAATGCAATAGCGCCACCTTTAGGATTCACCTTTTCAGCAGGAATGCCCAACTTCTCAACCGAGTAAACAGCTTGAGAAGCAAAGGCTTCGTTGATCTCAAAGATGTCTACTTGATCAATAGTAAGGCCTGCTCTTTGCAAAGCAATAGGGATAGCGTAAGCAGGACCAACACCCATGATTCTGGGAGGAACACCGACAACAGCAGAAGTGATGTACTTGCCCAAGATTGGCAAGCTCAACTTTTGAGCAGTTTTACGCTTCATCAAAAGGACAGCAGCGGCACCATCAGAGACTTGAGAAGCATTACCAGCGGTAGTAGTGCCATCATCGTCAAAAGCAGGACGCAACTTGCTCAACTTTTCAGCAGTTGTACCAGGACGAATACCATCATCACGGTCAGCCAATACCACCTTTTCATTTCCTTCCTCGTCTGTGACAATGGCTTCAACGGGAACAATCTCTTCTTGGAACCAGCCATTCTTTTGAGCAACATCAGCCTTACGATGAGATTCTGCAGCAAAAGCATCTTGTTTTTCACGAGACACTTGGAAATCAGCAGCGACATTTTCTGATGTGATACTGTTGTTCATAGTGTTAGTAGTGCACGACATCCTTTTCACTCAATCAAGAACATTACCCCATAGGAATAAGACAATCAGCAGCAGACTCACAGTTGTCTGCAATTCTCTCGGAAGTAGGAGCCAAAGAAGAAGCACCGTAATTCAATGTCATGGACTCGACACCAGCACCAATACCAATTTCAAGAATACCAGCTTGAATGGCAGTTGCAATTTGGACGACAGCTTGAAGACCTGATGAACATTGACGATTCAAGGTGCTAACAGCAGTAGTTTCTGGGAATCCAGCATATAATGCAGCCATTCTATACAATATTGTTTAGTAAGTGTTTTAGGTGTATTCAATGCCACAAATGCTATTACCGAGCGTTCGTCGCTCCTCCTCCCTGAGGCAATACGTTGCCTACAGTGATGTCCTCTACCAATTTGGGATCAATGCCAGTCTTTTGAATGATTGCCTTGAAGACAGGAGCCAACATTTCTTCGGGCAAGGTGGATTGGAATGGGCCCTTGCGAGCACGAGTGATAGCAGTTCTAAGAGCAGAGACAATGACTACATCTTCAGGTGATTTGTAACCAATCTTGTTGGCAGTATAGCTTGAAGGCAAGACATGGCTTGCCACTTGTTGAAGACGGTTACTCATTTGGCGGAAATATCAGAAAGGAAAAGAAGGTAGTAAGGTGCAATCAATTCACATTGCCTGAATCAGTTTTTATATACCATGAGAGCAGTATTTCACATGTTTGTATGAGTTTGTTACTTGTTAACCAAACTGGAATGAATCGAGATGACATTGTTGTGGCACATTGAACTATTACAAACCCCACTTGTTTTCCAAAACGGTGTATTTATTCATGACATTGATTTAGCAGTTAAAACAGCAAGTTATAAATGGCCATGCATGGTTGTATTGATCTTCTGTCTTCTTGGGTATGTCTTCAAGCGCGGTGGACCTGCTCTTCCATAGCAGCGGTAGTCCCTCTTCTTGCTCTTCTTCAGCCTGTCCATCCGAATCAATGCTATCCTCGATATCAGATTCAGATGATAGTATAGACTGTGATGCTTCTACAATCTCGTTGATCTATGATTCGGAATTACAACGTTGAATGCTTACCTGGCATCCGTTTGTATGAGTAGTGATTATTAGGCCGCTGTTTGAGTTTCCTTAATTTAGATTCTTCAAGATTGTTATAACAAATGAGTCAGCCGTACTCTACAATTTCATACGTTGTGTGCTTACCGAGTTTTTTAATTGTATCTTCGTGCTCTTGACTTTCCTTTGCTGTTTGTAGGTTCCACTTGGGTGCTATTGTATTTGACAACTGGCTATCTGGTTGCCATGAACAGGCCGCTGAATGCTTGGGATACATTCTATAAGTTTCTAAAGGTACTTGTGTGGTGCATATGTTAGCCTACCTCGTCATTGCTTTTATTGAATGGATCGTTGGGATCCTGAGGAAATAACTCCCTGCTCATTTTACAGCAAATGAGAAGAGAAAAATGCCAACCTCCTTCCCGTGGTTGTGAGACACCGCTCACGGTCGTGGGTTTTCTCACAATTCACTGTTGTAATCCAACAACCGCGGACCTGGAGCCAAATGAATAACTGAGAAATGCGAAAGGTTGTCCATACCATTGCTCCAAGAACCTGATATTACAATAAATGCTTTCAATGAAGATTAACATTTGAATGTCTTTTTATATTTCTAATGAACATTTATTAGTTTGCTATTGCCATTGAGAGAGTATTATCGTCAACAAAACGAGGGCCATTCCTAGAAACAAACAACATTGCACCTCTGCACCTGCTTTCAGAACTGGATCGAGCATGAAAACGCCGAAATCATATGTGTATGTGTGTGTCCGTGGTATCATGACCTGAGAGATAAGGCTGCGCCAAATCATGCTAATGTGTTTACTGTATTTTATTTATATGGCATTGCCTGTTGAAATCTGATGCTAGTAATCGATCTAAAACATTGGTTTTGCTCTGGTGATAGACCCAAGCGACTGAATAGAGCAAGGGCCGTGCATCTCCTTGTATAGATCATTGGAAATAGATAACATTTTAAAGCGGCTTTCGACGATTATATCATAGTTTCTTCTTCCTTGCAAGCTTTACCACTTACATTGCCCACTGAGACAGAAAAAATTTTCGCCATTTATCGCTTGTTTATTCACATCTGCCTCGATATCCTTCCTCTTCTCTCTAGTTTTCTCTTCGTACACCGTTTATATTTGTGCATCAAGCTTGGGATGCTCAGATTCTGCTAAACATCTCTTTCTCTCTAGACCACTAAACTTCTAAATTCAAAAAGGAACTACGTCGTCGTATCCTGTCCTATCAACTACATTTCAACTAATTATTTACACCTCTTTGCAACTCTTTCTACACATTTGCAAGAAACAAAGCATTTATTGATTACCTCGACACCAACCTCTTTTATTAAACCACTCACACACACTTTTCAACAAATACTATGGCTTACTTTTATATGTTTAACGGAAAACACGTAGGAAACGATGTCGCCTGATCAAGAAAACAACTACCCAAACACCACAAGAGAACACATTTACTATACACATCTATCCAAAGAAATCAATTTCATACAACAACCAACAAAAACAGCACCAAGCAAAAAGAAACACACTATCAAAATGAATTACTACGATAATTATCCACTCTATTACTATTCGCAAGACAACGCTAGTCTCGAAGAGCAATTGAATTTGTTCAATCAACAAGCAACAAAAGAGCTGTCAGTGGAACAGCTACTATCGACACCTATCCCAACAATGTATATTCCTCAACCATCTTATCAAGCGCAACCACAGCAGTATCAGCCATCATCACCTTCATCATCCCTGTCATCTTCTCCAAGTGATAAAGATAGCCAGAGTCCAATTTTGCATGATCAATTTCTGGATGAATTGTTCATCCCTGAAATGGAACTACACCAACTTCCCACGCTCGCAACAGCAGTGTCTTCTTGTAATCACAATAACAAGGTAGTGAAGGCGAAAAAGAAGCCTTTGTCGTACAAGAAATCTTATCCTCCAGGTCAATGCACATTGCCCATTCGTGTCGCAACACATAAGCCAGTTCGACCGCCTCGACATTTGGAGTGTTTTAACTGTAAGATCACAAAAACTCCTTTATGGCGTCGCACGCCGGATAGATTACAAACACTTTGCAATGCATGTGGATTATACTACAAACAATACAATCAACACAGACCAATCCATATCAGACACAAGCCCACAGGCGTGAATACAACTACAAGCACTCCTGCTCTGTTGCGCCCACCTTCCTATCAGCAAGAAAAGTGGATTGCACCCATCGAATTTGAGCAGCAACATCAGCACCAGCAATCGCCCTCACCATCCTCCTCGCCGCGTTCAGAACAACACGATGACATTGAATGCATCAACTGTCAACAAACCAATACTCCTTTGTGGCGTAAGAATGAGAACGGAGACCCTTTATGCAATGCCTGTGGTTTGTATGCCAAACTCAATCATCGCAACCGGCCCGTTGAGATGAGAAAATCCACCATTCAAAGGCGAAGAAGAGACTGGGCCTCTTCTTGTGATGCAGCATCCCAGCAGCAATCATCGCTAACAAAATCAGACTCCATGGCTCCCTTTCTAACCACATTTCCGTCGGCCGAGGTCTCTGATATGAACAAGGCTGAAATTCAGGATTATCTGGGCTTATTAGAACATAAATGTGATTTGCTTCGACATGTTCTTGATAAATAAATAAAATTTTTCTTCTTTTTCTTCCATTTCATTTGTTGGGTGTTGCAAGTTGATTATATCCGGGACCCAAACAACCCTAAATCTAATTATTCCGCTGCCCCCGTTTGATAAAATTGCACACGGTGATACATATTAAAGAGAAATCCAGTTAGAATGAGGCCATCAGTCAAAAAAGGCAATAATATCTCTCGACTTTAATACCATAAAATGCTCTGTATACATCAGAATTATAGTAAACAAAGAACCAATAATAGCAGCATATGCATGTATAAGGAAAAAGAAGGAGTTTTTCTCTATCTACTCATCACTTGGTAAGGAGCCTCGTTGTGTAGTGTTTGCGGTGTATATTTGTGTGTGTTCTTGTGCCAGGAAAACTTTTTTTCACTTGTTTTATACAAACTCAGGTGAAATCAGTGTATAACCTCTTGTTCTTCATCATTATTTCCATCTTCCCCCCTTCTTTCCTCTAAATAATCGTTTACTTGTAAAAAAAAAAAAATGGATAAAACGCTAATTGATTATGATAAAAATCTGGAGGAGTTAGAACGACAACGTGAAAAGTTAGAGATTGTCATGCAAATGATGGGTCAAGAATGGGAAGAGAGGTACTTTTGTTGATCAACCTGTTGCAAAATGAACAAACTCACTCATATTACTATATAATAGTGGTGCTGGTATAGGATGGCTAGGTCAATTAGATCTTCCCGAAACAAACGCTCAAGATCCTACTCTACCGATACCAGCAACGACATCCACAGCTACCGCCACCACTAATACTACAGCGACATCAACATCGGATACAATGACATCGATTGCATCTGATAAATTGGACAGCGTTGCTATGGCAACAGAATCAGGAATGGTTGCCATGGAAACCGCATCAAATGAAATATTGTCCATAGCATCGCACCCACCTCTATTCTCCAACATCCTATCTCAAGCAACAGGACCATCGCCCGAATACCTGCAATCATTGCTCAATGTGAATGAAGCTCTGCTGGCTCAGAGCCTTGCAAATAACAACGATAATAATACAGACATGACAAATGTATATCAACCTTCGACGCCTATGCTAACACCTATTGAAGAGCATCGCGAAATGCTACTTGATACCAAATTGAATTCCCCCATGACTACGTCCCAACAAGACGACGATGATGATACACCACTCGAAGAAGATGTAAATAATACCCCTCGAGATTATATGGGAACTGTGAATCCTGATTCAGAGATGATCCTGTCGCCATTAACAACAAACAGTAAACCCTTACAAGCATCAACGACGACATCTCCAACCAGAAAATCAATCTATTATCAGTAAACAAGCACTCACATCTCTGTCTCTCTTAAAAAAAAATAGTAATTCACTCATTCACAATTTATAATCATTGCAACTTTTATCCTTTCCTCACTATCGTTTTTCCTTGCTTTATTCTCAATTAATAATAAATACTATCAATCGCATAATTCAGCATTTTAAAATTAAACTAAATCCACATTTTCACATTGGAAATCGCATGATTTTGTAACAAAATATCCTTCTATCAAATTCTATTCATGAACTTTAGATTTCCAGGGACATGGATCAAAGGAAAATTAGCCTTTTTCACACATTTACATTTATTGTTACTAATTGGCCAAGTGTTGGAAAAATTCTTCCAAAATGATTCTTTGCAATTCCACACATTTAGAATGTCGATCACTATGTTTGAGCTCCTGATGCCCTGTTAAGGAAGCGCACGCATTCACTCCGCCTGTCATTCTCGGATGTATATTTTATCCTGCATTTACATTGCATGTATCTCAAGATGTTGAGTATACAGCATGAGTGCTATCCGCATATATACATGAGCATCAATTTAACTTGATTTGCATACACTCACAGACACAGCTAGTCTCATCGTTATAAATTTACACTTTCAAGTTATCTGATAATCTCAATTGATCTGGCATTTCAAGAGCATTTTCAGCTTTTACCCCTTTTCGTTAAACTACAAAAAACAAAAAAAAAAAAACTGATAATTTTTAACATGCTAAAATAAAAATGAAACTAATCCTGTTATAGATCAACTATCAGAGCAACATCAGGTACCCACGGATATCGCATTTTGATCAGTATCGTAAATGCATGGCTTCAATTAATCACAATTCTGAGTGATTGAACGGCGACGTTTTCTGTCTAATGTATAACAAATGAACTTTATATATAATAAACTACAAAATATATACATGAATGTTTAAAAAAAAAGACAACCCCGAATAAAATTATTCAAAAATGGTTAAGTCGATATTCTATTGCACATTTTATAGACGAAAAAAATACGAAACGCCAATACAAAAAGGAAATGTTGGAATCAAGCTAAACTACTGCTCTTCTTTCTTTTTTTTTCTCTTTTTTTTTCATCAAAAATTTACAAGATGGATCCAGTATTGCCAAATCCATTGATCGACCTACATCAACAAAAGAAGCAGCGAAAACGCCAGCAATTGCAACGGCAACAACAGCAGTTTCTGTATCATCAACAACATCCGCATCCACAGCCATCCTCCGTCGCAGTAGCACATTTCAACAATGGATCGTCGCCTCCGTTGCCATCATTGACATATCTAATGCACAATGGCAATAAACATCAGATGCCGCTGAAGGTCATGGATCAGATACCAAAGCATGCTCAAATGAAACAACAATTGGACTTGAATAGAAACGGAACTAATGACATTACGAGTATTAGCAGTGGCAGTAATATTAATAACAAAGTATCATACACAAACATGAATTCTTCGCCGGTACCTACGCAAATGTATCACGCCTCCATGTCGCAGCAGCAATCACCACCACCACAACAGCAGCAGCCACTGATACAGACGAAAACCAATACTGAGATGGATAACAACTCGCTGACATTCTATCAAAGATCTGTAGTTAATATCTATCAACAGCCACCTGCACCCGTTGACTCATCTTTTTATCCCATTATCAGTCGTCCGCAAGCAACTGACGATGGCCGTGCTGATGACGACGATAACCTACAAAGCGATGTTCCAACAGCAACGCCTCAACAACAACAACAGCCTCTCGCAGAAGAGCAGCAAAAGATCTATTCATTTGTGCCCCTGGACGTTATCTTTCAGCAAAAGAGGCCAAGAAAGAAATTCAACGAAGTCGAGCGATTGTATGCTTGTACTTACCTGGACTGTACAAAAGCCTATGGTACATTAAATCACTTGAATGCTCATGTTACAATGCAGGGCCACGTAAGTTGCTATGCTTTTTTAGCGCACCATTGACTTATAGACATGGATAGGGCCCCAAACGAATGCCCATTGAATTCAAAGAGTTGAGAAGACAGTTGAAATCGAATAGAAAAAAGTTACAACCACCAAAACCTCGCAAGAACTCGAATACTTCGCAAAAGCAACAAAAGCAGAAGCAACAACACCAACAACAACAGCAGCAGCAACAGCAGAGCCGCTTGGAAACAGGCATGATGGTAAATGACCAAAGCGATTTATTACAGCAGCATCCACCGTCCGAGTTTTACATGAATACAGCTAGTCGAGAGCATCACGAACACGATAACTTGGTGCTGAATCATCATCATCATCAGCAAGTACCACTGCCACAACAACCACAACCACAACCACAACAGGAATTCAATTTATACGGTCCACCACCCTCGCGAACACCGTCGATATCAGCAGCCTCTTATCCACAGCAACATCAGTTTGGCGCCTCTACCACAGCGTCCTCCTCTACCTCATCTTCATTCTCATCAAGATATCCGCAATACAACATGATGCAGCAACACCAACAACAACCATTTTAATAATTTATGCTTAGCTATTTGGATTCTCCCTCGTCATTACATCGTAATTATAAATGTATAAAATGTAAATTTAAACAACAACAAAAGATATCTATGATGGTATGCACACACACACACACACACACACACACGCACACACACGCACGCACGCACGCACGCACAAAACGCTATGAAATTATGTCTCTCTTCTTCTGCACTATTTTTTTTTTCACAATGTATACAGGCAAATTTTACATCAACAAACAAAATATTAAAAAAACCGTATTTTTCCTTTTTCTATCAATTGCTCATAGTTCTATTTGGGGACATGGCTACCAAAATATTGTGTATAGTATTTGTTTATTTATATCACGTTACACACATCGAGGGTGGTACTAAAACTTGCGCTTGTATCACAGAAGAAAAAAAAATTCATTTACGAGCAAGTGCATTTTGCAATAAATTCATCAGGATTGTCCTGGATGCGTTGACACGCCTTGGCAGCTGCTTCTTTTCTGGCTTCCTTGGTATTGACGCCTGAGCCACTAGCAAATGCCTGGCCATGAATGAAGATGATACAGCACTGGCCTAATGTCGTCGAGTAGACATTTCTAAGCAACGCGTAAGTAAATTTAAGGAGAGGGGGGGGGGGTTAGTTTAAGATTACATAATGCGCGCAAACACAGTTGTAATATGTACCTCGTTTCACACTGCTTGCACCCAAATTCTTGTACCATGCAGCTAAGTTTACCCAATTGATGCTGCTGAATCGTTTCAATCGAGATGTGGTCATCTAAAAGTGGCTTCAGTAATCTGTCAAATAAGCCCATTACAGGGTCAAGATTAAAACCAGTATCCACAAAGACGGCGCCGATCAGACTCTCCATCACATCAGAAAGCACCTTGGGTGGGTTGAAGTTGAGCCAGTACTCTCCCTCCTCATTTTGACTCGCAACGACCAGCTTTTGAAACTGTTGCACGGCTGAAGGAAAGGTCATTGAGAAATGTCGGATGTGAACATGGAGTTCCAGTTGAATACAAAGTACGCTTAAAATGTCGTTGTTCACACTAGACTTTCTTAGGTCGTGTAATGTGCGTGGTGGTGCTGTATGGTACTTTTCAAATAGGTAGTTGGTCACACAGAAATCAAGCACTGCATCGCCGAGAAATTCCAGGCGTTGATAGCAGGGAACATTGGAATTGGTGACCGAGGCGTGTGTCAATGCCTCGGCAATCAGGGCCTCATTTTGGAATTCATAACCGAGAATATGGCTCACCTTTTTTACGTCAATGCGCTGATCAAAGAGGGGATCGTACGTTGCCATCTTGAGCTGTCTGTTGTCGCATTCATTGCGATATATATTTCGGAAATCGGATCATTGCTTCACCGCTTGCATCGGTACCAACAATCGCTGTGTGGTGTATAACGCTTCATTCAGTGCCTCGTCGACTTTCTTGTCATCCAAGCACGATAAATAGGACGCGCCCAGTGTCGATTCAACAACGTCTGCCAGCGTCTTGTCGGATAGCTTGTGGTAGGTCAAGGATTTGGTCATTTCAGCGCTATCATCCTTGCACGTGTAATTGGGAGGTCTCCAGAAACGACGAGGCAGATTTTGACTGCAAATGTATTCGTATAATCGAAGCTGGATGGCTGATTTAAACAGGGCTTTGTTGCTGACCATACGCATACGCGATTCAGTGAGCTCGTACTCATTGCTGATGGGCAGAGTGACAAATGCATAGGTGGATGTGATGAATTTGAGCACAGAATCTAAATAATCGCGTTAGGCACACATCTTTTATACTACACACGTATACAGTACGTGCCTCCCAAAAACTCAAGGCGCTGATAATCCTTTTCCAGACCAGCAGACGAGGCTGTGAATGCTTCCAACATGTACGAATCCTTCATTTTGTTAGACAATCTCAATGATTTCTTTGCATCGTGCAGGAGTAAGACAGCGTCAATGTGCGTCATGATGTCAGGCACCAGTTGCAATGTTTGATACACGCTGGCACTGATGGGGTATTGATAGCACAGTTCAGGCACAAGCCAATGGACCACAGATTCAGGCTCTTGATCTCTCTTTTTCAACATGCTGTTACCTCGCACTTGCCGAAACAATTGATTCTTGGGCACACGATGGACTTGGATCAAGGGCTGGCTCATGTCTGTCATCTTCTTTGATATAAATTCTTGGCTTTCTAGTATTTTTTGAAAGTGGCATAGCCGTGCTCGCGAAGCTTCTTGACCTGACCATTGCTTGTGGTAACAGAGTCAGGAACGGACGACAGGGGCGTCATGTCGTGCTGTACACTCTGCACAAAGTACTGTCTTTTCTTTTGATCGCTTGCATCAATGAGGATGGTGTCATGAATTGCGTTGCCATGGAGATCGACGGGCGGATGGACGTCTGTGATGGTTTTGGCGATCTCAGCCCAATCAATTTTGGCTGCTTGTTGTTGAGTTGACTCAACGAAAGAAAAAGAAGAGGAATCACTGACGATGAGCGGCGCAACAAGGTATTCAATGTTGTCTCTTGCGCACGAAAACGATTTGTTTGTGATACATTTTAGAAAGCAAAAGGTGTAATCCATCAAATCATCGACTTGCTCTTGTTTGTTGAATGCTAATGCATCTGATTGACTCATCAAACGCACTTGAAACGGTATATTGTTGTATAGTGTGAAATTGGGTATGGCTGGTAGTGGTTTCTTTGTAATCAAGCACATTGGACGATAGGGAGGTAGCGGTTGCTGCTGTGCAGACGGGTCAATGTCGATCAAAGACACCCAGTAAGGACCCAGTCGAGCATGCTTCTCATCGCTATCAATGCCGTCTCCTTGCCAGAACGAAGGCAGTTTCTTCTTGTACAGATCCTCACGTCCACGACTGCCCACAAGCTTGCTGTTCTCATCCATTTCTTCCGCGATATCCTTTAATACTCTTCGCTGTGTCTTGGATTTAGGCACCAAATGGCTGTCAATGTCGCCTGCTTTGTACAATGCAATGCATGCTTGTAGCGAGACTCGCGCTTTAGCATCATCCTTGGCTCGATCATAGGCTCTGAACTGCTGTATACGGGCATTGATGGGCAGAGTCACGATGCAACCAAAGATGCCTTGCTTTCCTGTAATAGCAGTCGGATTAATTGGAGGTAAATCTAACGCCTCTATCTCCTCGAGAGAAAGACTATGGTTTGTCAGATCTTCATACTCATAAACAGGCCTGAAATTGCAAAAATTGTCTGATGGAAGCGTGGCACAATAATGGCAAATCAAAGCAATGGCGTTGGATCGTGTGATAAGAGCACCTGTCGATTGGATGCAAAAGGCTCCTTGCAAGTATTTGCTGGACAGACCTTGCTTGATATACTCTGGTTCGTATGTCGTGCCTAGACTTGCGCTTTCGTCGTCAAACATGGCTGCTAGGTTCCTGTCTTTGGGAAGCATTCGACAGTAATCCTTCATCGCTTGCTCTGTCTCAACCACATTGTCCAATAAACGAGTATCCTTCAGGTTCTTTTGATTCAGCATGAGAATGTATTTGGAGTCTTTGCGTCTGGCTCTTCCTCGAGATTGGATATAGGCTATAACAGTCTTGAACAAATCAAATCTAACGGACATGTTGTCAATGATAATGTCAGGTACCAGATTATGATGTACCTACCTGATAACATAGTTGCAGGCTTGAATATCCAGGCCCTCTTCAGCGACATTGGTCGCAATCAGTAGATTTATTTCTCCAGCTCTGAACTTTGCAATGACCTCGTTCTGCTGGGTGTAGTTCATTTGCAAATCACCGCCAGTTTGGACACCATGTCCAATCAAGACATCACATCTGATATCCTCCTTGAAAGCGCTTAACGATTCAATTAAGATTTTGATAGCCACTGCCGTATGTCGTCTTTCCACAAAAATGATGCCGCAAAAGCCTTGTTTACTCGCATCATTTGCCAAGATGTCTTTTAGACAATCCACCAATACTCTTGCTTTAGGCGTAAACTGACAGTTGTTTGTGAGATCAGGCTCTGCAGCATGATTGCCTGTGATTGCACTCAACTCATAAGCTTCTTGCAATAGCCGGCGATCCTCTTGGCTCAGTTTCTGCTCTGGCGTGTACAAGGTGCACGTGAAAAGGCCCTTGGTATCCGCCTTATAAAGGATGGATTTCCACAATTTGTCACTACACCATGGACCCAAATTATCTGAGATGTATACAATGGCATTGAAGCATTGCTCGAAGCCTGGAACTCGATTAAGCTTATTTGTAATAAGTGTTGTCAGTATGGATCTCGGATAGCGTTCTAGTCTGATATAGTCTCTTGTTGTGTGCGATGGAGATGGAGGCACATCGTTGATCACGTCCATGGAATAAAAGAGCTCGATTTCAAAAGGCTTCTTCACTGCTGATGCCAGTTCCCGGGAGCTTTTAGCGGTATAAACCAGGCTTTGCAAGCTCGTCTCCAGGGCACTATATCAGATGAATTAATCAGTCCATAACATGTAGCAATGGATATCATTTACCTGATGCTTCCGAGCACTTTTTTGGTTGATGTATGGATAGGAGATGCTGTCATGCCAAAGATTTTAGGTTTATCAAGCGCCTGATTGATAGGATCGTTGTAGATGCGATGATAAAACTGAATCATGATCAAATTGAAGGGATGCCCTTTGCTGGCATGATGACACTCATCAAAGGTAAGCAAATTCACCTACACAAAACCCCTAATTAGCATACACTTTAGTACATAAGAAGCATGGCTACATACTCGATCCAATGTCAAGAATCCGCTTCGCAGGCTGTCAAGGAATATTTGAGCTGTCAATACACATATATCATTGTTGTCCCAAATCTCTGCCCATGTATCCGCTCTCCAAGTGTCCACATTCATATCACCACACAGTTCCCTCACTTGAGCGTCGCAATTAGCTCGAATAACGCTTGCTTGTTGGAACACCAAATGCACTCGGTCAACCAGAAAGAATGTCACTTTCCGCTACAATACCGGCAAAATGATGTCAATGCCATGCTGACCAAAAGCAACACCTCCCAACACTCACTCTGTAGTTTCTGTTTGCCTGTAGCTTTTCACGTTCTATAGCTAGCATATGCTTGATCAGCATGACTGCAATCAGCGTCTTTCCTGCGCCTGTATCTAGCACTGCAATGGTGTTTTCTGATACAGCCTTCTTAAAGATTTCATACTGATATTCTCGAGGTGCTAATGTTGCTCCCGTAATATTTTTCTGTATTGCCTTATTCTCCTGATTGATACGTTCAAGCTGCTCGGGCTTCAAGTCTGAAAACTCGGGATCAAGGTAGATGATGGTCATTTACTTTGCTTTTCAAAGAAAAAGAAAAAGAGAAAGAAAAAAGAGAAAATCATGGAAATAAAAACAATACACATCCTAATAATAAGGATACGCCAAATTCACACAACCTATGTTTCATTGATTTTATACAGGTTTGCATCAAGAAAATGGATTCATCCAATGTTGATCCCTTTTCATCATGATAGAGTGACCTTCCAATCAACGAGAAGATGTTAGTCAAAAGATGGCCATTTTACATGTCCTCTAGCCATACCCCCAACATCATCTCAGCTCTTCCAATGAATGAGAGAGATGTCTTGTTTCTCCCCCCACATACAGACATCCGAAATCACTGATTTTAGCCTTTGACTCATTGGGACTTGTATTTGACTTGGTATCGTTGTAATACATGCAAAAAAACAAGATGGAGCGGGCTACAAGACAAATAGTCTTTTGAAGGATCAGCTTGTCTTTTTTTCTCTAGTTCTTCTCCACTCCACACAAAGACAAATCTAATATGTTGGTTCTTCCTGGCACTTCCGCTCTATCCACCTTCAAGAGTGCTAGTGTTTTGAAGTCTATTCAAAAGACTGTTCCCTTGGCCACCTCCATCTCGGCTCTCCATGTTCATTTCGTTCAACCCAGACAAGGTCAACAGGACAGCTTGACACCCGCATTGGAATCAGGACAGATTTTGAGAAACTTGCTGACCTACGGCTACTACCCTATTGATGCCCAATACGAGCAAGCCATTGTCTCCTTCTTATCCAGCAATCAACAAGCTGCTGATGCCTCCATTGTGCTTGTGGTTCCCCGCGCTGGCACCATCTCTCCATGGTCTTCCAAAGCTACCAACATTGCCCATCTCTGCAACCTGTACGATCAAGTGGAGCGCATTGAGCGTGGTGTTGCCTATCGCATTGCCAAGGAAGACGGCTCCCAACTCACAGCATCTGAACTGTCATCTATTGTAGATTTGATTCATGACCGTATGACACAAAATGTCATCTTGAATCTGCCTGAGCCCGAATCTGTCTTTCATCATGGTACTCCTGCACCCTTGACAGTGGTCGATTTGCTCTCTCAAAGCGCCGATAATGCAGATGCTCGCAACAAGCTGGTCGTCGCCAACAAGACCTTGGGCCTGGCTTTGGCCAACGATGAGATTGACTACTTGATCGAGGCTTTTGTAGGTGGTAAAGATGGTCAAGCCGGTCTTCAACGCAACCCTACCGATGTCGAGCTCTTTATGTTTGCTCAAGTCAACTCTGAGCATTGTCGCCACAAGATCTTTGGTGCTGATTGGACTATTGACGGTGAATTGAAGCCTCACTCACTCTTTGGCATGATTCGCAACACGCACAAATTGCACCCTAATGCCACTTTGTCTGCCTACTCTGATAATGCTGCTGTGCTCAAGGGTTTCAACGCCACTCGCTTTGCTCCCAATTCAAATGAAGGTAACAAGTATGAACATTTCGAGGAACAAGTTCATTATCTTGCCAAGGTATGTGTCATAGTGTAGCATCTTGTATATAGAGACTGATTTGGTATATGTGTAGGTCGAAACCCACAACCATCCAACCGCTGTCTCACCCTTCCCTGGTGCTTCTACCGGCTCTGGTGGTGAAATCCGTGATGAAGGTGCTGTCGGTCAAGGCTCCAAGCCCAAGGCAGGTCTTGTTGGCTTCACTGTATCCAACTTGCTGATCCCTGATAACGTTCAACCTTGGGAGACTGATTTCGGTAAGCCTGGACATGTTGCTTCTGCTTTTGATATTATGATGGAGGCACCTTTGGGTGGTGCTGCTTTCAACAACGAGTTCGGTCGCCCTGCATTGACAGGTTATTTTCGTACATTTGCTGAAACTGTACCTGTCACTGAAACCACATCAGAAGTGCGTGGTTATCACAAGCCTATCATGATTGCTGGTGGTGTAGGTACTGTGCGTCCCTCTCATGTCTTCAAGAAGCCCATCTCTCCTGGCGCTCATCTCGTTGTATTGGGTGGTCCCGGTATGTTGATTGGTCTCGGTGGTGGAGCTGCCTCCTCCATGGCTTCTGGTCAGTCTAGCGCTGATCTTGATTTCGCCTCTGTTCAACGTGAAAATCCCGAGATGGAGCGACGAGCTCAAGAAGTCATTGATCGCTGTACTGCACTTGGCGAGGACACACCTATCCAGTCCATCCACGATGTCGGTGCTGGCGGTCTTTCCAACGCCTTGCCTGAAATTGTCCACGACAGTGATCTTGGTGCCGATATTGACTTGCGTCGTGTGCCTTGCGATGATGCCTCCATGTCTCCTATGGCTATCTGGTGTAATGAATCTCAAGAGCGTTATGTGTTGGCTGTCTCTCCCGACAAGTTGGCTCAATTTGAGGCTTTCTGTGCCCGTGAACGTTGTCCCTATGCTGTTGTAGGTACTGCTACTGCTGAAAAGCGTCTTGTCGTACGTGATACCCTCTTGAACAACGTGCCTATTGATTTGCCCATGCCCGTCTTGTTTGGTAAGCCTCCTAAGATGTCTCGCAAGGCCACCACCGAGACTCCCTTCCGTAGACCCTTTGATACCACGCTCCAAACCTACTTGCCTGGTCAACATGATGTGCTTGCTGAAGCTGCTTCTCGTGTCCTTCATTTACCTGCTGTTGCCTCCAAGTCCTTCTTAGTGACGATTGGTGATCGCTCTATTACTGCTATGGTAGCTCGTGATCAATTTGTGGGTCCCTGGCAAGTGCCTGTTGCCGATGTTGCTGTCACCACCTCTTCTTTGGGTATGGATATCATCACTGGCGAGGCTATGGCTATGGGTGAGCGCACACCTATTGCTCTCTTGTCTCAAGCTGCCTCTGCTCGTATGGCTGTCGGTGAGTCTTTGACCAACTTGGCTGCTGCTCATGTAGGCAACATTGAGGATGTCATTATGTCTGCCAACTGGATGTGTGCTGCTGATCATGCTGGTGAGGGTGCTGGTATGTACGATGCCGTGCAAGCCATTGGTCTTGATCTCTGTCCCAAGCTTGGTATTGCTATTCCCGTTGGCAAGGATTCCATGTCCATGAAGATGAAGTGGCAAGACGACAAGGCGCATGAAGTTACTGCTCCTCTCTCTCTGATCATCACTGCTTTTGGCACTGTTGTCAACAACCACACTACCTTCACACCTCAATTGCTCAACAAGCCCAACACCGAACTGATTCTGATCGACTTGGCTAATGGTAAGCAACGTATGGGTGGCTCTGCTTTGGCTCAGGTGTTCAAGGAGATTGGCCACGAAGCTCCTGATGTGGAAGATGCCCTCTTGCTCAAGAGCTTCTTTAACGGTATGCAACGTGCCAAGGAAGTAGTCGGCGAGCCCTTGGTGTTGGCTTATCACGATCGCTCTGATGGTGGTTTGTTTGCTACTATTGTGGAAATGTGCTTTGCTGGCCATGTGGGTGCTCAAGTGCAATTGGATCAAATCTGCCAGAAGGAGGACGCTGTCGCTGCTTTGTACAATGAAGAGTTGGGTGCTGTTGTTCAGATTGAAACTGCTCGTTATGAAGAATTTGCCAACTTGATGAATGAGGCTGGTGTGCCTACGTCTGCTTTGCGCAAGTTAGGTACTGTTACTGAGCATGACGCCAAGGACACTATCAGCTTCAACTTGGGTACCGAAACCTTGTACAGCGCTTCTCGTATCGACCTCTTCCGTGCGTGGTCCAAGACCTCCTACTTGATGCAATCTGCTCGTGACAATGCTGTCTGTGCTCAACAAGAGTACGACGCTGCTTTGGACGCTGCTGATCCTGGTCTCCAATATCAATTGACTTTTGATCCTGCTGAAGAGTTTGTCGTCAATGACAGCAACCGCCCCAAGGTCGCTATTCTGCGTGATCAAGGCGTCAATGGCCAAATTGAGATGGCCTTTGCCTTCCACTTGGCCGGCTTCGAAGCTGTCGATGTACACATGACTGACATTATCTCTGGCAAGGTGACCTTGAAGGAGTTTGTCGGTATTGCTGCTTGTGGTGGTTTCTCCTATGGTGATGTCCTCGGTGCTGGTGCTGGTTGGGCTCGTACCATCTTGCTGAATGCCCGTGCCCGTGCTGAATTTGCTGATTTCTTTGCTCGCTCCAATACCTTCTCCTTGGGTGTCTGTAATGGCTGTCAATTCTTGAGTCAGTTGTCTGAATTGGTGCCTGGTGCTGATAACTGGCCTCGCTTTGCCCGCAATGAATCTGAACAATTCGAAGGTCGTACTTCTTTAGTGCAAATCCAATCCACCAACTCCATCTTTATGAAGGGCATGGAAGGCTCCATCTTACCTATTGCTGTTGCTCATGGTGAGGGTAAAGCTACCTTCAAATCAGATGCTCAATCTCAAGAGTTCCACGCACAGGGACTTGCTGCTACTTGCTATGTTGACAACTATGGCAAGGTCACTCAACAGTATCCTTTCAATCCCAATGGATCTCCTCAAGGTATTGCTGCCGCTACCTCTCCTGATGGCCGTGTCCTCATCATGATGCCTCACCCTGAGCGTGTCGTTTTGAAGGAAAGCAACTCTTGGTATCCTGCAAATCAAAATTGGGGTCAAGCTGGTCCTTGGTTGAAGATGTTCCGTAATGCTCGCCAATGGGTTGGTGACAACTATTAAGCCCCTTATTTTTCATTTCATATTATTCATACTATCCTCTACTGTACACAATTTCTCTCTTTTACTATATTCCTCTTTATCCATGAAAGCAAAAGAATAAACAAGCCTATTTCTGCCGTCAAATGTATTTATATAGTTGCCAGACTGGTCATCCAATCATTGCCTTTCATCCATACTGACGACCCAAGCAACCCCCCGCATTAAATTCTCGAGTTGACAGTTTCATAAACCTTTTTCTTTTTCTTCTCCAGTCTTCATACGATGTTTACCTTGAACACTAGAGTAGCGCTCGGAAAGCAGCGCCTTGCCGTAGTTAAACGACTATTCACCAATACACAAAACTACGATGCTCTCGTTTTAAATGCATTCACAAACAAGGAAGGCCAAGTCAGCTTGGCTGCCAGCAAGGATATTTCACAAAAGACGAAAGGTCTGATCGAGGAGCAACTCAAAGTATCCAATTTCAAGAAGGCAGGTGATGTCCGTACACTTTACAATGTCGGTGGCATGAAGCAGGTCGCTATCGTTTCTCTTGGTGAGCAATCTGTCGCTCAAAAGGATGAACAAGAAGCTGCACGCAGAGCGGTAAGTAGAGTATATATTTTGAAAGTCTGTGTCGGTGTATTGACGATTCCATAGACTGCACTAGGTTTGCACGCACTAAAGCCTCAAGGAGCCAAGCGTGTTGGCATCGATATTTCCGTCAGTGCTCATGGTGCTGGTGAAGGCTCCGTTTTGAGCCAGTTTTCATTCGACAAACTCAAGTCCAAAAAAGAGCAGCAAGAGCAGGATATCGAAGTTGGGCCCTTTTCAGAGAGCAAAAGCAGCACAGAATTGACATGGGAGAGTGGACAAATCTATGGCGCATCGCAGAACGTAGCACGCATGCTAATGACTTCGCCAGCCAACTTGATGACACCAAAATTGTTTGCTGAAGAAGTTGCCTACTTATTAGCTGGATTGGAGAATGTCGAGGTTATTGTGCACGATGAAGAGTGGGCTGCCAGGCAAAAGATGAATGCCTTTTTGTCCGTGGCTAAAGGAAGCACCGAACCATTGCGATTCTTGGAGATCCATTACAAGGGAGGAAAGGAAGGCGGCAAGGTGCATGGCTTGGTAGGTAAGGGCGTTACGTTTGATGCTGGTGGCATCTCATTGAAGCCCTCCAACAACATGGCATTGATGAAGGGAGACATGGGCGGGGCTGCGACTGTTGCTGGTGCTCTGTATGGTATCTGTAAGATGCAATTACCAATCAACGTAGTTGCTGTAACACCATTATGTGAGAATATGCCCTCAGGCACAGCAACCAAGCCAGGTGATGTCATTAAGGCCATGAATGGTAAATCAATTGAGGTGCTGGATACAGATGCTGAAGGAAGATTGATTCTGGTAAGTGATTGACAGAGGGTTCTTCCTGCAAATATTCTTACATGTTGGATTGGGGGGGTTTTTTTTTTGTTAGGCCGATGCGTTGTACTATCTTAGTTCCAAATACAAGCCTGAAAGTTTGATTGATCTTGCTACTTTAACTGGGGCAATGGATGTCGCACTGGGCGATGTATTTGCAGGTGTGTTTACCAATTCCAACAAGCTGTGGCACAACTTGGAACAGGCAGGCAAGAAGACATCAGATCCCTTCTGGAGAATGCCATTAAATGATGGCTATTTGAAAGAAATGCAAGATTCAGCAGTAGCTGATTTGAATAACCTCGGTAAGGGCAGATCAGGTGGTGCCTGCTCAGCTGCTTCATTTTTAAAGGAGTTTGTGTCTGGCCTTGAGGATAACCAGAACAAGGTGGATTGGGCTCACATCGACATTGCTGGTGTGATGGACAGCCAAGGCACTGATGGCTATCACATCAAGGGCATGAGTGGTAACTATGTTTCGAGATGTACATCATTACGGTGATACTAAATACGCTTTGTTTTTTTTAGGTCGTCCCACAAGATCTTTAATTGAATATGTACGTGGTCTCTCTAAATAAATAGATATAACAAAGGTACAGTTAGCTGTAAAGGAAGGCCTTTTAGTCACGTGTTGTATGACCATGGATAAATTTTGAGGGGAGGGGGTCATCATGAAGATTCAGTATAAGTGGGGCATCTCAACAAACAGTGGAAACTCTTTTTTTTTTCTCTTTTTCTTTTTTCCTCAGGAAAAAAAAAGCTCTCTTCTTCTTCTTTTTCTGCAACCAACTGTAAAAAGATAGGAGGGATCAGGGTCTTGTTTTCTTTCTTTTTTGTACATCTGATTCCATCTCTCATTATTATCCCAAAGCTATTATACATCACCTACAAATGTTGCCTATAACATTTGACCTCGCAAAATATCCAACCGTTGATACCATCAGATTATTAGCATCGTTGTTGGAGAGAATGACACTGGCCAATGATCTGTTAAACAAGCAGCAACCACAGCAACCATTACCACAGCAATCGCAGACATCTTCGCAGCAACAGCAGCGTCGTGCTTCCTTGCAACCACCACAGACACCGACCTACACCCGGTTTCATGCCAGACTAGTGCCTTCGATTGACATCTACTCCTACTTGTCCAGGATACTGAAGTACTGTCCCTGTGCAAACGAATGCTTCTTGAGCTTATTAGTATATTTTGATCGCATGTCTAAAAATTCACTGGCGTTGACTGGGAGACCATTTACTATTGATTCGTTTAATATTCATCGACTCATTATAGCTGGTGTAATGGTATCTAGCAAGTTCTTCAGTGACGTGTTTTACACCAATACTCGATATGCAAAGGTAAGTGTCTAGGAGGAACAAACAGTGTCTGTGTGATCATGTATTTAATAGAGACATGTAGGTGGGCGGTTTGCCAGTCAGTGAATTGAACAGTCTGGAGCTGGAATTTCTCAAACTGAATGGCTTCAATCTCACTGTACCTATCAGTGAACTGCAAAAGTACGGTGATCAGTTGCTGAAGGTTGGCTACATGACACAGGTGAAATCAACCAACTTTCGTCATACTCGCTCAAGCTCATTGGATCAAGCAAGAGACGTGGAAAGAGTTTGTGATTTAACACAAAGAATGTCACTAGATGAACAGCAATATCAACAACCTTATCATCATCAACAACATCATCCGCATCAACAATACCAACAGCAGCGTTATTACAATAATAACAGCAACAACAAACGGCAATCTCATCAAGTTCGCCGTATGACCAGTACAAATAGCTTGAAAGAAAACGGTAGATTCAACTACGAACAACCACGACATTCTCGATCTAGCGTAAACTTGCATCAAGTTTGGAAGCCAAGTAGTCCTCTCCCTCAGCAGGAAGAAGGCAAGAATCGTCGATTGTCCTTGACATCTATTCATGCACCTCCTTTCATACCTAGCAGTGAGTTGCAACAGCAAACACAACAACAGCGGCAACACCAGCAGAATCAGCAACACCAGCAGTTTCAACAGTTGCAGCATCAGGGTCAAATCTATTACTATCCACCAATGGGGATACCTACGCCTCCACCTTCTGCCTCACCAGTTCATCATCAACCTACTTACTACTTGTAAACATAGTGGATAGGCCAGAAGGACAGATGCGCATTATATATCACATTTTATTAATATACTTTACTATTGCACACTACTACAACAACAACCATATATATAACATACACACATATCTTTTTTACACGGCAAAAACAAACAAACAACCTTTCTGTATATATCCTATCATTATTATAACAAGTATTCTTTTTTTTTCTTTTATTATTTAATAGCATTCTCTGTTCTCTCCCGCTCTTCAATATTCTACTACTCTATTACTATTACTATTATTTACTTACCACTTATATATACATATATATTTACTGCTCTATTTCTTCCAAATAAACAAAAAACATATAAAAAACATATCCATCTTGTGCTACCCCATTTTTACGTTGGTTAATACGAATGGCACTGCAAAATGATGATGGTGGTAATTTTTTTTGTGCGCCTTGTACTCACTAATTAATGTGCCTAGCTCTGCTTCTTGGTTTCAACCTTTTCCTGCTTCCACGCACTTTTGTAATCTCCTTTTGATGCTGCTTTTATACTTTTTTTATTCTGCAAGCATTCAAAAGAAAATGAAATGGCGGGGGCCCAGAAATTGTTAAATGTCGCAATAGAAAAGCTAATATAAATGATTTAATACATGTAACCTTAGCTAAATCTTTTGGTTGATAATACACGAGTAGTTTTGTATTTTTTAATGCTACACAAAAACGAAAAAAAAACCAGTAATTTTGTAGAGGGAGGAGGCAAAAGAGTTCATATCCTAAAGAATCCTTCCTCTTTCTCTTATCCTCTCTTTTTTTTTTCTTACCACAATCAAGAAAAAAATGGCACCTAGATCAAGAAAAAATCAAATTTCACACTTTAATGTGATGGTGGTTGGATTCTCGGGCGTTGGTAAAACATCCTTTGTCAGAACATTGCTAGAAACTCTATCCCTGGACCAAGCCAACACAATCGCTAATAATGGCGGTAAGAAAAGACGTGATTCATTCATGTCTGAAAATTCCTCAGTTCTGGTTCAGGAACAGTTACAAGGTCCTATTGAAAGAACAACACAGCCCTATACTATTTCCAGAGAGATTGAGGTAGAGAAGAAGGAACGAATCATCTTGACCATCATAGACACACCTGGTTTCGGTGCCGAGTACCTCGTCGATAAGCAACTACATGATATCACAAAGTACATTGAACATCAATTTGACTTGGCTTTGCAAGAGGTTTGTTGTGTATTTCTAGGAGAAAGAGAGAGTGACATTTGGATTAAATGTATGTGTGTGTCTACATAGGAGTCAAAGGTGAAACGTAACCCAAAGGCTGTCGACACACAGGTTCATTGTTGCTTATACTTTATCGATCCCAAGAAATCAGCATTAGATGAATTCGACATTCGCATCTTGAAGAGGCTTTCGAACCGTGTCAACGTAATCCCCATCATCGGTAAAGCAGATAACCTCACTTTGGCTCAAAGAAACCGTTTGAAGCCTTCCATCATCAAAGACATCTATACCACCTATAAAATTCCTATATACGGAATGCCAGATGATGAAGACGACGACGACGAAGAGGAAGACAACGACGAAGAGGGCAGCAAAAAGGAAGCAAAACCAACCACGCTCGATCAGTTTCTTCAACAGTTCGACTATGAAAAAGAAGACAACGACACTCAATCCGTATTGGATTATTTGCACACGATTCCCTTCACAGTTATCGCCTACGAAGATGAGCCAGAGACTGGAAATCCTATTGAGATCAGTCCAGAGATCAAGTTGGGTCGTGATTTTGGATGGGGATCCATTGATTGCTTGGGCGAAAAGTATAGCGACTTTGTCAAGCTCAAGTACATGCTGTTGTCTTCTCATCGTCGTTATTTACAACTAGATACTGTGGAGAGATACTACGAGCAATACCGTACCGAGAGATTGATGTATAAGAGAGCCACCAAAATTGGCATGGTTGCCCCTCCTGTTGCTCCTTCATCCTAAGTCTTGTCTTTTTGATCTGCTCGTATACCTCCATTTTCTATAAATATTATTAATCCTCAAAACGTTACACTCTATACAAACAAAAATAAATAAAGATATACTTGTTGAAATGCTGGGCATATATGATTCGTTTTCATTTCCCAATACATCATGTATAAGCTAAAAGAGACAAGCGTTTTAACCATTTACTGCTGTGTGCTACCTATGTTACACAGCAACTACATGAAAAGCAAGGGGGAAATGTGTGTAATATTGATACTAACAGCAATGCGCCATTCATCAAGTCATCAGATCATCAACTTGAATGCTGCATATACTAACAAGTTTAAAGATCACTCGGCCTTCGTATAGGAAGAGAGAACAAAGTATGACAAAGCATGCATCCTCAAGCCGACGAGCCTTTCTTGAAAAAGATAGCTCATATAATTAGTAGCTAAAGAAGTTTCTTCGTTATCCTCTATCATCGATCCATCCTGATTTAACCACCGTCTCCTTTGATTTGATCAAAGCAGCGTTTCTAAAGAGTGCTTTTTTTTTTTTTTACATAGTGTGGGCATTAAAAGCATATACCAGCCTAATAGAGATTTATAGACGCACCACACTTCGAGTTTCGATAATGATATTTGCATGAAATTTGAGATTTACCATAAGCCAGCCATGACCAGCCGTCCTTTTCTGAAGACTGGGATTCAAGATGGAAAATTTTACCAGTGCCAAAACAGAGATTACATCTCGAGTTTCTTTCAACAACTACACATGAGTACTCAAGAATTGTTTGGCGGTGCCATTGTGGCGCCTGTTCTCGGCTCTTTTGTGGATGCAAGGTGCTTATTTTAATTAGTACTCACGAATGATCCAACTCACCTCAAAGAGTAGTCAATTCCGTCAAATACCAGACAACCAAGAGGTTTTTGTAGACATGAATACACAACAAAGTTTAATCTTTGAGCTATTAGAGCAAGTAGAAGCTACAAACGAACAAGTGGCCAAGTAAGTACGCAGTTGGAGAGTATGGTTTTTATTGTACTGACCTATTGATCTCTAACAGATATCACTTTCAACAATTAGCAGATGATAACGAAGCTGCTGAATCCACAGTAACTATGGTCGATAGTTTGAAGCCTCAAGATGTATCCCCTCTTTTACCGTAAGCATCACTGAATCAAGTCGTTCGTTTGATCTAAACTGATAATCGTAGTCAAGATGCCACTGAGATCTATGTCTTGCAAGGCTCTCAAAAGATTGCTAAATTCAATGAAAGCAATGCATTCAACACGGTAGAGATTATCCTTGTTGTTGTGCGTCTGACCAAGGTTGAAACTGATTTTGTCATCTCAGTAAACGCTCCAGTCAAATTAGCTTCCACCAGCAGCGAGCAAGAATCTGTCAATGAAACAAGTGCTGTTACTATTGACACTGTCAAACAAGAGATGTTAACTATTTTGAAAGGCCTTCAAGTCAAAGATTGGAGCCTTTTTGGTTAATAAAACGATTTGTTTGAAAAGGCTCAGAACCACACGTGTACTACAAGCTTTTTTTTTTATAGAAAATTACAGCAAATGAGAAATTATAACTATGTCAGCAGAGCTTCTGGGAGCTTAATAGAGCATGTAAAGCCCATCGCCTTGTGTCAAATCTTTTTTGCTGCAGATACACCTTTGAATAAGCCAAATTGCAACTATCAAACCTATCAGGCATGAAAATGCGTGACAATAGCAAAATAAATTAGTCGAGCTAAGCGATAGTGCTTTTCCATACGCAATCCCCTTTTCGTATGAACTTTCAACAGCATCGTTCACCTGAAAAAAGCGCATGGAATGGCTGTTGCCAGCCAATAATATTCAAAGTCCGTCTCCAAATTTTCTTCCTTGATTTGTTAATTTTTGTTCAGTTTTCGACTTGCTCGATCTATTTTGCAAAATTTGACTATGTAAATTGTGATAATTACTCTATGCTTCCTTATGCTTTTCTGGAGTACTTTTCAAGGTGCATCCAATGGTACTAATCATAAAAGGTGTTTTGAATAAATTTAGTGAGCAATGCTTGAAAATATGTAATAAGGTTTTTGGCCAGAATATCGAGATTTTGCATATGAAAGTATCACAAACAAAGTTTCAGGGGCTGCTTTGGATCAAGAGGAACATTTTGACTTGATATATGCCTTAGTAAAAGTCTTCATTTTCAAGGTCAAAAACGCAACCGTTTGATTTTCGACAAAAACCATGGGGTATCACTCATGGTTTTAGGTCGATTTTCGACGATCCCAAAAAAGTTGAGCAGAGGTGTCAGAAAGCAAACGCGAGATGAGGGAAACTGTTTGGTGCTATTCTGGAGGTCTAAAACGACTTTTAACACGAGAAATCACTGCTCAGATTCACCAAATTTCCACCGTGATTTGGATATATTGGAGCAGTTTGAGACATTGCAAGCATGCTACCAGCCTGTAAATGAACTGTTCTTATTGATTCAGATGTGGAGCATCGCAGAAGAGTCATATACACAAGTCCAGATTAGTTTTAGGTCCTCACAAGATGTACATAGGCAATTATAGTATAATTTTTTAAGGCTATGGAATAGGTATGCAAATGAAGTTTATGTATGTCGTCTATGCAGATCTGTTTCATCTCTATGAAGTGCTAAGCTAACTGAGCTCACATTGGGAGTAGCAGCCATGATTTCCTTGTAATCCACATGATAGAGTTTTGGTGGTAGTCCTTTGCCAAACTTTTCATTGACATGGTTTGAGCACATGAGAGCCGAAAACAAGACTAAAAGATGCACTGGAATCATACTGAATGCCACTATCCATGTGATCCTCAGAGCATTCACTGTCAGATTTTGATATTTGTATTTGCAGCCTGGATATAATGTCCGAGGATAGCATTTGTTGGATCGCTCATGATAATCCATGAATGTCTTGTAACCGCAACAATGCAAGTTTGCTTGGATAATTGCCCTTTCAGAAGAGTCCAGCTGATAGTGCCATTGATAGGATAATTTGCCCTGTCATATTTCCTTTGGTTAGTGACATGAAAAGCCCATGCGCATACAGCTCATACCTCAATGTTCCATTTATTCTTTCTGTAAGCTGTATATCCAATGGCAGCAATCATACCTAAGCATGACCACATGAGTAAATTGTAAACGGCTAAAAGAGGTCGATTGTTGAGTATAATGGCTGTGAATCCTATCAACGACGTCAACAAGCAAATGACGCCGGTCGCTGTAACCACTACACTATGATTTAATAGTAATGATTTTACACATAAATACGCTCAAACTTACAATTAACAATGGTGGTCTCTCCAACCAGGAATACTAGGGCACGCTGATAGACTACAAGATACGAATGAGCTCAAATCAATTGACTTTATACAGCAGATAACTTACGCTTGAAATAGGTGCATAACCCCAAAATGAGTGCAATAAGGCCATAAACGAATAGCTACAGATTTGCCAATTCAATTGCCATATTCTCGATGATTTGACGTGTGTATATTATGCGCTTACCAGTGTGTTCATCAAGATAAGCCAGATCTTGTGCCATGTCCAACGACGCCATTTTTTGACAGGTATCCTCGGTGACCCTTCAGGCACATATCTTTTCATGATGTGAATATTAGAGTGTATACTCGATGCAAATGATGAATTATTGCGAGTCATCCAAGGTAAGTGCGGCCTGACGACGACATGGTTGTCCCAGTTCAACGTGCTATCAATATGTAGATCGTTTGAAGATTGCGTTCCTGACGATGAGTCCAATGTCGACACGGAGGATGAGGTTTGGTTTAATGCAATACGTCCGTGGTTCATTTAATGTACAATGTGCTTTGGATAAAGGTAGAAGACAAAGAAGGCGAACGAAGTTGACATCTCAAACATCTAAAATTTATTTTTTACACCAAAAATTCACTAAATCCATGCTTGAACATCAGTTTTAAACATTCCACATGAATTCTGTAAATGGCTATTTTAAACTACACTCAGCGTAATCAATAGAGATGCTTGCCCTACTGCACGTGCAAACGGGAGCCACTGTTCAACGTTTACAGAACTTTGAGTCAGATCGACATGATGCTTTATTTCATCATGCAAGCATGGACCACCTCATGTGTCGACATTTTATGTATATATATACATTGACAGAGATCATTACACGACCAATTTTCAACAGCTGGATTGAATTAAGCATATTAAAAAAAAAAAAAAAAGTTCAATTGACAGGTCATCAAAGATTGGCTTGGTTCTACATTGATCTCTCTGTTTGAGGTACCGAGAAACTTCACTTTCCATCTTCATTTGATGGCTTTCAAGCGGTACCTTGATAGGGATAAAGATCAAAGGTTCAAATTAAACAGTTTTAGTTTCGCAAATGAATATAACGTCAAATTAACCAAATGTATTAAACCAAGCTAAAAGCACAGGCTCGGCCACAGCTGAATAGGCCATCAAAGTCCAAAGCGATTGTGTTTTCTGTGTGTGCTAAATGCTGCTGGTTTCGTACTCTGGTATCACCTCATTGTGCTGCCTACAGCGTGGCTTGGTAATATAAACCTCGGATGTAGCACTAAGCTTAATATGATGGTAATAATAAAGGCACATTATCAGCCCAAATAATTACATCTATCCTTTCTTTCTCTTTCTGAAATCGTTGGACTCCAATTTACTACTATCATGTTCTTTTCATATATATCAAGACTTGTAAGCTAAATATACACCAAGAAAAGTATATAAAGCAAGGGCTATTTAAGAGATCCCAAACTGAATTCTGCAACTCTTTTATGTTTTCGTAGTTTAAACAATTGTCAAAATCTCGGTGGATTCAGCTCTATTTCACACTAGTGATCATACAAACACTATTGTCAGTACCAATTCTGATCAAGACACTACTCAATACCAATCATTTGACTTCAAAGACAACGCCTATAGAAGACGAATCATCGCTGATAGATGATAGGAACACCATTTTTGGAGACTACCTCACCGCAAAAGGTTATAAAATCATATATGAAAATGTGTTGTTTATAGCGTTTGAAGTGTGGCGGCTGTGGACGTTGACGGATGGCGTATGTGTTGGTCACTGCATTGACTAAGGAGAGTGTGTTGCTCACATTGGTGCTTGTAGATTGTACATCTGAATGCGTTGACCATCCTGGCATCGGCGTGGCTTTCATTCTTGTCTGGCATATTCAACCTGTTGGTAATGTATACATTGCATTAAAGCGGATGACAGACTATTCATCCTGTATTGATCCAGCTTATCATTGAATCCAACAAATGGATTGCCAGCAGGTTCGACGAGTTGAAAGAAGAAAACAAGAATCTACAGATTGCTTCAACGAGCATCCTGTTCTTTCTGTCTGTACCTGTCATCACGTCTGCATATAAAACCGCCAAAATCATTGGATGGCAAGTCTACAAAAAGATTGGCAGTAGTATCCAGCTCCAACGTAAAACGCACTGACAACAACAATGCTGAGTGGCACGGATAACTAATGGCTCTACCAACTTAGACATGTATCACACTGTGCAATGGTTTGCTTTATGGCTCAAGATTGACATTTACTTTGAAGTTGTTCTGCTCATCTGCACAGCCATCGTCACCAAACGTCTGGTATTCCAGATTATCTGTATTGTTATGGTGCTGCTTGTATCTTTATCACTGATATTCTCTAGAATTGCCATTACAAAAGAGAGCAATTGGATGATGTTTGTGTTTCTGTTTTTGCAAATGGTCCTGCTGGCCTGCAATACGTACAGTCTCATTGGGTTGTTTGAGTACTCGACGGTTGATCTCTGGTTTACCGGTATCGTTTACGGTAAGCTGCATTTGACCATGTCATCTATGTATGCGTGCCAGCTCATCTCTTTCTCATTGTAGAATTTGCGTCCATCATATGCATCATTGTAAGTACACATGGGCTCTGTAAGACATGATCTGACGCATGAGGTTCTTTGTAGACTACTATATACCTAGCTATCAAATGTCAGATCAACTTTGGTAAAGGCCTTAAACCCTATGGTAAGTGTTCAAATGATGCACAGGCCTGAAAAAAAAAAAAAAAAAAAAAAAACTCACCCTGTGGCAGTATTCTGGATCCCATTTCAAGGCACAAAGAGATTCATTGAAGAGCCACCGCATCATGCAATTGAAGCCGGTCTCCTCGGTATAAAGCGCAACGAAGATCGCATGCCCATAGACGATGAAGACGACGACTGCTATTACAATGACTCTTCAATCACAGAAACCAAGAAAATGTACATGATGAATCACAATGACATGCCCCGTAGATCATTAGAAAGGGTGGATCATGTCCCATTCAATATCAAAATGGAACGATATGCTGGAAATACAAAATTAGACTCCATCAAGCTTCCAGCAAGCAGCACCATACAGCCAGTCAGAGTAGCCATGAAGCCAATACTGAAAGATACAAACACAAACATCACAACAGCCGTCATCATCACCTCAATCAACAGCAGCAAACAGCCGTGGCGAAGTGAATTTACATCACCAACACCTGATACTGGATCTGTATCATCTTCTACTGTCATAGAGTCTGGTACAGCAACCACAGCAAATAGCAGTAATAATAGCATCATTGAGCCTACGGTATTAGGAAGAGTCATGCAGCCTATTGCCAATTCAATAGTACCTGAGGGCTTACCTATGACAGCCACTGCAACTACGATGACAGCCTCTTCGACCTTGCGCCCTTGATATTCATACAATGGTGTGCCACATTTTTTCTGTTTATCTATGAAGCCTAAAGGGGCTGAAAAGAATAAAAATTATTCTTGAATGATTGCATTGTCATCATCTGATACACAAGGGGAAAACACTCAGCCTTTTAAGGACACTATATATGCTCTGCACAGTTCACGTGTTGGTATGAACCCTCTTTCTTTCTATTCTCATTATGTTATTTTCAGAATTGGTACACTCTTCTCAATCGAAATCTACCCTGCAATTGACTCATGTCTTGTGCTTAGGAAAAGCGATTCACAAAGTTCAAATGGAGCACCAGTTTCCTATCACTAGCTGCCTTCCAAGTGCTCGTCGCATTGAGCCTGCTTGTCCCAGCATTTCTGCATGTCAGACAAATTCATGACAACGATATAAGTGATCCAGCTTTCCAAGATTATATTGGAAAAGCATTCAAGGTGTCAGGCGAATGCCTTATGTTTATCGTGTTTGAGATATGGAGATTATGGCTGGCTATCGACGGTGTACATGTCATATAAGCAAACGTATGGAGGAGGCTACTCACCATGTACTATAGGTTATACGAATGAATTCAAGGACTATATACGCTTCAGCTTCATTCACCATCTTGTCCTTTTTATTCAGCATCATGGCAAGTATACATCAAACGCACAACATAACCAAATCCTAACCTGAAGCGCAGTTGGTTGCAGAATCTGTCAACTGGATCAAGATGATAAACTCAATGGAGAATATCTATTCCGTCAGTCCAGAGGCTGACAAGCTGCGACTGATCAATCAATACCTTCAAATTGCGCTCTCTGTTGTCATCTTTCTGTTTATATTTCCTACATTTTGGGTAGCGAATCGAGTTACCAAGGATTTCGGTTGGGATGTCTACAAGAGGATTGGCAGCAGCATTGAAATACAGGGTACACTTTGATGCCGTATATATACACTCACAGCTGATTTTGCTTTTATAATAGAAATGTACATTCACTTGCAATGGCTATCACTCATGCTAAAGATTGACATTTTCTTTGAGTTCATATCATACGTTCTGCTCTTGTTGTACCAAGCATTCAACTCGACTGTTGAGACACACATCAACCTCGACATGACGCCAGATAGCGGTCTCATCGTGTTCATCATTCTGCTGCTACCATCATTCCTGCTGTGTAGATTTTCAGTTTCCAAAGAGAGCCATGCGCTGATGACCTTATTTATTGCGATACAAATTGGGTTCATAGCAAACACTGTCTATATTATCGTCACCACGTTTTCTGTAGCGACATCATGGTATGCGTATATGATGTACAGTAAGTAAAAATAAGTGTCTTTATACATGAAGCAGCTCATTGATAGCTTCTTGTAGGCGTAGGCGTTCTTATTGCAGCAGTGGTAGGTGTCTCGTTTGACGGCTTGAATGCGAATCTCACATTGACTCCAAATATGCCTAGGCAACAGTAAGCCTTGCAGTCAAATGCCAATTAAATTTCGGTAAAGGGCTCAAAGATTTTGGTAACTATCAATCTCAATAAAAGTTATCGCTATGCTGATGCTTGTGTTATATAGTCCAGTGGCACCCATGGAAGAAGGACAAATCTAAAAGACGTTCAACAAAGTACAACAGCATGCACGAAGCAGATGATTGCTACGGTGTTTATGATAGAAGGCGAAATAGCACACCAATAGACGATGATGAATCGACTCTGCAAGTCGATGTGCCTCAAAAACACGCCCATAGCTAGGCAGCAGATCTTTTGACATGAGAAATGCATACCATAGCTTATCTGTAGATTAAATGATATATGGTTCACTGATGAATCACAATAAAGAAATAGTGCAATCTCCATGTAGCAAGTATAAATACCATGAATTTGGTTTTGGGTATTGCTACCTTCTTTCTTTCTATACTCTTGTTTTAATATATGGTCAAGAATATCATCAAAAGTTGTATCAAGATTGCGTTTGTAACATCTCTTTGTGCATTGGTACCGGTTCATATGCTACTAGACCACGCTCTTCGTGCTATAGAAGAAGCCATTACCACTTTCCAGGAAGCCATACTCAACCTTGACCATTTAATTGAGGACAACTGGGAGGCCGTAGGCAGAGAAACCCGCCAAGTATATTTTAAGGATACGATGCCGAGAGCTTATCTCACAGAGCAACCAGACGATGAGGTCGACACTCCAAAATGGCCAGCCAAGGGTATAAACAGTTTAGTTGATTATATCTGATCAAATACACAAGACTCATACAAGCACGCATACAAAGGTTGCCACATGGCTACATGTACATTGTTATGAATACATTGCCTTGATTCGCTTTAGTTTATCTACAATTACAGATGAATAACGTGCTTATTTTTCACCGATAATCAGCATGAGATGCAGTACTCATTATTTCTAATCATTTGAACAAGACATTTGTGGATTGGATGCTTGTTGGCAAACATCTATTACCCAACTGCAAGAGCACATAGTATTATGCCATTTTGTCATACTTGATCCAAAATGCATAAAAGTTCGTGATCTTGATGTCCAAATCCAAAAGCCACCCGCTCATTAAAAAAGTCAATGGGAAAAAAAAAATATTTGTCAATATCTCTTTTACACTAGTTACTCTACTATGGCCTCACAAGACATTCCTGATCCCATCAAGGACTTTAAGGGCTATCAAGGCTCGTTGTTCAAGTCTTTGGTGGCTGCCACTGCTGCAGCTAACAGCATCCCTGCGGAGGAGTGGGGTTACTTTAGATCGCTCGATAGACAATTCGCCAAAGATCTCGACCAAGCTGGTGCTAGTTCATTAGCTATCGGTAACGCTTTATTGCAGCAATGTGCCATTGATTGCGGCCTTACTGTCAAGAGCTTTGACGATATCGACGATGTTGTGGAGAGATACGGTGCTGCCACCGATGTGTGCGATGGATTATTAGAAAAAGCTGTAAGCATCAACCATCGTGATTGACATGTTGACATGCGTCACTCATATGACAGCCTAGGATCATTGTCTCGATGAGATCAGCGGCAAACATACACAGGAGGACTTTAAGCAAGACAATCCTGAAGTAACACAGATTGCCACCAAGGTAGGTGAATGGTACAGTTCTCGATAATCTGCTTGTATCTCACAGTAAATGATAGGACAAATTGGAATACAAATTTTTGCATGCAAACAACGTCGTTCGACCTCAAATGAAGTTTAAGGATCCAGTCAACAACTCCAGCGCAGTGCCATTTGAAAGAAAGATCAAATACAAACCACACGCCTTGGTGCCTCTCGATTTCACTGTCGTGGCCGAAGACAAGTCATTGCCTCACCCTTACGAATACGAGATTTCACACATTGAATATCCCAAGAGCATGTTTACTGTGACAGAGCCAGAAATGTACAAACCTTACGATACCACTTCACCTACTTGGGTGGATACAGAGGAGGCATTGTTGGACATGATGAAGCGCTTGGAGGGACACCAAGAGCTGGCAGTCGATTTGGAACATCACAACTACCGCAGTTATCAAGGGTTCACTTGTTTGATGCAACTGAGCACGCGCGATGAAGATTTTGTGATTGATACACTGGAGCTGAGAGACAAGCTGTGGATGCTGAACGAGTATTTTGCCAACCCAGAGATTGTCAAGGTGCTTCATGGTGCGGATTCCGATATCATTTGGCTCCAAAGAGATTTTGGATTGTATATCGTCAATCTTTTTGACACCTATTTCCCCACCAAAGTGCTCGATTTCCCTCACCACAGTCTCGCCTACCTTCTCAAGACATACTGCAACTTTGATGCTGACAAGAAATATCAATTGGCAGATTGGAGAATCAGACCCTTACCCCAAGAAATGTTGGAGTACGCTCGCTCAGATACTCACTTTTTGCTGTACATTTACGACCGTCTTCGCAACGAGCTTTTGGAGAAATCAACTTCTGAGGACGGTAATTTAGTCAAGATCTGTTTGCAGCGATCCAACGAGGTAGCTCTTCAAAAATATGAAAAGGAAGTGTACGATGCAGAGAACGGCCTTGGCGTTGGCGGTTGGAAGAACATGTTGGCTAAATGGAAGTATGCCATGAATCCCCAGCAACTAGCAGTGTTCAAGGCCTTGCACTCTTGGCGTGATCACACTGCCAGAGGTGAAGATGAATCATGGCGTTATGTCTTGCCTAACCATATGTTGATGGCCCTCGTTGAGCGTATGCCTTTGGATTCAAGTGGTGTTATTGGTTGCTGTAATCCCTGCCCTACTTTGGTGCGTATGAACGCCCAAGCCATTGCTTACACCATCCAGCAAGCAAAGATGAATGCATTACAAACAACCAAAGAGGACGGTTTCAAGGAGGAAGCATCAGCGCCCACAAAAATGGAGACATCGACAACGGCAGCAAAGAATGGATCAGTGACTACAACGATGCAGGTGCAGCAAGTCAAGAGAAAGGTGTCTGCTGTGGATCCTTCCCTGTTTGATTTGAAAAAGGTCAAAAAGTTAAGAACAGAAACAGCTGCAAAATTAGAGAAAAAGACATCTGCTCTGTTTGGTTCTTGCTTGTAATTTATCAAAAAATAAAACTGAAATGTGTATATCTACATGCTATTTGGATTAGGCTCATAGCATATGCTGGTTAAACCAAGATTGCTGAAACAACCTGCCGCTCTTTAAGTGTTCAGGTGGAGGCACCGTGCCAGTGATCTTTAAGGGATGTGCTTCCGTGTTGAATACCCATGTATCAAAGGGAAACTTGGGATCCTCTGGATCATCAAATATCAAGTACAAGTACTTGAGCGTTTCTGCAAAAAAGAAGCTATTGACAGAACATCTTAGTACGGTGTCTGGCATGCTCCATAATCGCCACTTACCTCTCTTCGCGGTCATCCCATGTCTTTTGAGGCACATCCACTCTTCTGACACCCGAGTAGCCTGATTTTCCTTTGCAATACGTGTACAAAGAGTTGAATATATCCCAGGCCATGTCTTGATACAGGGGGTTTTTGGTATATACATAGAAATAGTAGAGGGATTCCAATGTCTCTGGTCTCAAGATGTAGCTGGGATGGACAGGGTATACAGCTGGTCTCTTGCCTTCTGAGTGGTAGATGGGGTTGCTTTTTCTCTCCGTGTCCCATGAAAAGATCTCTGGAGCAAGGCCTGTGATGGTAAGATCCCATGCGCTATAGCAGCCATACATAAGACGCTTTGCAATCTTTTCAAGGTCGCTGTAATCTTCAGGAAAAGTGCGTGCAGCTAAAAGTAACGAGCCTGGCGCAAAACAAGCCTATAACATGTGTCTGTTGAGTGTACGAGCGATGCATATCCAAGGAGAAATCTCTAACCTACCAGTTCATCCATTTGAAGATTCTGTCGATTGCCGTCCAATACTGCCAGAAATGAGGCACTGGGATCAGAGGGCGAGTCAACGAGTAGCTTGTCCTTGAGGCTTGCAATGATTTGGGAAACCATTTCCTTTTTGACACTATCTTTTCCTCTAGAAACAACCAACTGCTTTATCAAATACTGGCACCAAAACAAAGTTTAGATATATACACATCATGCAAGTGATTTTAAAACCAACCTCATAAAAGCTATCGCCCATGCCGCCCCAAGTAACATGATCTAAAATGGCGAAAAAAGGCGTCAGTATATAGGTGAACACCACATGGCAAGCTACATGACCTCCAATGGGATCACCTGTATTGACATCAATAAGGTGAGGAAATAGTCCAAACGTCTTTACATGCATGCTGGTGAATACATCATACACATGTTGCCCCTGTTGTCAATTTAAACGTGTGGGAATCTTTAGTACGCTAAAAAAAAGGTCATGCGTTACATATACAAAATCCCACTTTACCACATAATGATATTTCCAGTTGCCAGTGATTTCGGATAACCTGGTAAACTCGATCTGGATTGTACCAATTTCAGCTAAACAAGCAGTAGCACTTTTCACAGGCTCGCCTCTATGCAGATGCATCATTATTATCGAGCCATGACGCACGCCACTCAACAAGCATCACTTACGATGTAAAGTTAACGTATTGATACGGAATGCCAGTAGGGGTATCAAATGCTGGGAGTAGCTTATCGACCAATTCAACCGCCTTTTTGATAAACACCTTTTCATGGGACAGATCGTATGCAGACAAGAGGCCACCCACATAGCGAATGACGGTTTCAAACAGTTGCACAGGCTCATCGTTCTTGATTTTATCCCAATGGATAGAAGCGACATAATCTTGAGCGTCCTTGAAGTCTTTATGGAGACCCATAATGTACAACGTATCCAAAGCATCTACAATAGTAGCACCCCAACCATTTCTATAAGCCAGTCTTCAGTTAATGTTGTGTATACTGTGTTCCTGAATTGATAAATCATACCTTGTATTTCTGGCACTGTTACTAATAGGTCGATTCTCATCATAGCCCCAACTATAGTTCCGATATCCTTCCCAAGAGAATACAAATGCATCCTTGATGTACTGCTGCTTTTCCTTTGGACTCAGTAACCAGGATTCAGGCAAGCCTCCCATTTCTTGTCTGAGCTCCTGACGGGTCTTTTGGATGGGTTGCTGGTGTAGTTGTTGACCATGCGCATGATGTGGAGGTGCTGCCACCATGGGCTTTTGATCAAATACAACAGCAGGAAGGAGTGCATTGGCTACAAACGCAAGGGCTGTTGTGATGATAACAAAGTATTTCAACTTTATCATTTAAATACAAAAGAGAAGAGGAAAAAAAAAAAAAAAAAAAAAAAAGGAATTGGTGCTCCTTGGAAATTTATGCTTTTTAATGCATGAACGGCAGGTGGTCATCTGTCTGGATAATCACATTTTGTATGGTGACACCAGGATTTGACGATATTCACTATAGCATTTTTAGCAGTTCGCTCTAACCTAGACAGCAAAAATCCAGATAGAGGCAATTTATTATTATTATGCCAAAGAAGACGCTTTGTTGTTAGCATTAGAATGAGGTTTAATCCAGATCGCCCTTCGGATGGGCGAATGGACAGCATGGAAGGCTTGTGGCGTGTAGCTTCTCTTCTCAATTAAGACATGGCAACCAGTATATTCGCCCATAATGGCTATTGACCCCCCCCCCCGGAACCAAACTACAAAAAATGCCTTCGACTTTGCAAGACGTACACAATCTAGATTACTGCAATGCAGCATATCCAACCTACATGCTGTATCAGTTTCATCAGTTTTGAGTCACCAATACACCAAAATTCAGCAAAATTTGAAAGTATTGAATTGCTTGTATCTCCTTGAATGGGCCGTTTTGGACTGTCAGAGTGGCACCAAACGGTTTCTCTGGACTGATACTTACTTCCTGTTACTTTATCTCAATTTTTTTTTTGGATCGTCAAAACAAGGTCAAAATCCATGAGGGGTAATAAGGCCAAATTGCCAAAAATCAATCGATCGCATTTTTCGCCCCCCAAAACGACGTTTTCTACTATGACACGCATTAGTTAAAAAAATACCTGCGGATCCACTCTATCATAGGAAATTGTTAATTTGAAAAATTCCTAATACAAATCTTGAGTTTTCGACTTAAATAGCGTTTTTAGATTTTGCCATTTTAGCCAATAATGTTGGTGGAACATTTTAAAGTTATTGGTACCATTCGATAGAGAATTAAAAAAAGTATGTAAAATAAATAATACACAAAGCAGATTAGCTACAGTCTTTCTCGAGAAATCCTCGATGGAAGGGGGGGGGGTTTTTTTTTTGGTCAAATTCAGATAAATTGCATCCAACTAGAAAAATTCCAAAGCTTGCGGACTTTTAATACATCACACTATAAATTAAGCCCATCCTCGTTTTTGGCAAGCACAAAATTTGCATTTACCTTTCATTCATACCACCATCCAACATGAGCCATCATTCAGAAGACGATGAGGATGACTACATGTCCACAAAATTTTTAGAAACTGCTCAAGAATTCGAATCGAAAAGACAAGAATCGTACAGCGAGAAACGTAAACGGCAATTACGCGAACAGCAAGAGAAAGCCTACATCAAGCCTCGTGCACAACTAGAAGCCGAAGAACGAGAAAAGGGTCTTCAGAAATCAATTGAACAAAGCAACAAGGGCATGAAGATGCTGATGAAAATGGGCTTTAAACAAGGACAAGGACTAGGCAGCAGTAAAGGTGGTTCCTCTTCTGGCATTGCAGAACCTATCCAAGTGGATTTGAAACTGGGACGTTCTGGTATTGGCATGGATTCAGAAATGCGTAAACGAGAAAGAGAACAGGAGGAGGAAGAGCTCCGTAAGAGAGTTCATATCGATCCAGAGGAATTTCGAAATCAAATGGCATCAAAAGCAAAGGACGCTCAGTTGGTGAGATATGTCAATGCTGCTGTGTCTATATGCGAGAAATTGGATGAGGAAAATCAAGTGGAATCAAATATATTATGGACCTTGAAGCCACCGCCACCGCCAACAGTTACGTCTACAGAGCCAGAGGATGTCGAGCAATCACAGCAACAGCAGTTAGAAAAGGAGAAGGAGGAGGCGGAGAACAAGGAACAAGAGGAGGCTGAGCCAACATACTCTCCTGAAGAAGTGGATGCGCTGAAATCATTGCCACTGGATGATCAGCTCGCAAAACTCGTTGATTATCTGCGGGAGACATACTTTTATTGCTTTTGGTGTCGTGCCAAATACGCAGATCAAGCTGATCTGGATGAAAACTGTCCTGGCACAAGCGAAGAAGACCATTAACGAAACTGCCATAGATTCAAAAGCCTTTAACCGCACCGCTTTTTGTTGCATAAAGTCAGTTCAGAAACATGACGCATATTCCATAGCTGACTAAATAAACACACAATTGCTATTTAAATACTCTTTTGCTACCCATATCCCATGTTTCAATCTTTTTCTCTTTTTCCATTGACTACGTTCAAATCATGCCTTCCTCTCCTTCAACAAAATACTACCGTGCAAAGGCGTTTGTCTTTGACCTTGATGGCACACTCATTGATACTATTCCACTGGTCGAAAAATTCTGGCACCAATTTGCATTCGAGCATGGTTTGGACGGCAATAAAATCCTGGCTACCTCTCATGGCGTGCGCACAATTGAAACTATGGCAAAATGGACACCAGACAAAGCGACACCTGAACATGCCCATGATTTTGAAAGAAAACTAGCTGAAGAGTCGGAAGGCGTAAGTGTGTTACCGGGTATTTCTACGTTATTGCAAAAGATCCCTCATGGGAAATGGGGTATTTGCACAGGTGGTAATGAATACATGGCAAGAAAGAGGCTGGAGCAGTGCGACATCCAGGCACCCGACGCTATAGTCTGTGGCGATATGGTGAGTCAAGGCAAACCTCATCCTGAATGTTACACGCGTGTGATCCAAGAGCTGGAGTATCAGCCTCAAGATGTCATTGTGTTTGAAGATGCACCAGCAGGTGTGGAGGCAGCAGTTAGAGCAGGTGCTCAAGTGATTGCTTGCGCAACAACACATACAGTCGATCAATTAAAAGAAGCAGGAGCACACTCTGTTGTCCAGCTGTTGACAGATGTCGATTTTACTAATTTACCTGACGGTTCCTTTGAAGTGGAAGTCAAGAGCACATTGTAAGAAGGGAAGAATGTTTATTCAGAAATAAAATATGGGGTCTTCCTCTACTTTTTGGAATTCGAATATGCCACTACACAACAGAATTGAGAACAGATCCGTACCGTAGACTCTATCAAAACTTACCCGACTCGCTCGTCTGTATTTGCAATGAATAACGATTGGTCCTCGGGAGTAAAAGCTATACACGAAATTGAGAGTCTTAAATACAACATGGATCTCACAAGTACTTACAGACACCTGCAATATCCCCAAACATGTCAATCACCTGGCTTGAGTTGTATGTCTGTGTCTCGTAAATATGTACAAAATCAATGGGCTCTATAAATGGAATAAGATCAGAATGCCCCCATTAGATGAATATGGACAGTGTACCTGCAGCTGCTAGATAGTGGCCGTCATTTGAATAATGCAGTGATCGGATGGCGCCTACATGAGAACCCAAGACATGCAGTGCGCTTGAAGTATTCCGAACATCATAGACTCTATGTTTAGACAAAGGGTCATGAGTGCATGCATTTCTTTCACATCGTGGTCTAGTAGCCTACCTTGTTGTCCGGTCCTGATTTCCAGTGGCAAAGATTCGGCCATCAGGATGCCAGCAGCAGGCAAATGAAAAATCGAAATGCTCATTGATTTTTGCAATAGCTGTTTTAAAATGTTAATTACCTGGTTTGCCAAGCTTTGCAGTTTACTCACGCTCTCCGTTATTTGCATCCATCAAATGAGTTTCTGTCGAATCGCCTACAAGACATAGCATATTCTGATCAGGAGACATGGAAGAACACTAGCGCAATATGTATTAGTATATCGAGCGAAACAGCATGTCTAATTGGAATCGTACATTCACTGCAAATGGTAGTGTCCATGTTTTCTGAACTTGCGCGGTTGTCAAATTGATGCATTTAATAGAAGCATCGTTGTTTGATACAATGCCAAGCAACACGCCCTTCTTGTCCTGTACGATGTCTGTATAATTGGTGATGCCTGATGTTGTATTTGCGTTTGATAGATACTGTAATGGACTATCCGAATCCAATGATTTCCATGTGCATTCACCTTGAAAGCCGCCTGCAAATAGCACTTGCTGTGCGCATGCCAAGCTGGTGATTTTGAATGAAATGCTGCCTGGTATATTCGCAGTAGACAAATCCATCACTTGGACACTTTTCTGGCGTTGAGGAGACCATTGTCGCACTGTGTCACCGCCTAAGCATATCCAAAATGTAAATTGCTGGAGCTGTCTACAAAAGTTAAAAACTTACAGATATAATAAACATGATTCTTGTTTGTCGCCCACACCAGATTTCGTAGCTGAAAGTGACCAATGCTGCATGGCTCGTTGATTTTGGACGACTTGAATGTATAGTATTCTTCGTTCTTTGCCACTGGCTTTGTTTGTTGCGATTGTATTTGCTTTTCAAGCGTATCATCTTCATCGTCGCTCTTGCAGCTCAAATAGGTCTCATATTCCTTAATTCGTTGATTCCTATATTCATCTCTTGTCATACTCTCTTTGAACCAGTCAATGCCTTGCTGTGGATAAGATGCGTTAATGCAATGCTGGATTCAACATCCGATAAAGCAAAACATACCATATCAATGCCCCTGATGCACATATCTTCAGTGATGATGTTGTCCTGCTAGAGTGGATTAGCGTGAGAATATCGTGTAAAAGAGCTGCTGATCCTACTTCAAACACTGGCTTGTCCTGTGCTTCCTCACTGTATTTGGTCAAATGTGGCAGGCTGATAAATGTTGGGGTATCATCGGCCATCGTCGTGGAAGATGCAGAAGCTGAAGAAGAGTCTAATAATAGCTTGATTTAAGGCCTTGGGCTGGATTGCAGCCATGATATGTATAGATACCTTGGTCCTGATACATGTAATTTTGCTGGTAAGAGAAGAAATCGTCCATTGGTTCATGCCGTAATGACAACATATTTGCAAGATAAAGAAATGTAAAAGGAAAAGAAGAGGGAACAGGAAAGAAATGAGCAAAAAATCTCCTTTTTTATAACTGATCTCGGTCTCAACGAGGACAGTAATGATTGCTTCCCCTTAAGACCTTAATAAACTTGATTTGGTTGGTATGGCTAGTGACGTCAAAGTAGTCTGTTTTATACAATCAGATGGTTTATATAGTAGTAGTAGTAGTATATGAGGGATCAAATCAAGAGAATAATCAATATATTGCATCAAACAACAACAAACAAACGCTATTATTTAGTTGCTTTGTGCTATCAAATTTAAGGTTAATTGTCATACAAACACGCATTCGCCATGATCCACATATCCACACTCACCTAATACCAAGGCTTTCTCGGCAAAGAAGCGTACATCCACATCAGAGTCTTTACTTAATTTATCGAGCACTTGAATGACGTGGGATGATACTTCTGCATTGGAGTGCTGCTTCAAGATGGGCACCAGGACTTCCAGTGATTTGGCCACGTTGAATCTGACATTTGGAATGGGATCATCTACCAGTCCAAGAACTGTAGGAAGCACCTTTTCCTTGATGATCTCGGGTGTAAGAGAGGTGGCCATTGTCGACAACGTAAAGAGTGTGGTCATTCGATACAGGTAGTTCTCGTTGTGTGCCATATCAATGACTTGGGGTAAAACGGTGTCCTTGGCCCAGTCGTTTCCAAATATCTCGACGAGTTTCTTGAGGTTGGTTGTTGCAGCGTCTCTGATGGAAAAGACAGCATCTCCCAGCCAGGATAGACACAATCCAAGTAACTTTTCATCAAAAAATCCAACGCCTAATTGTGATGCCAAGAGGGGAATGTATTCTATAATGGCTAATCTAACTCTCCACTGTTTGTCTTCGGCCAATTCAACAATGGCTGGCAAAAGAGATTGAGAGAGACGCTCTACGCCAATGACTATGACAACACAGTTAGCAGCATCAACAACTCAAAACAAAGACCACCTACCTTGGTTTACATTTTCAAGCTTGGATATAATGTTTAATCTAACATCAGGGAAATCGTCTTTGAGTAGTTGGAGGAATAGAGGTAAGAGGTATTCAATAGTCCTATCCATTCATACACAGCGTCAATTGAATGGTGTCTAGTGAGCGAATGTTACTACTTACAAATCTTTACCCAAGATGGGTGCAAATCCGCTGATGTTTGTAGCCACAGCAGCGCGAACATGCTGGTTTGTATCAATGACAAGGTCCTTCATACAGGGGAGAATTTTATCAATGACAACTTGCTGATCAATCAGTTTGGAATAAGCGGGTGCTTGTCCAATAGACAGTATCTTGACCTCGCCTTCGCTGTCCTTGATGAGACTGACAAACAATGTCACCATTTCTTCACGAGTGATGGATTCGCCTAATGCTTCACAGAGCTCGTTAAAGTGTGTTGCTACCATATATCTCACTCTCCAGGATCTGTCTTGGCCCAAAGATCGAAGTGTGCTCAACAAGTATTGTCTGCATTCATCAGGTGTAAACATCTTTGCAATCTGAACCAAGTCTTCCACAGTCAATAATCGTACTGTGTCTTGATCGTCGTTGGTGAGTCGAAGAAACAATGGCAAGATATGGCTGATCAGTTGTTGCTGGGTCAATTCTTTGGAGAAATTCTGCGCATTCAAACAGTAAATCATCATGTATGGATGACCATATACAAACTTACAGCAAGTGCTTTGGCAGCAGCTCTCTTGACCATGGGCGTGTCGTCTTGAATCAGTTGAGCAAATGCAGTTCGCAGCTCATTTTGCTGTTCGGGTGTGCACTTTGAGTATCCAACAGCATATAAACCACATGCTGAAATACGGCCAGTAAACCAATCAGCAGTAGTCAAGCGCTTCAATAGCGGCAAGAAATAGTGTGTGATTTGCGAGGGGTTCAGCAACTTGACAATCTTGTTCATGGACTCGACAGCTTTATCTCTGACAAGCACTTCTTCTACAGTAGCCAGATTCTCTAGAGGGTTCAATAAATAATGAGCGTATTCAGGGCCACCCACATGCTCAGAGAAGTTGGCAAGTTCCTCTGCAACAGCCAACAGCACTTCGTCCTCATCGTCAATACCATCTACATAGACACATGTCAATCACAGAATCCACGCTCTATCATCTTGCACTGACCATTAAGAAAAGGTATCAATTCATCTCGTGTTCTCTGTGGGCCTAAAGCCATGGCAATCGTGCCCAAATTACGAATGGCATTCAAACGCAATTGGACATCTTCGTTTTTGAGCTCGTCTACCAGAACAGCGATAGGATAGAGCTCCTGTTCTTCGCTTACTCTTGAGATGGGTTCAGCGCCGAGACTGTTAGTGGTAGTGTTATCCATGTTGGATGCTGCCTCCTCTGTAGATGACGTAGCAGTGTCTGCTGGAGCAGCAGTGATGTCCATGGCAGATGACTCGTTGTCTACATGGCTAGTGCTGTCTGTGGATTCTTGGTGTGCTGCTTCAGGAGCAGATGTTGTAGTTGGATCTACTTCCATAGTGGTTCTTTTGTTGTGGGATAAGAGAAAGAAACTTTAGTAATCTTACCAACAACCTCGCGCACTTTCGAGGTGGAAAAAAAAAAGAATGGAAGGTTACTCGAACAAATTTAAGGAGAGAGACTAAATCTAGCCAATCAGTACTTGATGGATAGCATCTACTAAAAGCTTTATAGCTGGTGGATCATTGTAAAGCTGTAGCTACTGACCGATTGTTCACAGTCGTATATAAGCCTTGCACCATGTCGCAAGATTTAGCAGTTCTAAACCCCAAAAAATGCTGTCTCAAAAGTCTCAAACCCTCTTTATCTCATCCTTGCTTGTATCTGTCCTCATAGGCGTTTCGAGCGCATTAGGAATTAACGAGACTACTTCTTCTGCAAGAACTCCACCCAAAGCCTATTTGGACCCTATCGTAGAGAACAAACTTGTTCGCCAATCATGTCTTCCTGTGAATGGTACCGATACACTTGATTGCAGCTTTTACTTTGACGCCAAAAAGCACTCGCTTTTGTATGATCCATCAAACTGTTTGGTATTTGGCTATTACAGATATCCTCCGCTCTCCTCCCAACGTAATGGCTCTTGCCAACTGAAATTCCCTGCCAACGCTTGTATACAAAGTGATCTGTCCTGGCTTTCGGTATGCTTTGAGGTTTATTATGCAGGTAAGTACAAAATACTGGCAGTAGAAAGGTAATATGTTGATGCTAAACAAATTGATATATAGACACTCTTAGTTTGGATCGTCGTAGCAATTTTACTACGCCCAAGCCTCTAGTAGACAATCTTAAAATTGGCTCTTTTCAAACTTCTTCTGCTAATTTCACAGATGTAGCCGTTTTTCTCGCGGAAACTGATGGATTCACTGCTCCAGTTGGATTCACTGACGTATAACGCATATTCATTCTTAGTGATTTACGGTCTATTCAATTCAATTTGATAAAACTTAATAAACCCAAGCTTTTACCTAGAAATTCAAGATGATGCTGTAATAATGCTTTTATATATGAGTCTGTTTTTCAATATGAACTGTAAAGATATAAGCTTTTGCCAAAGAAAACGTCGCATAATTTGGCCAAATTGCCTTCTGATCTTGCCATCATTGTCAGGTAAACAGAGCATTAGATTTTGCGTGGTCCAGCTGAACATAAATACGAAGTACTGGTCAATCTAGAGGGTCATTTAAAGTGGTGGGATATGATGTATATTACACTAGGTTATCTTATAAAGCATAACGTGATAAATTTATTATCTCTAGACACTTTTAGAGCTTCAAAAAGGGAAAAAGCAGATCTAAACAGTATTTTGATAGACTGGCCTTATTAAATATATAATGCAAGGAAAATAGCATAGTTAACAATAGTGCTATGTAATTTGCCATTTACCTTTCATATGCTTTAAAAGCATCTATCTGTACTGCCTTCATGATTGAGTTCGCCAGCCAGCCCCACCAGCCAACAAAATTAAAGCTCAAATTTTTAGTCTACTTTAGATTGGACAAATTTTGATAAATTTTCGACTTGATTGAACTGTTTTGCCAGATTCGACTATGAAATTATGACAATCATCCTATGCTTCATTAAGCTTTTTTGGAGTGCTTTTCAAGGCGCATCCAAGGGTACCAAGTAAGGTATATATTTTGAATAAACTTATTGAGTAATTTATAAAAATATTAAAAGAGGTTTTTGGCCAAAAGGTCGAGATTTTACACATCAAAGTCCCACAAAGATGATTTCAGGGGATACGTTAGATCGATAGCAACATTTTGGTTTAAGATATACCATAATAAAAGTCTTCATTATCAAGGTCAAAAACGGGATCGTTTGACTTTTGATGAAAACCATGAGGGGTACCTCATGCTTTTTGGTCGATTTTTGGCCATGTTTTTTTGGTCCCCAAAAAGTTGAGCAAAGGCGTCAGGAAGTAACTGCCAGATGAGAGCAACTGTTTGGAGCTATTCTGACAATCTAAAACAGCCTTGAACGCAAGAAAACGCAGCTCAAATGCACTCGTATTTTGCTGTATTAGGCACACTTTTGACTAAAAAGGGATAATATCTGTATGATACTTGCCCGTATATGAGTAGCTTACGTGTATAGGAATGTAGAGCACCACATACGAATCAGATCCACAGATAATATAGAGGGTTTTCATGTACAAGTGGAGGGTCAAATGCAAGTAGTAGTATTTTGATAAGATACGCAAGGGCAATCGGTAGCGCGAACTGCCGCTGCGCAGGTTGGTTCTCACCGAAGTGAGGCGAAGGTAGAGAGCCATTCGAAGCGTAGACACACTCATACATTATAATATGTATAACACTCATATTCAAAATTAAATGTCAATGATCCCAAGCGAATGAACGCTATACCAGCCATCATTGTCACTAGGGCGATATGTAAGCATTGCATAGCTTTTTTTTTTTTGACAATAACACCACTGTGTGTCATTCAGGGCCTTTAGAGCAAGATAGCCATGGCAACGTTGGAATGATTGTTTGTAGACATGGTATATATATCCATGACATTTACACCTGGTAAACCTGTATACGAAAGAACAATGCCGTTAGCCAGTCAATCTTCAATCTTTGGCATTGCCATCACACTACTGTTGTTATTCTCAGTATGTTCCTCAGCAAGTGTAGCCAACATCATTGATCACAACAACAATTCATCTCAACAATTTGTTACAAGACAGAACAGTGATTACGCAAACATTACAGCTTATCCTCATAACATCAGGGGCATGGATTTCGGTACATCATGCTCTCGATCAGGGAGCAACATGACTCAATGTGATTTTTACTTTAATCCTAACAAGCTCGCCTACTGGGAACAACCAACATTGTGTGTTATTTACGGTTACATCAGACCAATACGAGATGCAGAGGTTTGTATAATGCAAGTTCCGGAAAACCCTTGCTTGATGGAGAACATGGGTTGGCTTCAGCAATGTTCCAGAGAGATTTACTTTGCAGGTACTTAATATCTCTATATTGCGAAAATGACTATCTAACACAAATGTAAGTATAGGCACATTTCTATTGAACCACACTCGGGCCTTTCAAGGCAATACCAAGATGAAGTCTGTCAACATACCAACCAAGGATCTGATCGATCCTCGACAGATCGTGTTTGAATCGTATGGCCATCTGTTCACTGGAGTGTTCAAGTCAGCTCCCACATCCAACGGCAACATCTCAATGCTGCATTAATTCATGGAGTTTGAAAAGCTGAGCCATCATCAACAATGAACCTCATCCATAAAAGCCATAGATCATTGTAATAAAGTTTCTAGTCTTCAGTAATACATATGAGTCGTTTATTTGCCAGTTGTATTTGTATTTGATACTATGTGATCGAATCATTCTGGGAATATTTATTGTAGAAAGCATGATGTGAGTCGGAAACCATTGATTGAATCAACTAATCTCTCTTGTTGTTCTTTGTGAAATACGATGAATGGTTTAGATATGCTACACTCATATCAAAAACCCATTCTCCAAAGCCAAGGTACTGATCGACATAACCTCGAATTGTGCTGCTTTCGATTTTTGATGTAGCTGGTCTGTTGAAACAAGAAAACATTAGCTCAAATTCTAATAATAAACTGCAATACACTACTGAAGCCCTGTTGATCGTTTGATGCCAGCAAGCACTGTTGTAATGAGAACAGCGTCAAATGCATAATGAAGTAATTTGCTCATAGTGTATAAGTAAAGAAAGAAGCAAAGAAAGTTAAAAAGAGAAAGAAAAAGCTTATGTATCACGTTTTTTGTGCAATACGCAGTACCTTGCTAATTGCGCTCAGATTCAAATGTTGCAATCAAAATCAGAATATCATGAATCATTCACTCGATGAATGATAGACAAAAATTGTTACAAGAGTATGCAATCATGTAAGCTACACCCTGATACGTATATATTATGAGTTTGTATTATAAACTACACAATCCATAGATGTTTGAATCGATCATGATCAGTGCTGCTGCATATACATCTAAGTACCGGCTGTCTATTACAACATTGCAAACAGTTTCCTCAGCGATCATCTCTTCAGTATTTGATTATTCAAATCAGAATTACCATTTTGCATGTCGATTTAATGAACGTTCTATATCAACCTTGTAACTCGAACAATATCGAGATACATGAAATCCATGTGGGTTGTTATGGAACACATTGTCAAGATTGCCAATCGGAATGGATCACATTGTTGGTATAATCATCCTTACTGAGAGTATGTCTGCTTGCTGAGCTGCCTACCACTGCACTTTAATGTGCATATTGGATTTCGCTAAATAGAGAATCACTTCAGCTTTTCATAGTGGATGTGGAGGAGAACATCCATGTAGCAATAATAACCTTACTTTACAAGTACCAAGTTATGAGCAGCAATCAATGACATATCCGAATTTTGGATGCTTCAAATGGTGTAGGGTCAAGTTGGATAGATCAGATCTGGTCTGAGCATAATTGTATCATTCGAACCGATACATTTCTTTAACTTACCATCAAATGCACTTGTATAGAGTGTACCCCACGTCACGAGCGAAAATAAACTGCCACTTCCCCGCTTCCATTTCACCCTTGCCTCCAGAGACAGGTTGCTTTCAATTCCACACAATCAACATGAGCCAGAACACACATATAGCAGCACCTCCTACACCGCAAGCCGACATAGCATTGCCTTCCACCTCGACACCAACAGTGGTACACCCTTTATCAGGATCTCTTGAAGAATACACATTTTCCAATGTACCTCAAGGGGACATGACCAATTACGATCAAACCGAGCACTACGAGGAACCAGCTCTTCTTCGTGCTGGTCTAGCCACCAAGCCTCGTCTTGTGCTCATGACATCAATTGGGTCGTTTTGGGGCTTCAGTATTGGCGCTTATTTGGGTGGTCGTCAATCCGGATTGCAATATCTAGCAGAGAACGCACACAAACTACCAACAACGGTGCAAGGCTGGTACTTTTATCACAAAACAAAAAATTACAGAATGATGTTGGGTGGCGTGAAACGAGGTGTACGATTTGCAGGAAAGACAGGTGGATTGTGTTTGCTGTATGGATCATTAGAGGCTGCATTGGATGACATGCGAGGCGAGGCAGATGTGATGAATTCAGTTGCGGCAGGTGTGACAACAGGCACTGTGTTTTCAGCTCTAAGTAAGTGATCGCTGGATGTGTGTGGAGATCCATGTGAGGCTAACTGTATCGGATAGCAAGATTGACGAGAGGGTCATTTAGATATTCGGTTGTGTTTGGAGCCATTTTTGGCCTAGCAGCTGGAGGTCTCTCTGATTTGCATAGATTTGCTTCAGGGAATCCGCCCTCTTATGGACTGTATTTGGCCTCTTTGGTGAAAGGCAAGAAGGAAATAGACAGTAGAGTCGAATAAACAATAGATCAGTGGTGTAACAGTATTAGCCTGTGGATGATTTAATGATGATATCTTCGGTCATACGGTTATTTTTGGACATCATCATGCTTTGTTGACTACCATAATCAATCTTTTTGGGTGTCTCAAATCTAAATCAAAATGCCGTTTTAAAATAAAATGTTGGCAACTTGGCTGCCTTGATGTAAATAAGCAGCGAGACAAATCTTCCTCGGCTCTTCTTCTTCTTCTTCTTCTTTATCACACATTATGGCTGAAATAGACCATCACAAACCCATCATTGCCAACACGGATGAGTTCCAGCACCTGTTTCCCCCTACAGTCGAGGATTCTGTGGGCGCAACACCGGTTGTAAACACAACAGCAGATGAAACAACTCGCTCTTCAAACGCGCCCGCTTCACAAGCCGGCCCTATTCCTACAAAATCTATGTCCACAGACTCTCTAGACTCCAGCAGTTCATCCGTCTTGTCTTGCAATGCTGGCATTGACTATGTTATCGTGTTTCGCTTCCCTACACAGTTACCCAAAAACGATAAATCACTCACAACCAGAGCTCAGTTAGAATCCAAAGTAGCTGCTTCATTAGCCAGCGTCACTCAACGCTTGGCCAAGGTCAATTTGCGTTTCCAGGTGCGTCCAGGTAAAGAAGACGGTACTTTACTTATCTTGGTAAGCAGCCCTGTTGGCCCCATTAAGAAAGAGTACAGACAAGAAAGGTAAAAATGATGCATGAATGACATAGAAACTCCCTCTCAATTCAACTATCTTAAACATTAGAGTGCGCGATTTCTTGCTGGGTGTTCGAGTAGATGAAATTGGAGATGAGTCCAATAACACGAACAATGTGGACCAAGCATTCGAGGATCTAACAGAGGCAGAGAGATTGCGTCTGGTCTACGAGATCTTGACTCAACCAGAGACAGAGGGAGGTGCAGGAATTTCCAATGAGTTGGACGATTATGTTGAGAGCATCATGCCGTTGCACGATGACAAATTCAATAACGTAAGTTTTATGCGTGTTTGACAAGAATAGTGCTTGACGACATTTTAGAAATGGCTTAAATCCTGGTCGACAAAATCTCTGATTAACGAGCATGATTTATTGACAATCCGAGATCATTTTGGCGAGAAGATTGCCTACTATTTCGCATTCCTGCAAAACTACTTTTTATGGCTCAGTGTGCCTGCTGCTGTAGGTGTTCTTGTCTACTTGACACACTCGAACACTCTGGCTATATGGTTTTCACTGTTCATGCTGCTGTGGGCCATCTTGTTTACCGAAATGTGGAAGAGAAAGGAAGCCGAATTGGCAATCAAATGGGGCGTGCGAAACTATTCCAAGCATGAAAAGAGAAGAGCCGAGTTCAAGGGAGAGAAGATGGTCAAGGATCATGTTACAGGTGAGGATGTTCCCTTTGTTTCTGCCTGGAAGTTGCTGGGAAGACGTCTCGTTGCTCTGCCTGGCGTTGCTGTTGGTGCCTTCTTGCTAAGTATCATTGTTGGCTTTGTGTTTATTCTCCAGCTGTTCTTGCATGAGTACTACAATGGCCCCTTTGCCAAATTTTTGGTAAGCGTCTTTCTTTTTTTTTGCTTGGTGGTCAAGATAGCGTGGTTACTAACAGCACGATTTTTTGTCTAGCACTATGCTCCTACTGTGGGCTATGTCCTCTTCATTCCCAGCATGACCAAGATTTACAGCAAATGGGTAAAGACATTGACTGACTGGGAGATGCAAAAGACAGACGCTCAATGGGAATACAGCTACACTCAAAAGATCTTTATCGCCAACTTTTTGGTAGGATACCTTTCCTTGTTTATTACTGCGTGGATCTACATTCCTTTCGGTGATTATGTCCTGCCTTACCTTACTAACCTCAACATCAGCCATGACCACAAAACTGTTGACTTTCAAAGACTGCGTGCACAGCTCGTCTATTTCATTGTCACTGGTCAATTGGTTGGCTTCTTGACTGAAATGGTTGTTCCTTATGCATTAAAGAAGTTTGTACCCAAGGCCAAAAAGATAGTCCAGAAAAAGAAGAACACTGCATCCTCCACAAAATCGTTGAGCGAAAAGGGTCCTAATACAACTATTCAAGATGAAGAAGAAGAACAGTTCATGAACAAGGTATACAAGGAAGTAGCTATGGATGAATACGCCATCTACACCGACTATGTAGAGATGGTTATCCAGGTAATTTGTTGATATACGCTGTGGAGTAAATCTGCATCTCATACTCATCAATTGACAGTTTGGTTATGTCAGTATGTTCTCTACCGTTTGGCCATTGACTGCCCTGTGTGCCATGATCAATAATTGGGTGGAACTTCGTGGCGACGCTGCTAAAATCTGTAAATACACAAGGTAACTTTCTAGTTTGATGATTTGCGTGTACTTTACTTACTCTCTGTTTACATTTACAGACGTCCTATTCCTCACAGAGCTGAGAGCATTGGCCCTTGGTTGGGTAATATGGAGACTCTGGTTTGGTTGTCTTCCATCACTATGGCATCCTTTGCTTATCTCTTCCATCCTTCAACTCACATCCACTCATCCTACACGCCTGTCTTTACCTTATTAGCTATTTTGGTATCCGAGCACTTGTTTATTGCACTCAGATTTGGTGTCCGTAAAGCACTCAACTTGATCCCTAGCATGGCTGAATGGTTGGTTCGCAAAGAGGAGTACAACCTGAAGAAGGTATGGCTTGACCGTATGGTTGGCAATCATCAAAAGTTTGTTGCTCGCAGTAACCTTGAACACGAAAACGACAACTCAGACCTTGCTGAGGGTCTCAGTCACAAGCTTTGGAACCATCATTTAGATCGTCAAGCAGAGGCAAATGAAGCTATTCAACTTGTACAAAACGCATTCAAGACCAAATAATTCAATCTTCCCTTCATTCAATCAATTGTAATAAATAATTTGCTTTATTCAATAATCTTTCTTCTTTTCATCATAACTGAGATGGCCAGGACCGATAGAAACTAAGAGCAACAATCCGCCTGTGATACTGAGACACTGGAAAAAGTTGTATTTTGTAACATCCCTCATGTAGTTTGAGTGTTGCACTGTCCACCAGTTATTGACAATGACATTCATGACGCATAAAAAGGTAACCAGAAACGATGCTGACCATTTAGCCCTGAATCCTACCACCACCATCACGCAGGCCGCAAATCCTGCTAACGAAACGAATACACGCAGAAAACTCCATTCACCCTGAACAATGAACCCTACAAACAAGAGTACCAAAAGAACGCGACCAGCAAGTTGAAAGTATTCATGACGCTCTGTCTCTGATAAAGTAGGGAGGGATGCAAACAGATGGGATGAGCCTGTCTGTCTCTTGTTGCGCAGGATGGATTCTGAAAGGCACAGCAGCAAACCACCCAAGATGGAAAGATTACGCAAAAAGAAACTCTATTCGCACACACATGTAAGATTTACATGTCCAAATCACCTTCCACGCACAACAGCACACTTACGAAATTGAATACGAGACCGTAACCAATTGCCTGAGAGACAATAACACCAGCCAAGACGCACACAGATGTGCTGACATGCTTCTTTGCTATTAATGTAGAAGAGAAGATCAACATGGCCAACACATTCAAGAGAAGAAACATATGGGAAATGCCTTTGGGAAAACCTCTATCTCCCTCCAGATAGTTTCTTTGGTCTGACCACTGCACCATGATACGGAGCGAATCTTCATAGAATGTAGCCACCACGAGAAATCGACTGATGGCAGGCAAATAGGGCTTCACTGGCTGTCCTAGTGTATCCAGCGTTTTCTCCAGACGAGCACTGGTTTCTCTAATGGTATCTTGAAAGCTCATATGTAAAATGTAGTAATATATGAAAGAGATGTGGCAAAAAAATTTTCAACTTGAGGATTCCCTTTTTTAAGTCCTATGAATCTGCCATGTTTGTATAGGGAGCTACATTATACATGACACCAGAAGAGCATTTGTTTAAGGGGTGATCATCGCCACCACCTGCTTCTACTTTGTGAAAGATCTTGCTCCTTGATTGAATTTAGATCAAATTTTTGTTTATTCTCATGCCTATCGTTGTTAAATGACTTTCACACTATTTGCCTTGAAAGTACATACCTCGTTCTAAAGCAAATCATGTATTTGGATTTCAAGAATTGTAACTGCATATGGGTGGTACAAGGTGCAAGAAAATTAGCCTTTTAAACAAAGGCCTCCCAATGTTAGCTTCGACATTTACAACATACCAACCAAGTCAATGATACTGTAGGTTTTTCACCAGCAACTTTTTTCTGTCAGCAATACAGTGATCAAGATGATGTCTGTATAGTAGAGCGCATCATTGATAAGACCTCTGCTAGCGTGCATACAAAGCCTGACGGTAAAAAAAAATAGCAATCTGACTGTTCATCATGCATATGTGTATCGAATAATGATAACTCCAAGATATTTAACACTCGAATAAAATCACGTACATTTGAGCGCAAACTTTTTAGTCATGCTGTTCTACCATATTTTAGGCAATTGCTTCTCGACATTTTCCATCATTTCAAAAAGGCCATTAGTGATAGACTTTTCCATGCAAAGTCTGCCGTAACATATGAGAGCAAAATGGTTTCAACAAAACAATAAAAAACGAGCCCTGAATCTCACGATACCCTACATATATAATAGTCCAATATAACCTGTCAACAGACAACGCTGTGGCAGGGGCTATACCTTAGAATCATCGCGTGGGGCTTTTCTCTGTTGGCCTTTGATTTCTCTTTTGATTTCTCTTTGAATTTCAATTCGAAATTCGCTTTGAAAGTAGCATGTTAGTAAGCCAATTTTTTGCGTAGAAAACGAATGTGCAATTGGATTTTAGATAGGGTGCGTTGGTGTTGAGAAAACAGTGATTTTTGAAATTTGCCAATTTTGAGCAGATGTTACTAATAAAAGTCAATGAATTACTATATGAATGCTGGTTGTATGTCTAGTAAAAGCTGTGGAGGGTACTTTGTTAATTAGGGAGTGTTGTATTTGGGCTTGCTGAGAACGATGTCGATGAGTAATGAGGAAAAACAGTGGAAATGGACAACTTTCAAATGGCCGTACCGGTTGATTTTACTTAGTGAACATAAGCTTAAAGCTTAATAGCTTCTGTTTCTTTTTCAATTCTCTATACGATAATATGGTTATTATAGATAAATAAAAAAAAAGTTGATTATCTCCTGCTTGTAGCTCATGAAATATAAGATTTTGAGTGAATCCATAAAGGGAAGGTACATCTGGTGCCTAAAACCCTCACATGATGATGGATATAATGTAGAGCTATCAAATTGTCTTTGTTTTGTGCGGATCTGATGAGTATTTGTCGAGATACGACCAAAAAAAGGTATCGTGCAAAATCATTGATTTTTGTTCAAAATTTACGTGTGATAGCAAACAAAAAATCTGGTGACAATTTTTTAGTCAGGACAATATTTTCAATATTTTATGATAGAATTATGTCAGAGCTTCAAGCAATAGCTTATTCGATAGGAAATTTTTTGTTCTACAATGTCTAGTAATGCTTAACAAAATGTTTTGATGACAGATACTGATTAATCTTTAGAAAACAGTCAAAAAATTGCAAAACAATCGTACCAAATATCAGGTAAACAATGTACACCAGAGACTAGATATAAATACCATTGCATTTTCCTTTAAATTCTCTACAGGTTTTATATAAGTTTGAAGGGGTGTTTACTATCAAGAAACGCGTAATTTTAAAGTCTATAGATTTTGTAATCCCATAGATCCTCATCCAGAATATTATAAATTGAAGCTCCGTTGACCTTCCGCATGTGTATACTACACAAGTGTGCATTTGACCAAGCATTTTAAAAATCGGAGCTTACGAAAAGGGCCATATTAACTTGCTGGTCTCAAGTTATCAATAGATACTTTACATGTGGAAGAATCTTGCTGTTGAGACTAGACAACTACAACTTGCCTTATTAACGAATAATAAGATTTTCAATTTAATGCATGCATATTTCCCCGCTAAACAATAACATCTCCAATGTCGATTAACTCATGAAACAGGCATTTTTAATATAACGTTCTCACTTAAAAGCTGCTCCAATATCATTATTCTACAATATATTCTGGTGGTTTCATGATAGTTGTTGTGCCAGAAGGGCTACAACTGTCTATAAAGATTAAGGTATTCTTGATGGGTAGATATGTCTGTGTTGTGCAACAACATGGACAAGCTATGATAAGTGAAGTGCATCTCAGCTATCTAAATACTGAGGTTCACCAGATGTGATAAGCGTTGTACAAGATAAATTGCTACTTTGGCATTCAGAACTTAGTATAAATAGAATAATTCTTGTCTTCATCAATAAATCTTTAGTTTTTTGTGTCTGATCTTATTCAAATAAGTCGTTTCTTGTTTTTGTAATATCTGTGGAATTTGAGGCTTGATAAACTAAAATTCACGGAAAAAAAAGAATAAAAAACAGTAATGTCAACTTGATAAAGGTATGTTTTATTATCAAACTGACAGGTGTAAAGTAAAATTGAAGTCTCTCTACTGGCCAGGTAGATGATCCTTCTTATATACTATAACAATGGATAAAAGTTCTATTAATTAGATTGACAAATAAGTCAGCTCTGATCAACTAATATCTAATCATGCTAAAAGACAACTCCAGCAAGCTAATCATGATTTAGCTTTTGCCTGGATGAATAATTAGACTCTCATCCAAAGTACCCTGATCTATCCTTTCTATAAGGATAACTAATATCGATCTAGAAGCATGTATACAATAGGTACAGTCTCCTTAGTCTATATCAATGGTCCATATCTGAGTGTATATCGCTAAGCATACATCTTTAGAATGTATCAGGAGATATGGCATGTCTATAGCATATCGTATGCATGTCTGTAGCATGTCTCACATATAGTACAAGTCTGTAGTACATAAAGTATCTGTAGCTAGTATCACGGATATAAGCATGTGTCTTATAGCGTGGATCATAAAGTACACATCTGAAGCAACAAGCTCATATTGCATTAATCTTGGTGCCTATCCAGATATTGTAAACATCCGTAGTCAATGTCGAAATACAAGTATAAGTCTATAGCGCCATCTATGTCCGTGGTGCCATCTATAGCCTATATCTTATATAGTATAAATCTTATAGTACTAGCGTATCTGAAGTCCATATCTTCTTGTAGTATAAATCGATATCGTACATCTAATCCAGTGTACATACAGCTTATATCTAAATCTGGTAACTGGATGAACTGTCGGAATGCAGATCATAGTGGATGTATTCCACATTTTGTGCTTAACAGTATATTTGGATCATCAAGTAGAGGTGTGATTTATTTACCTCCAAGGCAACACAGCCAACTAGGCCTTTTTTTTAAGCCAAATTATGTCTAAATTTAGCCATTTTGAAGCACGAATAACTCATGCTACAAAGCGTTGTGGACGCTTGGAATAGGGCCAAACGTCTCCCCTTGGTTGCGTTTTACTTACTGATACTTTATCTCAAATTTTTTTGGGTCATTGCAAATCCCTGAAAATTCTCATTTTTTTCATGAGTATTAGCAAGGGAAAATTCTTGAAAATCAAACGATCGCATTTTTCACCCCAAAAATGAAGACTTTTCCTATGGTACATATAAGATCAAATTGATCGTAAAGACGGGATGCAGCACTGGAAACTCTTTCTATGTGGTTTTTCTTTGTGAAATTTCAACATTTTGGCAAAAAACATGTTTTCATATTTTTGCAAATTGCTCATTATTTTCGGTCTGAAAGCTAAATGTAATCAGCGCCGCTCGATGCGGCTTCTTTAGTTCTTTAAAGGTATATTAGAAAGTTGGGTATGATAACGACAGTTTTCATAGTCGGATTTGGCAAAAACGTTTAAAAGATGTGAGATCAAGTCAAGTTTGAACACGAGAATACCCACTACACAAATTCATATTAAATTGCCGCAATTACAGCTGCCGCGGGAAAGGACTGAGACCAGATTCACTGGCCGTGACGTCGGATAGGGCATCCTCTTATTCTTCCATACCCTCGTTTTTTTTTCCTTTTTTGCCAAACGCCTTTATTACCAAACCATGGCTGTTTTGGAAACTGTTTGATTGATAATAACACTCTATCTTCTGATAACACTGTCATGCACTGTTAGAAGTATTTTATACTGCTTCTTTAAAGTGAAATATATTAGATACCATTCGATAACGAGCACTGGAAGGCGTAGAATTAACAGTAATTGAATTTGTTTATTAGGCTTTGATGATTCTTTGGCATTCGTCTGGTCTCTGGTGTCGTTCATTCTTCGGTTTTTCTGTGGTGCTGGTGTTGCTGCCGCTAATCTGGTCTTTCTTGGTCTACTGTCTTTGGTGCATGCTCGTTCTGTAGCCTGTTTCCGGTGATTGCTTATTATTTTCTGGTCTCTGGTGTCGTACGTTCTTCAGTTTTTCTATGGTGCTGGTGCTCGTGTTGCTGCTGCTGCTGCTAATCCGGTCTTTTCTGGTCTAGTGTATTCGGTGCATGCTTGTACTCTGGTCTATCTCTGGTGATTACCTATATTCTTATGGTCCATCTGTGGCGGTGATAAGTGATAAGTAACTTCTTTCGTCTTTGTTTGCTATGCTGATGGCGTTTGTTTTTCAGTTTGTTTATGGTACTGGTGTTGCTGCTGCTAATCTAGTCTTTTCTGGTCTACTATATTTGGTACATGCTTGTTCTCTGGTCTGTCTCCGGTGATTGTCTATACTCTTCTGGCCTATCTGTGGCTATGGTAAGTGGTAAGTATTTTCTTTCTTCTGGTCGCAATGGTATAAAACTTCTTTGAACGCTTATATCATTGCTTCCTTTCTCGTGATAATGCATTCATGATGTTTGCCTCGTTACGCTTTTTTCTTCTTTTTCGTTTGTTGGTAGTGTTTCCTCTGTAGCTTTACATGAATCAATATTAGTCATTATGTTGTATCGCAAACTTATAATACCACTGTTGCTTTTGCAGTTGTGCGTCTTTGTGTCATGTTGCTTTACAACCGACTATTACTACCATGCGTGTTGCTCATGTATGCATTTTTCTTGCAACAGCAACGAGCTTTTTTAAACATCACTGATATTGTGTTTGTTATGCTTTTCTTTGACTCGCTTCGTGTGAGTATATCTTTTTTGCCTACATACTACTGTACTCGTATAGTATAGTGTTCTTTTCTTTTATTATTATTATTATGTTTCTTTTGAAGCATACCGTTTTTTACGTTGTGTGGATGTGCCTATCCCTGAAGCTCAACAAGACTTTATCCGAGGCTAGGAGGTAGATAGGCTGCCTCCACTTGGTTATCGCTACTTACTTTAGTGATGATTGAGAGTCTCAACGCCAGAATCTAAAGCTAGGTGGTGTAAGTAAGGCATGCTCTAGCACCTGAGGGAAATTTGATGATAGCAACGGCTATATTGCTATTATAGCGGCGCTTAAAATTTTGCCTCACATCAAAACAGGGGGAAACCCTCGCAAATTTTTTTTTAGATCAGCGGAGTTTTCAAGCAATCTGATTGGCTAAGGGGTTGGAACAACGAAGGTCTACAACTAGTTGATCTCCTATTAATTTGTCATTTAAAACTGTTTCGTTTTTGTAATAAAAGGGTATCCAAACAAACTATTTTGTATTAAATGATAAAATAAGATGCAGTTATTTGATTTGGCATCCATTACACATTCTTATGAGATAGATATTTATTAAATTTACTATGTGAAAGTGCTTAATATTAAGTATTACTTGAATACAATGTTATTTACGTTGTTATTACAACAGTATTTATTAAGAATGATTGCAGAGTATTTATACTGTAATGAAATAGCCACCCAAACGCAACTTAATTGAAAACCAAAGTTCATCAAATAGCACTCATTCAAATTCATGCTATTTGGATCTATTAATGAAAGCGCTCAAATGTACATCAAAAAACCATTTAAAAATACTAAAGTAAAGATGCATGCTTATATCGCACATCGTGTGAATGAATCACTCCTGATCACAGTGTATTCAATCACACCTGTTGTGCCAGAAGGGCTACAACTATCTATAAAGATTAAGGTATTCTTGATGGGTAGATATGTTTGTGTTGTGCAACAACATGGACAAGTTATGATAAGTGAAGTGCATCTCAGCTATCTAAATACTGAGGTTCACCAGATGTGATAAGCGTTGTACAAGATAAATTGCTACTTTGGCATTCAGAAGTTAGTATAAATAGAATAACTCTTGTCTTCATCAATAAATCTTTAGTTTTTTGTGTCTCATCTTATTCAAATAAGTTGTTTCTTGTTTTTGTAATATCGAACATTTTTTATAAGCTACAAATAGTAACCCTTTTATTCTTTGTTCTTAACACAATAAAACTTGCGGATTCCAACATATATAAAATTGAGCCGACAGCTCGAAGGTATTAGCCCAGCCAAATGTATGGTCGAAGCTGATCTTGTGGCGTGCCATAACCTGCTTATTAAGTTCTTACTCTCAAGTTATCGTTAGATGCCAAACATTTTGGTTGGCCATACTTCCACAACTAGATAACTGCAGCTTGCTTTATTCAACTTGATTACGCCTTATGGTGTAAGGATATCGATTTTTAAATCAAACAAAATTGAGTTTTGAAATATGATAACCATTGAAGATGATATGTTTGAAAAATTGACAGCCGGAAGAATGCATAATACTGGCGTCAAGGCAACAGGAGCACGCGTATTTTTAACTGGGCCGTTGACAGCTCTAGGATATGCATCCGTTCACTGCTGTATATATAGTGCGCTTCAAAACCTATGGCGAAGGTTGCACTCGAGGACTGCGGTGGTTATCATATACCAGTAAATAAAGTAAAATTACGGATGAATAGACTAGATGCTGTGAAACTTTGGATTCAGTACCTGATGGCTGCATCTTGCGTTGGTTCATACAAATGTTTTCTTATCAAGGTATGCATTTTCACCAAACTCAAAGCAAGAGCAGCACTATCGATTGTCTGATGTTCCAAATTAGACCTTTACAACACGACGATGTGGCCTGAAATACGCTTTCTTTTTTCACTTAACTGTGACATATGTCTCAGTGTCATGAAAGGATGCTGTATACTCTATCTCATATCTGCCCCCAAATTTGCAGATGATGTCTTGAACATTTAGCTTCGTGGCAAATTCTTATTCTAATGAAAATGACTAATTCCTAGATCAGTTGTCTTTGCCAGAAAACTAAAGTGCAATCAGGTTGTTAATTCGCTTAGTTGTAGAGAAAGTGGGAGTTCACGATAATAATAGGTCTTTTATGAAAGTTACGACAGGAAAAGGTCGTTGGTTTATTATACAAATGCAAGTTGCAGTGAGTTTGAGCAAGGTTGATGAGGATTGGTGTAATTAAAAGGCATATTAAATTTGGCCATTTTGGAGACGACGTCTTGAATCAATAATGAAATATGATCACGACGGAATATTACGAGCAAGCGTTTCCCTTGTGAAAGTAGAGTTATCGGTACAAAGTATCCACCATACAACAATGAAAAGTTATAAAAATCCATGAACTCACACATTTGTATTTAAAAGCTCGGGGTATTCGATTTTCGTTTCAAATAATGAAAATAATCTGAGCACAGTGAACTAAAGTTAGGAATATATGTATTGAAACTAGGTTCGACTCATTGTTGATATCCATTCAAATATGAAGTGGTTAGGCGTAGTACTCCAAGTATCTCTGATTTAAACATAATATTGTGGAAAGGACCTGGGCTACTAGCACCTCACTCTTGTTAAGATGCTATACTGCAGGTAGATAAAAGCCACTTCTTCAGCTCCTATGGCTGATCTGTAGAATTAAAAGGTGACTTATAGCCTAAACATAACACACAGCCGATTCGTTTCTCCATTAAGAAGTATAGGTCACCACCTGCTTTGGTCACTTTCAAGCAGGTATCAATCAAAGACACAGTGCTAATAGAGGATCTGCAGATCTTATCGAGGCACAAGCTTGCGCGTACAATGGTATGGTGAACAAGTAAGTTAAAGCATACACTACTTGCCTGACATGCAATTTCTTTTTATGTTCAAGACATAAGATGTTATTCATCAACCACATACATTTGAGTTATGGTAGCATTGAATGTAGATTGTTTGTTGGATATAAAACATAGTGTAGACGTACAAAACGGGTGTCTGTTTAAAGTTGGAAGCAGAATAGCAAGGCCAGCCTCATGCTTGATAGCTTTTGTTACCTGACAGACATGTTTCTGCCCCTTGATCCATGCGCATTTAGCGTAATCAAGTATTTGCGTATATATTATAGCAGCAAACATCATATCTGTGCTTTGACCCGTATCTATTTTAAGGTGTAATTTAGCATGATTAACCCGAGCTACCGGAACGAAGAAAAGTTTGGCATTATGAGGCAACTACTTGGAGTCGTAAAACTGATAATATATGAGCAACTGTTTCGTCTTTCTGATCTAAAACTGAGATGCTGAAAAGATCGAAAGAGTTTTTTGCGTTCATAAATTCTGGAGATTTCACATTTTTCAATGCATCAAAATACTGATCAATAGTATGTCATTCAAGAACCTGCTGAACTTTCAAAGCAAAGCATATCAGATACTCACGTCTTGAATAATTTCTTGATTCAACATCAAGGTATTTTTCATCCGCTAATTTAAATGAATCAACTTTTACTGACGCGTTTTGGGTGGATAAATGATGCATTCCTGACGCCTTCTGGTTCTTTGCTTTATTCTTATTGATCTTTAAAATGATCAGAGAAACATTTCTTCTTTGTCACTACGTCAGATAGTCCATATAAGTTGTACAGAGAAGTTTTCTTGCCAAGCAAAGTTCGTCATTCTCTCATGGAACATGTTTGATTTGTATGGATGCTAATTAAAAAGTGCTCAGAGCGAATTCTCAATGCATTATTCATCTCTTGGATACTTTGCCATTCATTCAAGATGAGTTTATACAAAATTTCTTATCTTGATTTCCGCCTGTTAATCTACTGTGCACTGAGGGGACCACGGTGGATCTTACAGACAACATGTACTCAACAGTCGGCATAGAAATCTTCATACCAAGATCAAAAGACAGCGGACATGTTTGCCGCTACGGCCAATGTTACCGATGGTATTACTGCTTCGATTTATGCAAATATCGAGTTTTCCACAACACTGATGCAGCAGCTCTATTTGACTTTTGATCTATATCGTGTTTCCATGAACAAGCATTCTTTGCTCAGTTGGTAGGTGATGTTTATCCTGTTTTTATAGCTCACCTAAATCGCTTTCTCGTACGATGTATCACTGTCAATTCAGCGACACAGATGTAGCTGCTGTAACGTAATAAATTGCTGATTTTTGGACCTTAATCTAATAGGTACCCGATAAAACGCAAAACCATACACGTTTCCTAATTGAGACGGAAGAAAGAACCATTTGGTTTTATAATCTAACGGAGCAGCGTACACGTCTTGGATATCGCATCAAGTTCAATCCGATTAGCTAACTTTGGTGGAGTCAACAACAATGTTCTATTTAGAGTTGTTTGGGAATTTCAGCAGTATATAAGGAGCAGGTTTTTGCAGATTCCGTTGTCTTCTTTATTATTCAATTCAAAATATAATTAATACAATACAAACATTATGATTGGTATCGATAACTATCTCGCAGTTGGTTCAGTAAAGAGCGCTTGGGTCTCCCTCTATATTCTCTCTATTGTTTGGGGTCTGCTCTACATGATCCGTCCTCTCTTTGACACAAGCTCTGACATCTCTGATATGGAGACTGGAGACAAGCGATCTGGAGGATTCTTGGTATGTATATTATCACAATTCTGGGATGTTTCTAACTTCTAACACACTTGCACATATAGTCCCGTATTGGTAAAGCTTATGATGTTGTCAAGGACAACATGCTCATGCAGTTATTCGCCTTGTCTCTCAATGCCTTCGGTGCTGCATCAACTAAAGCTTTGGCAATTCTCTCCTGGATCTTCTTTGCATTGACTATTTTCTATGCTGTTGCTGTCATGTTTATCGAGCAAAAGATGGTCCGTGCTGTGTTTGGTCTAATTTTCTTTGTATTGACCTTAATCATGACCTCCCTTGCTTTCAAACATGGTTGGTAACTCTACTAATACAGTGAAATCCAGATATACCTACAAAATATTCAAAGGATTCTGCAAACTACTCTTTATTTTCTCTTCTTAATAAAAAATGTTTCTAATACGGCTCATTGCCTTTTGTTCACGTTAAGTGTCAAGTTTTGCATTTGAAATGGGTAGTTGAGGTTGTATCCACTGTAAATTCTATGCTAACAGGGGCACACGTTGTTACATTGAGCGTCTTCAAGGTAACATTTAATGGAAACGTGAAGATTTGGAAATGCTTATCGAGATATAGGTCCATGATGGACTATACCATAGCTTGACTGACTCGATGCTACTCGCTCAGATAAGCTGCTTGAATCGCTCCATGATAAACCGCTACTCAGAACGAAATGTTTCAAAAGCTTGATTAATTTTAAATTTTTTTTTAATACAGAAAATAGTGATCAACTGTTTGAAATCAATAGAAAATACAAATATATATGTGTGTACGAAGAAAAAATGAGGGTAAAATACTTAAAAATCAGGAAATAAATTTCTATACGGATCAGCTTGACCAGTGATACCGTACTGTTCTTGAGTCTCTGGATATTTATCGAAATGGCTAGCATCACCCTCGCCTCTGATTTGAGGTACATAGGGTGCTCTAATTTGACGTGCCAAAATACGATTGAAATCCACACCAGTAAACCAACCATGGCGCTTGATATCCTCACTTCCAGCCTTCAAATTACCAAATCTCTTTGTCAAATCAGGCGTTAATAGTCGCTTCAAAAGATCCTTTCCATTTACATCAAAATAGGTAGGCCATTTGATCTTGCATGCCAAAATCTTTTCGTATAATTTCAGGTGATCGTCGTCAAAAAATGGTGGGTAGCCTGCCAACATTTCATAGATAAGAACGCCCAAACTCCACCAATCGACAGCTTTACTATAACCCTTTGACTGAATAATCTCGGGCGCTACATGTATGCAAAATTAGAAAACCATCAATACAAATATGGCCCACTCTGGCTCTACACTTACCAAGGTAATCAGGTGTTCCACATAATGTCCATGTTATATCTGGAACATATTTAGCAAAACCAAAATCAGTAATCTTGATATGACCCTGTGCGTCCAACAATAGATTTTCTGGCTTCAAATCACGATATATCATGTCTTTTGAATGCAGATATTCAATAGCCAAAATCACCTCGGCAGCATAGAATTTCGCAACATGATCTGGAAAACGCTGTGATCTTCTTAGCACTGAAAATAGCTCGCCACCGGGAACATAATCCATGACCATGTACAGGTTGTTGCTGTCTTGAAATGTACCCCACATGTTGACTAAGAACGGATGAGCAACAGACTCCAAAATGTGCTTTTCATTGTTGGTGTGCTCTACTTGTTTCAATCGGATGACCTCAGTCTTCTTCAACACCTTCATTGCATAGAATCTGGCATTGACTTTGGATTGTATTAAATGCACTCGACCAAAAGAGCCTGTACCCAATGTTCGAGATATGTTAAAGTCGTCCAGCTTTAGCTTGGGTCGATTTACACGTTGATGTATGATGGCCTGATCGTTGTACACCGAAGTATAGGGCTGTCTGATAGTGCCAGAATTGAACGCACTGGCTGTTGTTGTGGTTGTTGCGCTTGTGATGACAGGTGCTGCTGTTGCTGGCTGTTGCTGTTGCTGTTGTGGTAGCGATTGTGGTTGGGGCTGGCTTGTGAGTTGGGATACTTGCATTTGCTGTGGTTGTTGAGTAACATCTAGTTTTTTATCTACTTTTATACTTGAATTTAATTTTCCCTTTGCGGATTCAGTGGTAACAGTGATATTTCCTACCTCTCTTTTCATCCGCTGAAATCAATACCTTTTGGGTCTTGGTCTCTCTGCCATCTTGGGTCCATGGCACAGTTCTCTTTTGACCGACATCTAAGTTTCTCTGCTGAATAGGTGGCAGGTAGACTGAGCCATCTGACTGCTGTGGTTGCTGTTGTTCTAGTGGTTTCTTCTCTTGTCCGTTATAGAAAGTAGACATAGCAGCTAAATACGCGCCACTAGGGATATGAAATGTAAAGAGGGAAAGGAGGTAAGATGAAAAAGGAGACTTTTTTTTTTATATATTTTACGAGACTGAGATGTTTATATTAGTTTTTGCGTGGAAACAAAAATGCTTTCGCCCAAGAGTCATGTAGGACCAAAGATTTAAAGTGCATGTAGTTGATTTAATATTTCAGGTATATAATTAGAAAAAATTTAGGGAGACAGTTCAGTGGTGTCACCCGTTGTCTACTGTAATGCAATTGGTAGTAAGGGAGACAGAAGGTTTCACATTCGTCGTTCCAAATGTCCTTACTCTTTGACCAAGCAAGAAAGATCCCTGTCAATCTCGTCAAACAAAAAGAAAATGGCAAAAAAAAAAAACGGGAAATGGATGGTTAGCTAATCTTTTATTGCATTCTCACCATTCATCGTCGAAATAAGACTCAAGCACTAATGGCTCGCCTAGCTCTGGACATACATTTGGCTTGACCAGTCGACTAGAGTAGCGAGTCTTCTCGATTCGTTCTTTCAGAATAAACTGTGGTACCTCCGACAAGCTAAAATAGGCTGGTGGTAGCGATTCCTCTATGGGCGGGGAGAGGGACAACATGCCCATTGGGGGCATGTTGCTAATATGCGACATTGGTTGGAAAAGAGTTTCTTCGTCGATGGTCAATGAAGGCGGGGCAGGATAGTGCGCATCTGGATGCATTGGGTAGGACACACTGCTTGAAGCACTACTGTTGCTTCGACTTCTGCTGTTGCTTGCTGCAAAATCAGTGGGAGGAGCATCCAGGTCAGGATTGAAGAACACTGGCGCATCCCGGCATTCCTTGTAATCTTGAATGCAAGTTAAATCACGGACACGAGCCAGATGTTGGTTTGACAGATTCGCAATGCCAATTGGAATTTCAAACTGTACGTGGTGCGTCGATTTGAGTAGATTACCGGAATCAAACTGAATCATGAAAATCAGATAATAATACACGCGAACATGATTCGATGTAAAGCAAGGCGAGACTAGTCTTGAGGGCAACTGAACTCTGACATCGGGTAGACGTAACGAACCATTGTTGCCTTTGACTGGCACCATGGTTTGCAGGATATCTCGTTTATATAAGCGATGTACGGTACCTCGCTGCAGCAGCAATTTACCTTCATACACCTTACGAAGCTTAAATGCAACACTGCCAATCACCACGTCCGATGAAATTGCATTGATTTCAAGATCAATTAGGAATAGCTGGTCGGGGCAGAACACCTGGGCGGGTAACTTGGCTTTCACTGTGGCTAACGGCGTCTTTTTGTTGTCCTTGTATTTGTACAGTGTATCCTGGAATGTCCATGGGGTCGCAGCTGGGGCTACGAGTAACGGACGATACGGTGTCACTAGTTCTTCACTACGAATACCGGGATGATTGGCAGGTCCATCCATATAAGCTGTCCATATATAACGAATGGAGAAACCTGTGGGATCATCAATGGAGGGAGGAAAGTTGACATTGGGGAACTAGCAATATGCATTGAGTATATATTACCACAAAGCATCTTGATGAGACTTACCTTGAGCGCAAATTTGTATTCATGTTCTCCAGGTTCAACTGACTTCCAGGAGTTGATAGCGTAGGCTATATCTGTATTAGTATCGATCTACTCAAAAGCACTAATAACATACCACTTCTTTCAGTTCCCCATACTATAGTTTCTATTTCAAAGTAAGTTGTTGTAATCTTTTCAATGCGCTCTAACTTGGAATCAAGGCCAGCCTCTTTCACTTTGGCGCACGCACACTCAACGCCTCGAAACTAAATTGTTTGTTGTAGGTTAATATAGATGGAGAAACATCCAAAGAAAAGCTTAGCTTACCTTGATTCGTAACTGGCTTGAATAAAGGGTCTTCTTAGTCCTGACTTTGACAGTGCCTGGTACTTTGATGTTAAAATCTTTAGTATGCATCCTATCCAATTCGTTTTACCTCTCATAATCTTGTTTGGTCTAATCATAGCCTTGTCATCACCTTCGATATGAATGGTTATTTCAGTCTCTTTTTCAATTGAAGCATCCATGGCATGTCCTGCTGTCATTCCAGTGAATGATGCTGATATACTATTTTGTCGGGATCTGGCATTTGGTATGATGGATAGTCTTCTTGTTGGCGAGGTCTGTCTTGTGATAGATGTTGACATTTGTTTAATAAATAAGAAGAATAGGGGAGAAAGGCGGGAAAATGTTGTTTAATCGAAAAAAAAAGCTGGACCTATATTTATACCTAATGGATTATGCCTGCATGAATTTGAATACGAAAAAAAGGGTTCAGAGGGATCTTAAAAATGGCAGCATTCAGAATTTCCAATTCATGTATAGGCCGGGAAGAAAAAAAAAGTATTTGGCTCTGGTTTCATATAGATAGTAGGCTTTGTTCCATCTTGAAGAAAAAGAAAATGAAAGAATGGGTTCTGTTTTATCCTCTTTTCTACACCATCTTGATAAATAGACAGTAGCAATCTCTCACCAGTGCGCAGTGCTGCCATTTTGTGTATAATTCAGGTGACATCACATTGATTTAACCAGTTTGAGGCAGTAGTTTGTCTATACGCTGTTGAAATGAGGAAAGGGATGCCTCATGTGATTATTCAACCGAATCAAATAAATGGAAAACAATACCTTTCTTCTCCACTCTTTATAGATGTTTGAGAGCGATAACACCTTGAAAGAAGCACCAAGTCCTGCTACAAAACCCCCCCCCCCATTTGGTATCATAAACTTCATTAAGAAAAAGCCCACAGGGCGATGCCGTAATCGAGCGAAGCGAGATAGAACGGCTAGTCATGTAATATCATCCTTTAATATACGAGCCTTTCGATACTTCGGGTGGTTTCCTGACCTACGCTTCGCTTCGGTGGAAACCAACCTACATTCAAACGGCTCGCGCTGCCGCGGGCCTTTGGCTAATATCCCAAAATTAATATAACTAAAATGTTAGAAGAACTCTGATTGTTGCTTGATATATAATCACTAATCGCATGAGTGTTTACGCTTCGGATGGTTGTCTACCTTTGCTTCGCTTCGGTGAGAACCAATCTGCGCAGCGGCAGCTCGTGCTACTGATTGCTCTTGCGTATCTTATCAAAATACTGTTACCTTCATTTTGACCCTCTGCTTAAACATAAAAGCCTTTTATATTATCTGTGGATTTGATTCTTATGTGATGCTCTACATCCACATACACGTAGCTACTTCATATATGGGCAGGTATCATACAGAGATTATCCCTTTTTAGTCAAGAATGTGCTTAATACAGCAGAACTTGAGTGCATTTGAGCTGCATTTTCTCGCGTTCAAGGTTGTTTTAGATGGTCAGAATAGCACCAAACAGTTGCTCTCATCTGGCGGTTACTTTCTGACACCTTTGCTCAACTTTTTGGGGATCAAAAAAAACATGGACAAAATTCGACCAAAAAGCATGAGGTACCCCTCATGGTTTTCACCGAAAATCAAACGATCGCGTTTTTTGTCTTGAAAATGAAGGCTTTTACTATGGTATATACTAATTCAAAATTTTTCTATCGATCTAACGTAACCCCTGAAATCATCTTTGTAGAACTTTGATATGTAAATTTTCGACTTTTTGGCCAGAAACCTCTTTTCATATTTGCGTAAAATACTCAATATATTTATTCAAAACATTTATTTTACTTGGTACCATTGGAAGCGCCTTGAAAAGTATTCCAAGAATGTATTAGGAAGCATTGCATGATAACCACAGTTCATATAGTCGAATGGCAGGAAATAGATTAAAAAAGTCGACAAAAGACAAAATTTGTCCAATCTTGAGCAGAAAAAAAACTGTGTTTGAATGTGTTTTGGCGGCGGAGGCGGCGGCGTGTTGGCTGGCCCAAATGCCTTTCTGATGATGACAATGATGATTGCAATGCTAATTCAATGGGGATCATGAATTTGAAAGAACATCCAATTAGCTTAAATTCTTTTTTCTTTGGTTTTATTGGGATTTTTCCCTATAAAGATGTCTTTTGCAATGGCAATATCCTAAAAAGTCGCTGTAGGTCTCATAAAAGTTCTGTATTTACGCATGGCCAGCTTTATATCGCCATATCAAGAGCAACATTAGCAATTAGGTACCTCCCCCTCTTGACTCTGATATAGCTCTTTTTTTTTTTACTATTAATTGATTGTTTAAAATCTACTTGATGTGCCAGATTTTTATTATCTCTGATTAGGAATGTCTTCGGCGAGAGCACGCAGAGCGACGCCGCCATCGAGCGTAGAGAGATTGATCGGCTAGTCGAGCCCATTTTCTTCTTTCGCTTCACTTTTTCACTACCATCAGCATAGTACCTGCCCCCTCCCCCAGAAGATGACGTGCAGAAGCATCTTCATCTTCATAAAGCCGAGATAAAGCATATGGAATGACACTCCAAACACCAGGTAGATGAACAATGCCAAAAGTACGCAAAAAAATGGGTTCCCACCATCCAAGCATCAGCGCGTCAGGAATCTCCCAAGTATTTAGATAGACCAAGCTCTTATGATCAGAATGCAAGGTAAACAGCCTCATATACAAAAACCGATGAGCAATAACAAATGCCCAAAAGTTCCCGTTTTGTAGTACTATAGTTCCTTTCAGAAGGAGATAGCTTACGCGACACAAGGCCAAAGTAACGAAATTCATCAGCAAACACTTGATACTGCAGACCGCCTACAGCAGTAGTACTAGCATCCGTAGCCAAACGAAAACAAACCAAGAAATTTGGAGGAGACATCACCAGTGCCTTCGTTAGAGCTTCCTTCAGAGTAGCAATAGCTCTGTCATGGCGTGCAGCCCAGGCTTCTGGCAAATTCTTGTATTGCTTCAAGAAATCAAGATCTTGAGTCAAATGCGAATACAGCGGGATAGAAGAACGACATCAGACCGAGAAAAGAAGCAAGCAGCTTGCCCGTTTTAATAACGGGTCATGGTGAAATATTGGCAAGTTTACGACCATCAAGTACCAACTTGCCATTAATCACACTCCATCCCAGCAAGTATATGCTTTTCTGAGCAAATACCACTTTATCAGTATTCAACACTAAGCTAACCTGTGTCAAGCGACGAATCACCTCAGCAACTAACGCATAGTGATCTTCAAGACTCCCATTTGAGCTGCATTTTATGTCATCGACATAGCAGATTACTGAGTGAGCACCATCAGTAGGAAATGGAATGATAGCAATGGATGTATTCAAATCAGACATCAACGTTTGCTGGTATTGAAGAGTGCCTCCGTCGTTTCGAGGACGTACTGATCAGTCATGATTTGAACCTTGATCTCAATTGGTATCGGTTGCTTCCTCGTTGTCTCAGCCAAGATTTGAGGGATTGGCTGAACGAATTTGTCAAGGCTGCTTGGCGAGATGTCCCTTGGTCAATGTTGAAAGGTGCGATCATTTCTAGGTATGGTGCGGCCAAGGAACAACTTCGCTTCGGTCGGATCCGTGAATTTCTTTCTTGTACTTAGGCAGACAGTAAACCAATTGATGCATTTTTGGAACGTTTCAAGAGGCTTAAGGCCAAGTCTGGGGTTACGGACAAGTATGTGGTTGCAATGGTTTCTTCGACGCTTTTCCTGAGGCGGCTGTGCGTCTCATTATGCTTGCGATGGGACAGGCTGACGAGGCTTCATTCTACAAAATTGATCATGTCTCTGCCATTGCTCGTCGGGTTGATCTTACCAAGCGTAACAAGGTCGGGTACTCTGCTTCTGCTACTAGCAGCTCTAAGAAACGAGAAAATGATCGTGATATTCCTGTGTTCCCGGAAGCCAAGAAGTCCAAGTATACCAGTTTGCCTGCGTCTCCGGCTTATGAAAACTTCAAGAAGCAAGAATGGGTCTCCAAGTTTGGCAAGACATTGAAGGAGCATATTGCTGAACGTTCGTGTAAGGAATGCAATGGCTATTTCTCCAAGGGTGATAACTGCAGCAATATAGCCGTCCGTTCTTCTTCTTCTTCCTCTAGCAATAACAATGGTGCTAAAGTCATTCGTGAGATGACCAAACATTCTCATCGTCGCTCTGTCAAGACAATAGCCGATACGGCCATCGCGTTGGAGAAAGCTGATTTTGCTCTGCAAGAAAAGTCGAAGGTGCTATCTGCTGATAGCTCTGGTACTGTTGACCCTCTTATTGATTCTGATGTGGAAATGTCTGAATCGGATGATTCATCCAACGCTGATGAAGCTGACCTTCGTGCAAAGACTCAGGCAACATTGGTGGATGGTATGGCTCAGGTTTCTGTCTCAGAAACGGATTTGATTCTGAATATGTCAGCTCAACTATGTAAGTTTGATACTGTGCTCAGCGCTCCTCCTACGATGCGACCAAATTCGATTTGCGTGCCTATTGTGGTACAAAATGTAGTTTGTTTCAGCTATGTAGATACGGGTACTACTTTCAGCTGTATCACTAACGAGTTCTTCAATTACTTAGGAGAAACGGCCCTTTCTGGATTCCGTGTCAACGATGATACCAACACCAGCACCACTACCAACGCCAATATTATTATCACAACAAATGCCTATACCAGTGCTACTAATGGTAATGACGAATTGGATGTTGATGTTGATTTGATGCACAGCGTTTTTGTCAATATCTGATAGCACAATGGTGTCGTCAGGTCCATATATATGCTCAAGCTTTACTGACATTTCACTTCTCTTGTCTCTTCCCAAAACTTGCAACTTCTCTAATAACAATAAACAGTTGGTTTTTATTTTGAAACAAGTAAATCACAAAAGCCTTAAAACTAGTCCCGCAAAACAATGTTCAGAACCTGAAACTCAAATATATCAAGGTATTAAAGAGAAAAGAACGTGAAATGGAAAAAGTAGCAGGCAAAATATCAGAAACTACGATGCCTGGAAGATATGGAAAAGTTATAATCATGTTATCTCGAATACACAAAAATGACTTTTCCTCTTTCTCTCTTTCTCCCTCCCTTTACCATCTTATTTCAAGTAATGCTATTGACCAATTTCTAGTTGAATAAATTACAAGAGTTCCTTCTTTAGGTATTTAAGGAAACGATTTATCGAATGCTGAATGAAATTCTGCAAATGTTCAACTAGGACTTTCAATAATCTTCAGGCGAGGGCTTTCACATCAGTCAAGTTACTTGCTCTGACTTTATACTTCGAAGCTGCTCGATAGGGTTGAGCTCAGGGGAATAAGGCGGGTATCTTTGTTCGATAACAACAGGATCGACGATATTTCGTTCATTTTTGGGAGCTTCCTCTTCGATATCAGTGTCTTTGGGCTCTTCAATTTCAACGGCCATTCTTTTGTACCTCACCTATTTGTGGAGGTTCGTCAAATTTGTTTGTAGAAATGATGATTCTACAACAACAAAGGCCGACGCTTCTTTGCCAGACTCATCTACGGTTCTACCTCTACCATCTTGATGAAATAAATTCATTTTTGGGAGTTACAGTTGTGAAGAAATAGAGATATCAAAAAGCCAGTGAAGCTATTTGCCAATTTATTCTCGCAAACTTGGTCAACTTCAAACATCAGGCTTAATTAATCCCCTTGTTATGGGCAAATTAGCCTCGCACAAGCAGGCAATGTTTTCAAAAATTCGATAAATTGAGAATGGAAGCACTGTACCTCCAGGTAGTGTGGCTAAATAGACTCAGACTTGTATGATGTTATTGAGTCATGCAATCATCTACATGTATTTCCCTTTTCTTCTACTATTTCTTTCATTTTCTCGATACGACACAACAAACAAAGCTATTAAATGTTCATCATCAACTGGTTCTACGATGTACTGGCTTCATTGGGCCTACTAAACAAGAATGCAAAAATTCTGTTCTTAGGATTAGATAACGCTGGCAAAACTACCCTGCTTCACATGCTCAAAAGCGACCGGTTAGCAACATTGCAACCAACATTGCATCCCAGTAAGTTTGAGAGAGTCGCTTTATATATTTGATCTCTTACGAATGTCTGATTCTACTATCAAGCATCTGAGGAATTATCTATTGGAAATGTGAGATTTACCACATACGATCTGGGTGGTCATCAACAAGCTCGTAGACTCTGGAGAGATTACTTTCCCGAAGTGAATGGTATTGTATATTTGGTGGATAGTGCAGATCACGAGAGATTTGCAGAAGCAAAGCAAGAATTGGATGCCCTTTTGTCCATTGAGCAATTAAATAATATACCATTCCTGATTCTTGGCAACAAGATTGATGCTCCTGGCGCTGTAAGCGAAGAAGCACTTCGTCAACAGTTGGGCCTCTTCCAAACAACAGGAAAAGTACGTATACAAAGGCGCTTCAAGGTTAATAACGAATATGCTCAGCTTTTTAAACAGGGAAATGTACATCTAAGCAATATTAGACCTATGGAGCTATTTATGTGCTCAATCGTAATGAGACAGGGTTATGGAGATGGATTCCGTTGGCTATCGCAATACGTATAAGTCTCTTGATAAAGTAAAGAAAGTGTGTTTTATCACATTGTTTGTTATGATTTTTCGCAGTAATGAAACTAGTAGTGCATCAACTTGATGTTGGCTGATAAAAAGTTGAATCAGTAAAATTCAACCACGCTTATCCTTTCTATTATTATAATGCTGGTAATGCCTTAAAATCAATGAGTAATTGATCTTTGTTGATTAGCATTGAGGTTTACTTGTATACGCCTCTTTAAGCTCAATCTTAAGGTTGTTCCTGAAATTGGCCTTCAAGCAGGTGTCGTCCATCGCACTCTTATGTGTATCATAAACATTAATGAACAAATCAGTATGTTTTTATGTTATTATCTATAAAAAATCTCTATACACATTATTAATTTTATTAATCTAAGCCAAACAAGTAGTAAGAAAGCTGGACAGCGCCAAAAATGATCTATCAGACGTTCAAACATCAGAGCCACTGTTTAAACATAAGCAATGTATACTACACTTACTGGTTGCCAAACGACCAAATAGCGAACACCGTCTAACAAGTTGAGGTAAAGCTGTTGCTGGGTATCCCATCTGTGTGTAATCAAAAGAAGATTCCATTAGCTAATTTGCCACGTAGTGTGGTTTCATTTGATCATGTATTTGACTTACGGGTTTCGTTTGAATTGCTTGAGATCTACCTTCTCCTTACTATACAAAGATATTAGCCACCTAGATGAATGTCTACTGTCTATGCCTTACCAATAAGGACATATATCCTTCTTTCCAATCATCACCCAACCACGAATACACTTTTCGTGGAATACATGCTTGCACGTCAATTGATGGACGGGATCATCAGAGAACATTGGGCGCTGGTGAGGGTCAGCGGTCAATGATGCGTGGTGACCGACTGAAGTGGCATGACCACACACAGCGCAGATACCTTCACCCAAGTATTTATTAGGTAATCCATCTTCTGAATAATATCCAATAGTGGCTGCCATTCTATCCGTGCAAATCTCGACGAAATCTCTGCCCAACACACTAGAGCAAGATAGATCAACATTCACGACCCCATCAACCATCGCAGCCTACGCATCTTACCCAAAGTACAATCCATAACTAAGCATCAAAATTCCAGTCTGAATAAACTCGGAGCCAGCATTGAAGAGTTCTGCAATACCAAAGAATGCGATCAAAATGATGATATATCCAACCAGACCTACAACAAAGGACACATTGTACACAACTGTGAACCATTTGTATACCATGCGAGGTGTCATGGCTTCCAATGGCTTTCTGGATGCTTTGTAAATGACTAGAGACAGGTAGTTCTGATGAGTGGTTGTACAATCAATATTCAAAATATACACAAGCATTACCGAAGCCATTCAAGATAGAATACAGTGTCCAGAAGACCAGGAATCTGTACCATCCAGCATAGAGGCCAAATAGCATGGGGAATAGATACAGACCACCCAGACTGACTGCTTGATAGGATTTGTAGTGTTTCTTTTTCCACCAAAGAATGAGGAACTGTGATGCGAACAAAGCAAACAACAGGATGATGGCCATCAGTTCATGTTGAGATTCATGGCCTATTGCAAAGGCGTAAATCATCTTGCCGATTGAGTTACTTATGATGAATTTTTACCCTTGTGTTCTTTCCTATATTCCAGCTGCATATTGTAGCTATGGATGAGAGAAATGGTCAGTCCACTGCTACAAATGTTAACACACATACACATGATGTACATTACTTTTCACGCTGCTCTGGCGTTAGATGGCTAATTTGCTCATCAGTCAATGTGCCCTCCAACCAAGCATGACTAAAGCTTATATCCTGTCCCTCTTGATTCATTGTTCCAAATACAACCAACAAAAAAAAAAGCAAAAGAGAGAAAGGGGAAAGAGAAGAGGAATTTAAAGCTTCGTGTAATTGTCAACTTTTATTAAGGCTCCGTCTTATTTTCTACCAAAGATGCCCCAGAAGCCACTGCCACTGCCAGACGATTTCTCGGTACGAGCAGCTAATGATTCCTCTGGATATTTAACAAAATTAGCAGCCAAATCAAAATAGAATGGTTTACAGGCAACAGGTTGGAATTTAGGTGGGAATTCGACGAGATGTTGAGGGTTGATGCTAGAGGGATAGCTGTCCAGATGCTCCAATAATGTCTCAGTCGAGTTCAAGTCCAATTGCTGCATCTTTTCAGAGACTTGCTCATCGTCGCCGTTATCAGATCCGTTTTCAAGGTACCAAGCAGCACGCGATTTCCATGTGCCTGAGCGGATGGTTTGTTCCAAGTCTGCTAAATTACTATCAGTCACCTTCAACAGTGCATCTTGAGCAAAAGAGCGAATTTGCGAGAGTGCTTGCTTGGCTTGAACAACATAAGTTTGACCTCGCTGATAGATGGCCAGTGATTCTGCTGTCCTCTTCATGTCGTTATATGCTGAAGCCACTTGGACACATCTACAACCCTTGTAATACAAGGACAACACATTCAATTCGCCGTCAAGAGACATGTCGTCCTTGACGTGAGGCAGCTCCCAAATGTATTCGAGATGCTTCAAAATATCGTCGTACAGCTTGACAGCATGTTGAGGCTTCTTTTCGACAGCTTGGTCAACCAAACACACATTGCGCTCGATGGAGGAGCCGAATAGGTTGTATTCGACATAGGTAAACAAGTTGTTCAGATCCTCGGTTGCTTTGGCTGATTTGGATGAAGTAACCTTTGCAGTAGCTTCCTTGTCGTCCCTGAGTGCCTTTTTTGCAAGCTTGTCAGCTTCGGCCCAAGCACTCACAACAGCGTCGAAAGCAGATGCGTCGTTGGGTTGAATTGATTTTCTAATATCTTGTGCTTTGATGACAGATTGTGCCAAATGTTGATTCTTGATGGTAAATTCCTTATCACGCCATATGAGGGTTTTGCGTGTTTGATCTTTGGAATTGTTATTGCTGATCTTGGCAAGTTGCTCCTTCAATTGATCCATGTCAGATCCTTGGTGCTGACCAACAATACCTTCCACATCTTGTCCGCCGCTTAATTGAAGCTTGTAGGCGCAGAAACGAATGTTGGGATCAATTTCATCAATGGCAGAATAACACAAAGCTTCCTGCTCTGCAGTGCTGTTGGTCTTTGCAAACTTTTCATAGATAGTCCTGATGGAACACCACGGTTATTACTCTTCGACTCTTTGATCGCTTTGTATAGCCCTGCTTACCTCGACTCGACAAATTGGTTCATAGCTTCTTGCCATTGTTGCTGCTCGAAATAAAGATAGCCCTTCATTAACGTGGCATATGCCTATTTCCCTCGTATCATCAGCAACACTATCAACAGTCAAGCACATGCACCACGAATCTTACCCTGACGTCCAATACGGTTCTGATATCTACAGTTTGTTCCTGGCACAAGTTGTAAAAAGCTTCAGCATGTTGAGAAGCCCTCTTCAGACGCTTGATTAAATGGTGGCGCTGACGAGTTTCCATACTGTTGGCGCTTTCTTGCTTCAATTCCATAGCAAAAGCCCAAGCACGTTCAGTTTCGTAGATACCGAGATGAAGATAACGAGCATCGTTGAATTCTTGGGGAAGAGGCTTACGAACGTTGGTGGTTTTGTTGTTGGATTGTGTGAGCTTGAGGATTTGACGAAGGCGACGAATACGGTTGGTACAATATTCACTAATGAAATAAGAGAGAGAGAGAGAGGTTAGCAACGAGAGAGACTTGAAGTTGTCGAGTCCATCGTACCGATAACGTTGATAGTCTTGGTGTCTAAGACCGTAGGTCATGCGAGATTCATTGATGAGGCCCAGCACTAGATGGACAAAGATGAGTGCATGTGCTTGGTGATTTCCAGTTGTTTGCTTACCGTCAACGCTCATAAGGGCTGCTGAAGATGAGGAAGGCGTAATATCCATTGCTAATCAATCAAAACAGCGTTATTCGCTTGATATTCAAATATGTGGATCATGTCTCTTTTATTTACGTTCTGCCATGGTGTAGTATATTTCTCGAGAGAAAAAAGATGGAAAAGGACAATATAACGCAACGCGAATAGAATACAAGGAATTTGGTAGAAGGAAATTTGCAGTGGTGGCGCACAAATCAACTGGGTTTCTATTATGCCAAACAGTAGGTTGATGGAGATGCTTGCTTTCAGAGGCGACTATATGCTCTTGGTCTTGTATCAATCAATGAGGAGTGCTGGTGTAGACATCAGGCAGCCGAATCGTCTACTTGGCACTAGTGAGATATCAATCTATCTTTGACATCCCATCCATCAAATCAAAAATGGATGTGATACGGACCACCTAGTAATTTGAGCTATCAAATTATGGATCATCTATATTTGAGCTTTTAATAGATGCTGCAGATTATCTATTGCGTCTAAAATGTCCAGCGTGCTTACAGCCATCATCCCCTCACTGATAAGCTGCATCACTATGATATAATATAGCAACACAACAGTGTCATGCAACCTAATATTCCAGCTGAATATTTCGATGCAAGAGCATGCTATAAATCTAGATTAATGCATACAATGTCTTTACGCCTTTGTATCATAACAAGAATGCGCATACTGACAAGCAAATGCATGAAACACAACCAAATCTGACAGCCTTCAAGCCTTCATATCTTGACATGTAGATCTTTCTGAGCCACCGGAATAACGCCAAACAATTGTACTCGAGTAGCAGCAACTTCCTGACACGCTTGCTCAACTTTTTGGATCAAAAAAAAAATATGGTCAAAAATTGACCAAAGAGCATGAGGGGTACCTCATGCTTATGCTAGTGAATAAGCAAAATCAGAGTGCGCATGTGCAGGTTCCGTTGCTCTTTCCCCTCACACGAACCACTGGTCTTACTAAACAACGCACCAACATGGTAACAATGATCTACAAATCAGTTGACCGCCTCAAACGCATCCACGAACCAGTTCACCTCAACATTGCTACCGCCTTAATCCTCCCTGTCAAAGCCATTCAGCAGCCGTCTGTCACTGTCTCCAAAATGCCGATTAGGGCCACTCAGTTGCAAGTAAAGGATCTCCAATTCTGACCAACCTCTGCAACTCGAAGCACGAAAAGCACCAACCATCCCAGCTGACATTCGACGCGCTTGCAAGAAAATCCTGAAGCAAATCAACGAGAACAAAGTACATATCCAACCGTACTTTAGCCTCATGCTACAACCTCCTCAGGATAGCACCAACCGCACAACCGACATCTCCTTCAAACCGTTCATTGACTCCTATGACTTCAACAGCCAGCAAGGACTCACTCGACAGATTTCAACCAGAACATTCCGCACAGCATGCATCGAGGCTCACACCTCCAGCATCGCCAGGTCCAACTGGAATTTCTTCTGATCTCTGTCCCTGAACCTTGTCCATCGTAATGTCATCTATCGCTTCCTCACCCACACCATCCCGACCAAACGCCTGCTACACTACTTTGAGATAACTGAATCACCTCTCTGCCCGATCTGTGGTAACGAAGAAAATGCTGTACACTTGCTTTTCCTCTGTTCCAGTAAGGTATCCATCTGGAAAGCTATCATCTTTGAATTCCTGTGGCCAACCGTTTCAATTGGTGATATTATCCAAGCCTGTTCCTCTCTTGACTTTGAAAACATCAAGTATGTCTCCAAATCGTACACCACTGCTCACATGGTCGTACTGTTAACACTGGGCAACATTTGGCGAGCTCAAGTTCGTATGATCTTTCACTCGACTCCATTTACATGGATCGATATGGTCCAGCAGATCAAGAACGAGCTCCTTCAACTATATGCCCAAACTGAAATTCACAATTGTCATCTATCACCTGTTCCTGTCATCTATCGCTTTATCCCAAATATAATTGAATATCATATCAATTGCGTCCGCCTCTTGGTAGTGCCCTAGGAACCTACTTACACGGAGCAATCAATAAAAACAATTTAAAAAAAAAGTACCTCATGATTTTCATCGAAAATCAAACGATCGCGTTTTTCACCTTGAAAATGAAGACTCTTGCTATGGTATATATTGAACTAATATGCTTCTCTCAACCCAAAGCAACTTTTGAAACCACTTTTATAAGGTCTTTATATGCAAAATTTCGACATTTTTGCCAAAAACCTCATTTTGTATTTTCTGGGATTGCTCAATAAGTCTTTTCAAAACATCTATTTTACTTGACACCATTGGAAGCGCCTTGAAAAGTACTCCAAGAATGTACTAGGAAGCATTGGATGATAACCACAGTTCATATAGTCAAATGGCAGGAAATAGATTTTTTTTTGTTAAATTTTGTTTATTGATTGAGCCGCGTACATTAGGAGTAATGGGTCGAAGTGAAGAGGTGGGTGCAATTGAAAAGAAAATAATAAAAAGAAGGTAAAATATTAACTAAACTAACCTAAACAGAACTTTCGAAACTATCTAAACTACAAGAGGGAATGGATTTGATCCTCATCCACTGTCTGGCGAACAGTGGAGCGGATATTCACCAGAATCGCCTCAGGGACAAGGATGATGTTGTCAAAAACAAAGCGCATATGGGCTAGCCATATTTGAGACAGGGTGATGAGTAGGACTCTGTATGGATGGATGTCTTTGACTTGGGAGTACCAGATATCCGAAAAGTCCAGGAACAGAAGAGCCTCTTTGATGTCCGTGATGGACGTGGTGGGCCATAGGAATTCAAAAATGACGCCTTGCCATACCTTTTCTTTGGATGGACAGTCAAAGAGCAGGTGGCAGGAAATAGATTAAAGAAGTCGACAAAAGACAAAAATTGGCCAATCTTGAGCAGAAAAAAAACTGAGTTTGAATCTGTTTTGGCGCTGCTGGCTAACCCAAATGCCCTTTCTGATGACAGTGATGATTGCGATGCTGACTAATTGGGGATCATGAAGTCGAAAGGACTATCGCTTAGCCTAAATACTTCTTGTTGGCATTTTCATAGTATCTGAGATGAATGAGCGACTTTAATAAATAGTTGTCTAATATTGGCAAAATAACATCTCCGTATATACATACAAACAATGTAAAGCAATGGCAAGCTATGCCTCAAGCATGTGCGTTGTCATAGAAAGAGACAGGTGTAAATGTATAACATTCTGTCTTATACGAATCAATATACCTAATATTGAGCTCAGGTGCCATAGGTATGGAGCCAATAGATGGCACTTGAGAATTTTTAAGGTGGTCCGTATCAAGTCTGATCAAAAATTTCGAGACATGATTTGAGAGCCAAACCCTTTTCTAGTGCCACCACCCATAAAATTTTCTGCTTTTTTCTTCCACCTCATCCTCATCTTCCCCATCATCATGTCAACTATCACTGTTACCGCTGAACAAAAAGATGTGCTCGTAGGCGTTGGCTGTTTTGTCACATACACAGACTCAAAAGCTGGCCAAACTCGAATCCTTGTAGGACAGCGTGCAGGATCTCATGGTGCAGGTACCTGGCAATTACCTGGTGGACACTTGGAGATGTTTGAGGATTTCGAGACATGTGCAAAACGAGAAATTGAAGAGGAAACCAACCTGACCTTACCTCTGCAAGACATCAAAATGTTGACTGCAACCAACAATATCATGCAAGATATCAAGAAACATTATGTCACAATCTTCATGTGGTGTCATATACCCGAAGCGGCCATTGTGGACGTCAAGGTGATGGAACCTCACAAGTTGCAAGGAGAATGGCAATGGTTGACCATTGATGAACTCGTACAGAAGAAGCCGTTGTTTTCTCCCTTGCAAAAGTTTGTGGATGAGCAGGATTTGACATTCTTGAAATAAAACACTATACACACAATGGATTACACATCATATTCCCAAGTCACTCCCATGCCGCTAAACTATAGATGTATAATCGTATGAGTAATGCCATCTGTAGATGTTTATAGCAATGTATGCTCGGCATAGTCTTCTCAGGTATCTGTGGGATGGACATTTCACCTATGCCATCTTCTGGTACCTATCAAAGGTTTCTGGATTTCAAAATTCGCATTTCCCGTACCCCTTTATTTTTGGATGTTTGTTTGAATGATCCCATCATCACTCTCTTGAGACGTCCATCTTTTTTATAGATTTGAGCAATGCAAGTTTCATCCCAAATATATCTCTTTCTCTACATCATCGGTTTTTCAAATGTAGAGCATACAAACTCTATTTCCACTCTAAATGTGATGTCAGCTTTCTGTTTCTTCCTTTTCGATAATAGTATAACGTTTGGCTTCATTTCCTTGTCCCTTTTTCTTTTGTTCTTTCATTTTCTTTATCCCTCTTTTTTTTTTCTTCTTCTTCTTTTTTTTTTTTTTTCATCACCATACCAGAAAGAGAGGGCTCCATTAGCAACTGATATACATATATATATATATATACGAACAAAAAAAAAAGTCAGAATAAGAAATGAGGACAACATTATTCGTAGCTGGCTTTGGTGGACGCACACGCGCAAGAGATCTCGCTTACGAATTTGAACGGTAACGTAGTATCTGAATACGCTCCACTTTCCCGCACTAAACACTCCTCGGCAACGACATGTAGCTATGGTCGACTCGTGCGTTGCGATATTCCAGCACCCAAATCCTATGCTTCTAAAGTGTAAATACATCCTCGCCACATGTCGTCCATGTCCTGTAATTAAAATTGCTTTTTAATAGTTATGCTTTTGTTGAATTCGAAGATCCGCATGATGCCGAAGACGCCTTCAATGAAATGCATGGCAGACGTATTGACGGTTATACTATCAGTGTCCAGGTTAGATTTTAACATTCAAGAGAAAAAGATAACATGTGATTTTTTTGGTCGCTAATACCCCGATGAAAAATGATGATATTACATATAGTGGGCTCGCAATGCTCCCAGCGCAACGTGGAGACTAGGTGGACCATCGCATCCAGCAACACCACATCACACTTTACCCTTACCTCCTCCACCTCCTCCGCCACAACATTCAGGGCGCATACCACCACCTTACCGATCATACAGCCCATATCGCAGCAGCAGTCGAGGACGACGACGCTCGCTTTCGCCACCCAGAGGCAGATCGCCTCCGCCCCATCATCACCATTACATGATGGATGAACGACGATACTCCACGTCGCACTCGAGATCTCGCTCGCCTATTCCTTCGTCCCATATTAACAATACCATTGAAAAGCATCGTTCTATTTCGCCTTCCATGAACAACAAGAGCAAAATGTCACCTTCCAGACACTACCATAGCCCACCACTTGTTTGAACAAAGCTCTGACCTATTCTTTTTTTTTTTTTTTTTCTTTACGACACAAAATAAAACAGACACTTTATTAAACTTCTTTTTTTTTTTTTTACATGTTGTTTCGCTGAATGGCTTTGAGGACACGCTGAACAAAGGGTCTGGTTCTTGCGATTTCACCAACAGGCGTCTTGAGTAGCACATTGATGAGTCGCATCAGCCCTTCCAGTGCTTTTCTTTTGATGGGTGTGTTCTGATCAACATGGTATAATAGAATTTCACACGCCTGCTTTAATTCATGGACACAAGGTCTAAAATAGCAATCCATGGCTACAATCCAATGATCAAACAACTCCACCAGGGCGAATGCAGCCGTCGTACATCTTTGCACTGACATTGGTGTGGGTAGGTAGCTTTGGTGGATTAGAATCCAATGGCCGTGATGTCTGATCCACTGTTTGAATATGCAGCGACGGTGCCATAGGTGTGTTGAGCTGTTGAGTAGCTCAATCTTTGGTAACTGCTTCTGAAAACTAATTAGTCGCTTCTCTATGCGTTCAATCTGCTCGTAGGAGGTCTGTGCTTCCTCCGGATGTGTAAAGATGGTGCGTCGGATGTCTCGGGTAATTTGGCAGGTGTGGAATTCAATAAACTGGAAAAATGCTTGGTGCTCATCCACGCCTGCAGACGATAGCGGAGGGTTCTTGAAGAAGGTGGTTGTGCTGACATGATCATCGAGGTGGATTTCATATGGCTTGTTGTGGTAGTGGGATGATGCCGTGTCTAAAAAGTACATGAACCATAGTAGCGACCGAGCGTACTGCTTCACAATCATGACAGGTGGTTTGTATGCCAGCGGAAAGACAGCTGCCTGATTCTGAGAGATTGTATCCAATGCATCTTCTCTGTAAAGCTGTAGCGAAAGAGCCATGCGAACTGCCATGCCAGAGTATATGTAGACAACTGATGTATTTCCATTTTCTATGTGATAGAGAACCAGATTGCAGATGGCATGACATGTGGTGAGACTAGGCGCATCAAAATAGATCGATGACAAGAGACGTTTTGCCCACTTGTAATAGTCAATTGATAAGCGAACACATGTAGGCTCATCCATGCTTTTCTCAAAGATTTCAGGATGCCAGTAGAAGGCATGAGGCAGCATATGGCATACAATTGAAGCATACAATAGTTGAAATGCAGGTGATAAGTTATCTTGGTCCATCAGTAAATTCGCAAATAACGTATCAAACGGTTGCACAGCTCCATAAAGTAAACAGTTCTTGTATAACGACAGCAGTCGCTGCATTAGAAACAGTGGTAACTTTTCGGGCATGACATCAATGTCGAGTACATCGTCCTTGTCTTCATCTTGTTCTTCTAATAAGGGATTTCGGATGGGCTCGTCTTCTGAGTCTTCTCCATCATTCACATTGGGCCGTAAGCTTGTAAAATGAGATAGTCGCACATTTGGAAAGATAGAGTGGTTCCGGATGAGCCAAATGGGCTTTTTTTGTTGATCTGGTTGAGGGTATAGGGTGATTGCGTTTGTATTGTCTTTGGCAAATTGTATAAGGGTGGAGTAAATGTCGGCTACGTTCAGCATGTGTGTATCAATTGACAAGCCTGTTGATCCTAATTGATGGATATTCCATTTAGATAACGAGTTTGCCTGTATATTCGATTGCTGTCCTGCTGCTGGCGGTTGTGATTGAGATGACTGAGATGGTGCGGCATTTTTCACCAGCTGCTCTATATTGCCAAACTCATCCATCAATGAGTGAATCTGATTTTCTAAACCTGCGAAACGATCACGTAGTGCAGTGCTTTCCAAATCACCAGGAACTTCTAAATAGATACACTCTACGCCAGCGACAGAGCATTGTTCGCAGGTAGGTCTTGAGCGAGAACACTTGGAACGATGCTTTCGACATCTATATCAGAATACATGTTGTTACTTAATCAGATATCACTATACACTCTCAGGGCTTTACCTTTGGCAAGATAACGCCATACGAGCTCTTCTCTTTACAGGCCGAGGCTGGCTGTTATCTCCATAGTTTGTTAAAGTGTCGCTCTCCATCATATTTAATTTGATTAAGCCCGTTAACAAGACAAGGATGTGAAATAAAAAAAAAAAAGGATTGTGAGAAATTTAATGAAAAAAAATGGAAAAAAATTAGGTTTCACCCAAGCCTATTAGCTTCTTCCGATGTTTGTGCGCTTCACTGGTCAACTAGTAAAAATGAAAAGGAGATTCTTGGTTTCTTTTTGATGGTTTGGTATCACATGAGATACAACATCAGATCAATGGATGTATCAAGACTGAGAGCAGTTAGACAGTTTGCATTCGCAACAACAGCAACTTGAGGCTTGTATCACTGGGAAATGTCGACCTGTTGTCATGGCAACTGTCAATCTATTGTCACGGCAACAGATAAAACTGCACAGCTGAACGGCTGCTACATGCAGTGCACCAATGAGATCAAGTGGATGAAGGTTCTTTTTCTTGATCTCTCATCCAAAATGTCCATATAAATAGCCACAATTAGACCCTGCATACTCTATACATTTGCTTCTTGGATAAGGCCGTTTGCTTACATATATTTTATTGTCATTAAACCAAGAGCAACACCATGTTGAGTCGAAAATCAACATGACTAGACATGTTCTGAAATGGATTGGGCCCTGTTTTGTGGTAAAGCGTCTTTAAGGGCCATCTTGACAACTCCGAATGATTTCAAATGAATTTTGTGGCAACAAATGTCCAATATGGGTGCTCATTGTGTAGCTGATTGTATGATTGCATGTGTAAAAACAAGCGGGCAGGTGCGTGTAAGTGTTTATGTTGGCAAGTGGGTGTTTGTACCTGGAAATTTTGTAGTCTGGTGTTGGATCATTGTTGTGGATTCAATTATATAACTGGGCGGACCGCTTTGTTTTCTTGCTATTTTTTTCTTTCCTTGTTCTCAATATATTTTCCTAAACAACACATCCAACAATAAAATATGCTCAAAAATCCAGCCAAAGCGTATCAAGATACATTCATTGATTCTCCTAATGCAAAACAGGTATATATAGACCTCTCCCTTTTCTCAAAATATTCGCGAAAGATTAACATTTCCGTTGTTTCTTTCTAGTTGCCAATGTCTGACGAACAAGTGGAGAGGTACATCCATGTCTTTTTCAGTAACTCGCCCAGAGCAAATAGTGGAACAGCACCAACGTTCGAGTGGCTACAGTTTCTGGAAATATTCAATGAACAGCAGAATCATTACATCCTTACAGAACAGCAGAAAAAGGCAATAAAACCTTATTGTATCCAGAATCCAGACTTGGAGATGACGCCAGAAGAGTTTGTCCGATTACTAGCCATTATTCGACACGAAGCTACTGTGGAAGAGCGCAAACCAAGAGCCACCTCAAGCACACCTGCTACTAAAAGATTGTTTGATTCAAGGCCAAGATCATCCAGATTGATCTCAAGTAAATCAGCTACTACTTATTATGATGACAGAGCCAGCACAAATCACCCCGATGACAATGTACGTTTGAAGATTTCGAATGATCTATCATTTCATCCTCATTTTCCCATTTTACCTTTTTAACAGTTGAATCATATGAGTGACCGAACAAGAGAATCAGGTGTGTTGAACAAGGATTACAATCAAAACAAATATTAACAATAAAATTAGATTTCAATGACGAGAACAACAACAATGACCACGTAAGGAATGACTAAATGAACCCTAATCATCCGCAATATTCACACCATATATTGTAGGATATCTCCCTAGTGAAGAGACTAAGAAAAGAAAAGAGTGTCGCTGCCAGACAAGCACGAGAATATGAATCAAGAATCGAGCACTTGAACAAGGAGCATTCTGAACGCATTATGCAGGTTCAGACAAGATTGGAGAATATGCAAATTGAAGCCGAACAGCAAAAACAGTTACTGGCCGATCAGAAATTGAAAGAGAAGGATAAAATAGAGAAAATCGTCGAGTTGAAATCACAAAATGCAGAATACGAAAAGTTGCATGCACTTGCTGTAAAAAAGTTACAAAAGAAGACGGAAGAGTTGGAGTTGCTCAAGGAGGAATTGCACAGCTTACAAGAGGCACACAACATGACACTCTCCCAGTTGGAATTGACCGAAATTCAGGCCAAGGAAATGCTTCGGGTGCATGAAAAGGAAAAGGCCGATTTTCACATGAAATTGGATCAGGAAAAAAGACAAACATTAGATGCAAGACATGCACTGGAGGCTCAGCAAAACGAAAATGTGAAGCTCATGGAATTGATCGATAAACAAAAGTTTGATTTGGATGAAGCCAGAAGTGGCTTGAGATACTATTCGAATTCTTCCCCTCCATCATTGGTATGCCTATGGATGCCATTTGCTATCGTTTTGTTCTAATACTATGCATTTTAACAGGACAAGAAAACATCTGCTGCCACTGCTACATCAAGCCCTGATATCAATGAGACGGAACATAGCTTTGCTCACGAGAAGATTGAGGCTAAATACTTGAAGAAAATAGAATTGATACAGCAAGAACGTGATGAATTTGAACAGCAACTGGTAACAGTTCGTGATAAATTGAAAGAAGGTAATGTGGCATCTCACTTACAAGCACTGAAAATTAACGTTCATTTCTAGAACAAACTGCTGCTGCCTTGATCCAAGAAGCACAGACAAAGAAAATACAGGACCTCTCGACTGGATTTGATCAACAACTAGGCCTCATTGATTCCATTAGGCAAAGCATCAATACCAACCAGCCTGGCCAAGCAAACAAATTATACGTTGGATTGACCGTCATCCCTTGGGTGTTCCTGTTCTATCATCTGCTGCTCATCATGTTTTACTATGCGATTGAATTAACACAATCGCAGGCCCCACAAGTTTACCCACTTTCTCTTTCAAGATTTTTAGATGAAATGTTTTTTAAGTACATGCAGAGCAATTCTTGATTGCATTTCTTCTTTTTTCATTTGTTCATATTGTATATTATTTATGCTCTTACATCCCTTTATATACCTACTCTTTTTCTAGCTGATAAACATTCGCATAGCCTCCATCATGATTTGCATAATAGTAATAAAAAATTACCTCAAAACAAGGTCAACCCATAACCCCAACATGTTGAGGTTCGAAGCTTAAAACATTGTGTGGTACACTTGGAACATAACGCCTTCCAGCAAAAATCAATCTGTATTTTGATGTGAAATACAACGGCAAATTTACCACTGTATATTTATGAAAGAACGCACTTTGTTGATTCCTTGTGATTTTCAGATAAAATACATTGTTTTTAGTGACTAAGTCTTACTTGAAGTTCTAGACAATCTGTGGTAAGTTTGTACAGAATCGAAATTCACAACAAATGGTACTACTCTTAAAAGTGAACCCACAGCTTGTATACAAATAAGCCTGTTTTCAGATATTTTGAGGGTTTTCAAAGGTTTGTACTAAGTCTAATCTGCACCAATTTGCCTATCATAGTATTCATTGTGTAAACCGAAGAATTAGCTGTTATTTGGGAGCTTATTTAAAGTTACCATAAGTTCTCATGGATCTACACTGCTCAATAGGTTATTCCTTGCCAAATTGTCGCTCAAGGCTAACGTTTGCTGTAGTGGTGCATATAAAATTCTTCTGTGCAACGCTACTAGTTATACCACATCCTACTAAGTCTATTTTATAGAATTGAGCATCACATAAACGATTACATGGTGTTTTTCAAAAAAAAAACCCCCCAACGTTTATAAGGAAGAAATATCGTAAGTGTTCAAACAAGGTCTTGTTTTGTAAAGCAGACACAAGAAGCAAAATGTATTAAACAGAAAAGAAGCCTGGTTGAATTGACAGTTGTACTAATAATAGTGTCGAAACGATGGTTTTCTTTGATGTGTTGATTATTTGTAGCGACTGGAAATCCATTCATACGGTGTTCAGCTGCCCCTCATTGTAGTCATATAGTCGTTCTGATATGAAATCTCTAACATCAATATAAGGCGTAAATAAGCAATTTTCTCCTTTTGCTAAAATGCGCTGCACAGCTTCAAACCTTTGCCACTCCAAATCGAAGCAAGGCATCACCAAGCGGTTTTCAATTCAACATTTTGCAATACCTCATCTGTCAATCTATTACTCGCAATCGCTGGTAATTAACAAATTCTTATATATCTAGCTCGTTATTCAAATTTGGCTTATTTTGGAAAATTTCTCTATTTCTTACCAACAACTAGTACAATCTAAAATTCAATAATTACTCCATCGTTCTTGTCGCAACATTTGACTGTGGAAGCATGCTATTTTTAAAGCTCTGGCATCAATAATAATTTAACTTTTGATTTTGGATGCCCCACAACTCGAGACGAAAAATACTTTTGTACATCCGAAATCACTGATATGGGGTAAAAGATAACAACTCATCAAATTGAAAAATGTTGAAAGTTATTGGTAAACAATGCATGTCTGGTGGTAGGGCATCTGGCACCAAGAGGACATGGTATCCGGTTTAATAATACTGTGCCTGCTGTACAACTTTCTCCACAACATAATATCAAATTTAAGATACATTCCTCATATAAACCTGTTTAATGTATGCTAGATCAAATGATTGCACCTTAATTTACTTTTGAATAAAGAAGGACTTAAATTGTATCCATTTGGTTACCCTTTTATTATAAAGACAACATCATGATCATGACAGATCATTAGGAGATCAAACGGAAATCAACTAGTTATAACCCTTTAGTACTTCAACCTCTTAGCCAATCAGATTGCTAGAAAACTCCGCTGACCTAAAAAAAAATTTGCGAGGGTTTCCCCCTGTTTTGATGTGAGGCAAAATTTTAAGCTCCGCTATATAGCAGTGTAGCAGATGCTATCATCAAATTTCCCTCAGGTGCTAGAGCATGCCTTACTTACACCACCTAGCTTTAGATTCTGGCATTGAGACTCTCAATCATCACTAAAGTAAGTAGCGATAACCAAGTGGAGGCAGCCTATCTACCTCCTAGCCTCGGATAAAGTCTTGTTGAGCTTCAGGGATAGGCACATCCACACAACGTAAAAAAAAGGTATGCTTCAAAGAAACATAATAATAATAAAAGAAAGTAAAAAAAAAACATAATACTATAAGAGTATAGTAGCAGTATGTAGGTAAAAAAGAGACACTCACGCGAAGCGAGTCAAAGAAAAGCATAACAAACATAACATCAAAGATGTTCAAGAAAGTTCGTTGCTGTTGCAAGAAAAATGCATACATGGGCAGCGCGCATGGTAATAATAGTCGGTTGTAAAGCAACATGATGACACAAATACGCACAACTGCAAAAGCAACAGTAGTATTATAAGTTTGCAATACAACATAATAATGACTAGTATTGTTTCATGTAAAGCTACAGAGGAAACACTACCAACAAAAGAAAAAGAAGAAAAAAGCGCAACAAGGCAAACATTATGAATGCATTATCACGAGAAAAGAAGCAATGATATAAGCGTTCAAAGAAGTTTTATACCATTGCGACCAGAAGAAAAAAGATACTTACCACTTACCATAGCCACAGATAGATCAGGGGAGTATAGGCAATCAGCGGAAACAGACCAGAAAAGACCAGATGAACAGCAGCAGCACCAGTATCATAGACAAACTAAAGAACGAATGCCATTAGCAGAGAGCAGACAAAGATCAAATAAGTTACTTACCACTTATCACCGGATATGAACCAGAGAGCGGGCATGCAGCAAATACAGTAGACCAGGAAAGACCAGAAGATCAGCAACAGTAACACCAGTACCATAGAAAAACCAAAGAATGAACGACGCCAGAGACCAGACAAAGACCAAAGAAGCAATTATCAGACATGATAAACCAAAGAAGCAGACAGCAGAGATAGCAGAAAAGTACTGGCAGTAGCACCCACATCAAACAGACAAAAAGAATCATCAAAGCCTAATAAACAAATTTAATTAGTGTTAATTCTACGCCTTCCAGTGTTCGTTATCAAATAGTGCGTAATATATTTCAAAGAAGCAGTATGAAGTACTTGTAATAGTGCAAGACAGTGTTATCAAAAGATAAAGTGTTGTTATTAATTAAAAGGGTTCCAAAACCACCATGGTTTGATACTAAACGCGTTTTGCAAAAAGGAGAAAAAACGGGAAATATGGAAGAATGAGAGGGCGCCATATCCGACGTCACGGACAGTAGATTTGGTCTCAGTCTATTGCCGCGGCAGCCCTAATTGCGGCAATTTAATATGAGTTTGTGTAGTGGGTATTTTCGTGTTCAAACTTGACTTGATCTCACATCTTTTAAGCATTTTTGCTAAATTTGACTATGAGAACTGTTGTTATCACACCCCACTTTCTAATATAACTTTACAGAACTCAAGAAGCTGCATCGAATGGTGCTCATTATATTTAGCTTTCAGACCGAAAATAATGAGCAATTTCCAAAAGTATGAATACATGTTTTTTGCCAAAATGTCGAGATTTCACATAGAAAAACCTCACAGAAAGTGTTTCCAGTGCTGCATCTTATCTTTACAATTAATTTTATTTCATATGTATCATAAAAAAAGTCTTCATTTCCGTGGTGAAAAACGTGATCGTTTGATCTTCAAGATATTCCCTTGCTACTACTCATGAAAAAACGATGATTTTTATGAATTTGCAATGACCCAAAAAAATTTGAGATAAAGCGTCAGTAAGTAAAGCGCAACCAAGGGGAGTCATTTGATCCTATTCCAAGCGTCCAAAACGCTTTGTGGTCTGAGTTATTCGAGTTGAAAAATGGCTACATTGGAACAAAATTTGACCTAAAATGGAGTGTAGTAAGTTGTGTTGTCGAAGAATTGAGTAAATTACAGTTCTTTTTGATGATCCAGATATTCTGTATTGCAAAAAAACCGTATCTGTATCTTCAAATGTGAAATTACCGTGATTTAAAAGCTCGAGCGTCAATGACATACAGATTTGAATCTAGTACTACACTGCTGTATACTAAGCACAGAATTCTCCCAGTATTAAATAATGTCCCGCCGAACATGCAATATACATCATTGATTGCCAACATATATGTTTCAATTTTTCCATCATGGTTTGCTATCTTCTACCTAACATCCAAGACTTTGGAGGTACAATAGTATTTTCGGTTTTGAAGTTTGGGCCATCCGAAATTAGGCTTTGCAATACCATTAATGCTAGAGCTCTGAAAATAGCATGTTCTTATAGCAAAATCTTGCGAGGAAAACAATAGTATAGTTGGATCTTAGATCGGGTGGTGCGTTGCTGATCAAATACAAATGGTTCCAATCGTAAACTGTTTTGAACAAAGATATACGTATAAAAGCTACTGTTAAAAGTTGTTGTAATTGCAAATGATTAAAAGTATTAGATCGATGGATTAGGTGTTGCGTTGTAGTAAAAAACTAGTTATATCTTTCTTGGTTAAGATTTCCTAAAAAGTCAAAAGTGTGTTACGTATATTAACAACTTTTGAGCAGTGAACTTATAAAAACTTCTTGATTACGAGCTGTGGAATACATTCACTATGATCTGCATTCCGACAGTTCATCCAGTTACCAGATTTAGATATAAACTGTATGTACACTGGATTAGATGTACGATATCGATTTATACTATAAGAAGATATGGACTTCAGATACGCTAGTACTATAATATTCATACTCTATAAAATATAGGCTATAGATGGCACCACGGACATGGATGGCACTATATACTTATACTTGTATTCCGACATTGACTACGGATGTTTACCATATCTGGATAGGCACCAAGATTAATGCAACATGAGCTTGTTGCTTCAGATGTGCACTTCATGATCCACGCTACAAGACACATGCTTATATCCGTGATACTACTGTAGGGGGAAAAACTGTCCCGTTCGTTCAAATAATCTTGACTTTTACCCAGTATATTGCCAAAACTCAGAAAACAAAGTTACCCCATACTACGTTCGACAGAACAGCTTATAGGGATTACAGCAACATAATAACCTTATGGCTGGACTATATTTTAATCCCAGTATAACTAGCTAAAGTGAGACGTGGCAAAAATGATAGGTGGGTAATTCTAGATGATATAAACTGGTTGATATCTTTACTTCCAATAAACGTATCGAAGAAACCTAAAAAACTACCCACTGTATGTTCAGGATATCTAATATCCCAGGAGCATCCTAAAAGTATAAAAGAAGCTAGTTTTTTCATGTTTTTTTCTTTATTTCGTTGCTTTCTTATTTTTTTTCAAAACTTTCATTATGCCTGCTCGTTTAACACAAGGTTTGCGCAACACTCTCCAATCTTTGCTCCAACGTGGTCTGTTGTCCTCAAAGATGAAAAATTTGTATCCAGGAGTGGGTAACTCTACTCTTACAAGGCTCAGAAAACTATATTGTCCTGACCCAGCTGGACCTCTTGGCGGAAGACCGAAAAAACTTGGTGCTAAAACTATGTCCCTAGTGTCAAGAGAACTTCGATCAGGTGCTTTAGATAATCCCCGGGCAGCACTAGAAATTTTAAGATCGATGGGCCATGATATGTCAATTAATGGCATCCGCAAGTCATTGAGACGAAATGGACTTAAATCTCGTAGAAAAGTAAAGACCAATTTTGTTAGCAAGACAAACAAGCGGCTTCGATTGGCGTGGGCTAAAAAGCATAGGCATCTTACTATTGCTGATTGGCGTCGTTGGGTGTTTTCGGATGGAACAAGAATAAACCTTTGGGGCTCAGATGGTAATTCTTTTTACTGGACGAATGGTGGTCGAATCATGCAGTCTTATCGAGTCAAGTCTCAGTTGCAGGGAAATGACGGTGGGGTCATGTTCTGGAGTTGTATAACAGCGGAGGGGCCTGGTTATGGTACTACCACTATTGAAGACGCAATAAACTCGGGCTTGTATGTCGATATCTCGAAGACATCATTGAACGACACTCTTGAGCACTTTGGGAAGACACCATCTGATGTGCGATTTCAACAAGACAGAGCAACACCGCATACATCGGGCATTACTAAACAATGGTTCACCGGCAATGGGTTTAACCTAGACAAAATTATGGATTGGCCACCCCAAAGTCCCAATCTTAATCCCACTGAACATGTCTGGCATCTCCTAAAGCTTCGTCTTAATAAATATCCCAATAGGCCCTCTACAAAAGGAGAATTAGAGCGGCGTATTAACATTCAGTGGTACAAAATAGCAGAAAAAGAGTGCCAGAAATATATTGATAGTATGCCTGCCCGAATCAAGGCTGTCATCAAGAGCAAAGGTGGTTCAACTCACTATTAATGATTTTATAATAAAATGTACATTTTTCTATATTTATTTTTTAACCAATAAAATCATTGGATTTTAGTTTTTGTGAAAGTTATAATTATGTATAGATAGAACTAGTTTCTCTCATTCAAACGATATATATTTCGACTTTGTATACAAAGAAATAACCAAAAACTTGTGCAAAAAGACATAATTTTAAACGAACGGGACAGTTTTTCCCCCTACAGTAGCTACAGATACTTTATGTACTACAGACTTGTACTGTATATGAGACATGCTATAGACATGCATACGATATGCTATAGACATGCCATATATCCAGATACATGCTAAAGATGTATGCTCAGCGATATACACTCAGATATGTACTATTGATATAGACTAAGGAGACTGTACCTATCGGATAATACATGATACTAGATCGATATTAATTATCCTTATAGAAAGGATAGATCAGGGTACTTTGGATGAGAGTTTAATTATTCATCCAGGCAAAGCTAAATCATGATTAGACATTAGTTGATCTGAGTTGACTTATTTGTTAATCTAATTAATAGAACTTTTATCCACTGTTATAGTATATAAGATGGATCATCTACCAAGCCAGTAGAGATTCTTCAGTTTACTTTACACCTGTCAGTTTGATAATAAAACATACCTTTATCAAATTGACTTTACTGTTTTTTATTCTTTTTTTTCGTGAAATTTAGTCTTATTAAGCCTCAAATTCCACACTGACAACACTCATTGATGCTGTTGACGAGCCAAGCACTTTATGGTCTGCTATTTTTTGAAAGTAGATCAACTGATAGCTAAGCATACCGCTCTCCTTAGGCGAGAAAGCAATCCGCTTCGTCTCTGACACTTGTTTCCGTATGAGGCGGCCGTCAGAAGGGGGAAGCGGTTTCGATTTGCAGATCCTTCCATCGACTGAAAGCTAAAGACGTGAGGCAGCTATCCGACGACATGTGGGTCAAACATGTATTTTACTGAAGTTAGTCGTTGATCTTCTCGCTTTTATTATACCGTTTACCGACGCATATAAATGTATAAAGTTTTGGCTTACGAATATTTAAAAATTTCGATGTTTTCATACGAGAGCATTTTTCTTTGAGAAGGTCAAGGTGCTCACTTGAAAGCATCAAATAGGATTCTACATAAAGACATCTATGTTTTCATGAGAACACTTGCTGGGTCTTAGTGCTATACCAATTGTTGAAATGGCTATGATCGCGATCTGTCAATCGAGCTAATAAAGCTGCTTCTGCCATACCCCAAATTTAATGAAGGCTAATTCTCATTGTAGCATTTTTTTTAATAAATAAATCTTAATCAATATTGCACGGTTTGAACAGCTAGAAACAAAAAATAAAGTCAATTGCTACCATATTGTAGACTACTACCGGATCTAATAGTACCAGTGGCCATATATTTTGCAGATTAACAAATGTCAGAGATTATAAACAATCAGACCCATTATATACACCATATAAATTACAGATTCATGATGTCAAATCCGCTCAAACTCATTTAGTCATGCTCAGATCCAGCATAACTGAAAGTATCTAGTCCAACTTTATTTAGACTTACCGACGACACATCTAATATTTGTTAATAATTTGAAAGTAGCAATTTATTAAGGTGATTGAGTATAAATAATGTAGCTGTAACAACAACGTAAATATCGCTTTGCTAAAGTAGTAGCTAATTTATCAGAAATAAATTATTTATAAAAAAAAGAGTATGAAATTAATCAGGTAAAGAATATAGTTTATTACATTGAAAATAAGAGGGTTTATATACTATTCGAATTGAGGGATTTGATGTGAGGATAAGGTATTAGATGGGTTGATTTGGGTGATAGGATAATAGATCCAATCCATTATCCTGAACATGCCATGATATGGATCGTAACTGAATCCTGTTTCATGTCAAAGTTTATGATCTGATGTGACCGGTGCTTGAACTGCTTGTTTCCACGCATTTGGAGATCCGGTTTAGAAATGATACATCACTACCCCACACCAGCTTGGAGACCCTAGGTCGATAGCGAAACCATAAGATAGCACCTCTTGATTAGTGCTTGTGATGTAAGTGATAAATCGTGAAAAAAAAAAAAGAAAAGAAAAAAAAGAAAAAAAAATGTATGTTCCCTATGCTTTCATATGAAGTTGCTGCATGATGGAATCGTTGATTCGCCAGTAAAAACCTCTATACATTGAAAACCAAACATGCCAATTGGAAAAAATACCAATGTAATTTACAAGGGAAAAAGGCAGAATCTATTGACAAACATCTATAAAGATGATGGTTGTCTGTTCTCAATCAACCGCGCATGTCTCTTTGTAGATCTCTCTTCACGCGTTGCAACCGATCTTTTGTTGATTGATTTAGGTACTATTTGCCTTTTACCAGAGCTCTTTTCAGGTGCTCCTACTCTCGCCCAGTACTGTTTGATAGGTTGTCTTGAATCAAACAACTCTGGAGTTTCCCATGAATCATAACTACAATCGTAATCCTTCCAAGTAACGAGATATTGATAGTTAGGCACTTTACCCTTATGTTTGAGGATAGCCTCAACTTCATAACGTTTATCAGCAGGTTCTGGAGGAGGTGAATTCTCGTTTATCAATTTAATGTGAGATGTAGGAACATCTCTTGATAAGAATGTATCGGTTTCATCTTTTAGAATGTAACTGCCATTCTTTGTATAACCATGAATATAGAACACGCCCTCGTATTTAGGGTCAGTTTTACTGTTCTTACTTTCTACATTCTTAATCATGACAGAAGCTCCTATGGGGAATGGGTTCTTTAGAATTTTGTGTCGCTTCATAAATTAAGCATTGTCAGCTTTCTGTGATTCGACAATCTGCTCCTTGATTGCAGGTACAAGAATTTTGTCAATTCTCTTGATCTTGTCTTTCAAGGCCTTGGCATTTAATGTTTGTTCTGGAAGACTCATTTCAACATCAGAATAGTCTTTTAATTCAGTAGGAAGCCTGGCAAACATGACAACAAATGGTTTCATGCCGTGTAGCCTTGATTTATGTAAATTTAAGCTACAGTCTGTGCCATCAAGATACAAATCCCAATTTTCGGCACATCCATCCAGCATGTTAATGACGATGGTCTTTGAGCTCTTGACCGCGGCATCACAAGCGCTGTTGCCTAACAGGCACCATGGAAGTGAAAGCCTTTGCTCTATCTTTGCATTGGCAGCAATGCTCTCTAGTGATTGAGAACTGAACTCCTTACCTTTATCATGAGAAAGGATTTTTGGGTAACCAAAAAGACTAAAAATAGAGACAATTTCTTTAGCAACTGTTGTTGCAGTTTTGTTTGGAAACGCCCGTCATACAATGAATCTTGAGAATAGATCCATTGCTACCAAGATAAAGTTGTTACCTCTAGGAGTAGTAACATCAAATGCGCCTAGGTCAAAAACCCAATGATCTCCAACAGAATCCGCAGTATGATTCTTTGGTGGATGATATACATGTCTTCCTATGTTAAATACCCTGCATTTGCTACAGTTCTTGACATATCGTTCAATATCTTTTCTGAGCCCTTTCCAATGCATTTGGTAATCCTCATGTATAGCCTGCTCCAAAGCAGTGATTCCATAGTGTCCTAAAAGGTGAGATTTTTCTAATAGTTCTTGCTTTTGTTCTTCACTTTTAGGTACTTCATAAATGTCCAAATGTGATGCATAAATGCACAATTCTTTATTGTCCTTGCTGTCAGAATTTGCAGTTTCTGTGAGTGCACTGCTTACTGTGTTACTGTTTGTATTTTCCTTATTAGCATTATTCTCAGTATCATTGATTTTGGTACCCTGAGTACTCTGGTTGAAAGGCTGTAAAATAATGTCATTTGCTTTAATACCCTTCTTTTGCTTCTTAGCTTCATGAAGGTCTTTATCATTTGTAGGCTCGATTGGATCTAATATCCGTTTAATAACAGTAGCTCTTCTAGCAAGAGAACCACACCCCTCCAGCTTCTTTGTACCAGGTACAAAGATGCGAGAAAGTCGATCTGCTAGAATATTGTCCATACCCATACAGTATGTGATATCAAAGTGAAATTCAAAAATTGTATCATAAAAGTTCTCAATCATACGAGTAAGTTTCTCTTGAGAATGTAGGTACAATAGACCACGATTATCCAAGAATAAATGAAACTTTTCACCCCGTAACCATTGGCGAAACTTATTGAAAGCATAAACCACTGCCAAAAGCTCACGCTTGGATGACCCATAGCGTTGCTCACTGGCAGATAGTTTACGGGCGATGAAGCCATTATAGTAAATACGCTTTTTGATAACTTGATATAAACAGGCACCAATGCCATATGCACTAGCATTAGTGACAAGGCAAAATGGATAGGCTAAATTAGGTGCTGAAATGATAGGGCTACTAACAAGCAATTGTTGAATGTTGGTCATGGCAGTTGTATGATCCTCTGTCCATACCTTGTCAATATCTGGAGTATTTTTAATGGCATCCAATGGTGCGGTTAAAGTAGACAAACGAGGTAGGTTGCTACTAAAGTAATTTACCAATCCTAACCGAGATTGAAGTTCTTTACTGTTAGCGACCTTTGGATCCCGATCTAAAATATTGCTTACTTTACGAGAATCAAAGGCCAACCTTTTCTCGGATAGGCAAAAGCCTAATATATTAATGCTACGCTGAGCAAAATGAGTCTTTGCGTGATTTATCTTGAGGTTAGTCTTTTTTAACCAATCAATAACTATTTTGACGTATTTTAAATGTGTTTCCATGTCTGCTTCTGTGTGCACCGTGTGCACCGTGATATCGTCTATAAAATTGGTGGTGACAGAGCTTAGATCAGAGAACAAATTAGTCAGATACCTTTGCACAAATGAGCTAATTGGTAATAATCCCATGGGGGCAGTTCCTGAAGATCCATTGCAGGCCAGTTGTTGGATCAATAAATGAAACATATTTGCGAGACGCGCTTGCTAGCTTAAAACTATGGAAACATTGTGAAAGATTCAACACCAAAAATATAGCGTGTTCTGACATCTTTCTATGTAATGTGCTAATCAAAGGTAGTGGGAATCGATCGGATTTGTCTGGATCTAATGCAGCATTGACAGCTCTGCAATCCACAACTACTCTATAAACACCAGGAGCATACTCACCAGTGCTAGTCTTTTTACGTACACAGAATATAGGTGAGTTGTATGGCGTTCCAGGTGGTGCTGGTTGAATGACACCATTCCTAATCCATGTAGCCATTTGTTCCTCAATAGTTGGTAAAAACTTTTCTTCCAGGGGCCATTGAGGTTTATACATTTTGTTTTCATGATCTTTCAATTTATGCAACTCTAGGGTACTACCTGGTATATTGCAATATGCCTTAGGATCAATGTTTTTGTTGGCCTCAATGTACGGTTCAATTTCTTTCATGAACTGAGCTCTCTCTGCCTCTGTACCATAAGGAGAATCATTAGGAGTGCAGGGATTTGGATCAATTGTAGGAATCTCAGGATTATTATCATCATCCCAATCCATCGCCATGTTGGAGATTGTAATGCCAATTTGCATGATCAAATCCATACCAATTACCACATCAATGTCACTAAAGATATCAAAAATCTCAAATTTAGAGTAACATTGGCGAGAATTATATGTAATCTTAATGTCTTCTTCTGTAGAACCAATTCTATCAATAACAGTGTCCTTTTTACAAGCTTTAATGATGCCTTTAATGTCTTTATTTATTTTCACTTCTAATATTTTGGCTAACTTGGGGGGAGAGACAACTAAATGGGGAACCTGTGTCCAAAAGAAAGTAGGTTCGAACCTTGATGTCGTTGCCCTCTAAAGTAATTGGCAAAATAATAGAGTTTTTGTTTAGTAAATTGCGAGGTGGTTCATTCATGTATTGATACGCACAATCTTTAATGCTCATGGCTGCGAAGGTCATGTTCTGCTCGTCGGATTCCGTATCCGTATCCATATTGTCATCAGAGTTGTAATCAGTCTGCTGATTGGGCACAGGGACGATCGTCTTCTTGACGACCTTACTTCGAAATCTTGGTTGATTATTCTTCATCTTGCACACGGCCCTGTGCGCTGGAGTCCATCCTGACTCCTTGCAATCGTGACAAATACGAGTGTTGACCTCACCAAACTTCTTTTGTGCCTCATCGATTCGTTTTTTCATGCTGTCAGATGCTTTGCAATCCTTGGTGCGATGATTGTGGGCATTCGGATGATACATGCATCGTTTGGGTGAGTGACTGGTGACCTTGGTGTTTAGAATAACGAAATATAGACAGAGTAAATACAATTAGAACTGAATACTTTTACTATGTTATTCCAAGATTGAATAATCATCAAAACTGCAGTGAAATCAGGTTTAAATGGATTTCACAAAAAAAATAAAGCAAAGGTAAAATACAATAGAAATCAACTGTATTTTATTTTGTGTATAAAATGAACTGAAGATCCTGGAATTGAGTAAAAAAAAAGAAGAGTATTTATACATTTGCAACTAGCTTGTAGGATTAGTGATGATAGAGAGCAATAGGTGCTGCTATTGCGATATCTGGCAAATGTTGTTGATGTTTGATTTAAAGTGGTAGTCAATGCAGGAGCACTGGCCATAAGGGTCGATTTGAGTAACCTTGATGGGCTTGGGTGAGCTATCGTCATAGCATGATTTAATGTAACCTTGATGGTTTAAAGTGTGATGTTTGTTATTGAAGCATGGAATCCTTTATCTGGGATATTGTGCAACTATGGCAGCAGGGCATAGTTGTCATATTTGAATATGCTTGTTATTGATTTAATTCTATTTGGATAAAGATACCATCACCTATTACGACCATCATGGGTGTGATTGAATACACTGTGATCAGGAGTGATTCATTCACACGATGTGCGATATAAGCGTGTATCTTTACTTTAGTATTTTTAAATGGGTTTTTGATGTACATTTGAGCGCTTTCATTAATAGATCCAAATAGCATGAATTTGAATGAGTGCTATTTGATGAACTTTGGTTTTCAATTAAGTTGCGTTTGGGTGGCTATTTCATTACATTGCCCCCAGCCAAACTTTTTGTGGGGAAAAAGTTGACAGAGATATGAATTTAGACGACCAAACGTGATTTGATTGGAACATGTAGAAGGAAGGAAGACATAGATATAAGCAAGAGCAGAGAAACAAGTGCCGAAGGCAGTGGAGGAAGGAAAGCTGGAAGCTACTAATGTTTGCGGCGAGTGTTTTCGCGGCTTGTGTGATCAGTGCCTGCTTTTCGCTTGTTACCAGCCTGTTTTGAGGGGCGTTTGTTTGTAGGTAGTGGTGCATGTCTTTGATGTTGCAGTTCCTTGTTGAGCTTGACCTTTTCCCAGTATTTTTTGATTGGAATGGGAGAGGAGAACAGATCAGCTGTAATGTATTCATTTTCACGTTCAGAATAACCAGCCCATTTAACTAGGTATTCGATCTCATCATCATCGCGGTAGCGATGATCGCGAATGTCCTCAACTTCAAAGATTTCGTCTTCAATGGTAGTTTCATCAATGTTGACAGGTTTGAGTTCAGAAGGAGTATATTCACGATGCATGAGAGAATTGGTTTCGTCTTTTAGAATGTAATTGCCAGCTTGGGTACGCTTGACAACGAAATATGGGCCAGCATAGAGAGGCGCGAGTTTGGATGAACGACCTTCTTCAAGGCGGACCATGACAGGAGAGTCAAAGGCTAGTTCAGGTAGGATGTATCGACGTTTATCCATACGCTTATTGTATTCCTCAGCAAGCCGTTGTGTACGCTCTTGGAGAGCAGGAAACACGATGGTATTCATGTGTTCGATACGCTGTTGGAGCTCTTGAATGGATAGTGCAGGACGTCCATTGAGGTTGAGTTTATTTGGATTGGGATTGACGTTAACTTGACGAGCAAACATGAGACTGAATGGGGTACTGGCAGTACGCTCTTTGACTTTCATGTTGAGTGCAAGTTGGACGATGGGTACGCGATCATCCCAGTTATGCGTGTCATTACCACACATTTTGCGTAGCGTATGCTCGAATTGTTTGATAGCGTTCTCAGCACTACCATTGGATTGTTTGTAGTAAGGAAGAGAATGTCGCTGCTTGATGCCGAGCGTTTTTGTGAAGTGATCTATGAGATTGGATTTAAATTCCTTGCCGTTGTCAGCTTGTTGGATGCTAACAGCAACACCATAGTCACCATAGATGGATAGTATGGCTTGAGCGACTGTAGCGCCATTTTTGTTAGGAATTGGACGAGCTATAATGTAGCGAGTACAGAGATCAATCACAACCAGCACATAAACATTTCCCTTATCGGTGATCGACATAGGACCTAAGATATCCATAGCAATGTGATCAAAGGCGTCAAAGCTGACGATGCTTTTAGCAGGGTTGAAACCTCGACGAGCGACGTTGTGCTTTGCACATTCAGGACATGCTTTAAGTATTTCCTTGCAATCAGCGTAGATGGTGTTCCAATGTAAACCCAAATACGTGTGGATATGTTGAACCACAGACTCAATGCCAAAATGGCCTATTTTATGTGCATCTTTGATGATTTGAGCCCGATCTGCTTCTGGAGGAGCAATGTAATCCGTTGTAGAATTCTGGAATTCTTTGCTATTTAGTTTCACAGCAAGTACGTTGAGATTGCGGTCCTGAGAATAGACTGTGCGTTGACGGTTTACTTCAATCTTTTTGTTGGTGTCCCTTTTGATCAGAATGAGCTTATGCAGTTTTCTCATCTGTCGATCATTTTCATCTTCCAGCCATTTGTCTTCATCAATTATTGGATATACCCTTGAGAGAGCATCACAGAGAACATTTTCAATGCCTTTCACATGTGAAATTGTGAAGTGAAATTCTCCCAAGATTTCCAAGTAGCTCTGGAGCGTACTGTTTAGTGAAGTAGATGTGAACATGTAGGTCAATGCCAAATGATCGGTCAGGACCTCGATATCATTATGACCCCACAGTAGCGATCTAAATTTGATGAATCCAAAGACAACAGCGGCACACTCTCTACGGTTTGTAGACCAGTTGCGCTCAGCTGAATTGAGAGATCTGCTAACAAATGCAATGTGCTTGATTCTACCCAGTTTATCCTTTTGATAAAGACAGGCAGCGATGCCATAGAGACTAGCATCGCATTGGAGGAACATTTTGTCGTCCAACACTGGAGCATGCAGTATTTGGTTTGAGAGCAGTATTTGCTTGATGGTATTGAACCGATCAGTATGCAATTGTGTCCAATTCTTTTTTACGTCACTGTCATTTCGAAGACTATCGATGGGCTCAGCAACCTTGGACAGCATGGGACAAAAGTTTCGCAGATGGGAAACGACACCCATAAGCGAGCGAACTTGTTTTGCAGTTTTGGGAATGGGCCATTCGTCTATGTCAGATAAACGACGCATATCAATCTTTTGTATGCCAGGTCCAACCACAAAGCCTAGTAAAAAGACTGATGTCTGGAACCATGAACATTTTTTCACATTGATGCGCAGGTTGACGGATGTCAAGCGATTAATGGCAAGATTGATAAGCTTGATGTGGCTTTTCTCACAGATACTATGCAGGACGCAGTCATCTATGTAGTGTTCGATGCCACCCCATACTTTGGTTGGATCAACTTGGGAAGGATCCATGTTCTTTTCCATTTCGAATTTCAGTTCGTCGGATAAACCAGTGAATAAAATTGACATGCATTTTACGAACAGAGAGCTCATAAATTTTAGGCCAAAAGGGGCCCTACACCATCTGTAAAAAATGCCATTATGCGAGAATATAAGGGCGTTGCGAGATGCTTCATGCACACCATACGAATAGTATGCTTGGTGTAAGTCAATTTTACTTATTACGCGTGCGCTAGAAGACACTCGTTCAAAGATTTCGTGAATCTTGGGAACCGCATAATTTTCATGGTAATTGTCATCAATGGACGCATTGATGCGACGGAGATCACAACACACTCTCAATTTGGTGGGTTGATCGTTCTCATCCTTCTTTGTCACCGTAATCAGAGGTGAATGGAACACTGATGAGGGTTTGCAGCGTTCAACAATCTTATTTTGAAGCCATTCTTTGATTTGTTTGTCAATCTCGGCATGCGAGTTGATGGATAATGGATACTGGCGAATGAAGCAATCCTTGGGATTGGATATAGGAACATGCACTACACTTTCAGGCATGGAACATACTGCGTCAGCAGGGATGTTCTTGTTGGCATTCAGAGATTGTTCGATCTGTTGTAGAAGGATGTGACGTTCCTGAGAAGTACCATAATCAGCATTTTCTGGATTATAGACGTTTTCAGTGTCATAGTTTATATTCTTGAATTGAGCAATTTCGTTTTCGGTGTCAGGAAAGCAATGAGCTACTCCACTAAGATAGATGTTGAGGCGAGGCAAGATGTCGACTCCTAGGAGTACATCAAACTCTTCAGCCATGGAATCATTGAAGTCAATGATTTCAAAGGAATGTTCAAATGTGATTCCATTCATATAAGTTACTTTGATGGGTTCGGTGCTTCCAATGCGTTCAGCTTTAGATGCACTACCATCTTTGTTCATGCTCAAAAAGGTTAAATAACCACCCAATGCTTTGATATTTTTGATAGTAGAGATTTTTTTATTCAAAACGGATTTGTTAATGATGCTAACATCTGAACCAGGATCCACCTTTCCGATGATTCTAATGTCATTGAGAAGCAATGGTGTTATTAAATTGAAAGTGTTTTTGTTTGATGTGGAAGACTTACATTCTTTGTCTTCCATAGCCTCGCGGAAGAGGTCACTTTCGCTGGACCCGGAGTCCTTTTGCTTTCCTTTGCCATTACGGGAATGACGCTTTTGTTTCTGACTACTGGAACCAGTCGTATAGGGTCGATGACCACTATTTTCTCTTCTCACGCTCAACACCTTGAACGAACCCTTCATAGCTTGGTACTCAGGGCAAGAGTGACCGTGGAACCAAGTTTTGCCACACCACTTGCAGAAAGTGTTTCCGCTGGCCTTCTTGGGTACGTTTGCCTTTTCAACTACACGTCTTGATGAAGAACCACCTTTGTTCAGACGACAGTCCTTCTCGTGATGTCTGGCCTGAGAGCCTCCATGGTTTGAGCAGTAGTAACGAGGAGCAGAAGAAGAAGCAGCAGCAGAGGAAGAGAATCCAGATGAACCGGATGAGGATGACGAAGCGCGAGAACCACCATGTCGCTTTGCGTTGACAAACGAAACAGGACACTTTTGACTGTTGAGGACGTTCATGGCACAGGTGACAATCTGACTGGCGGTGAAGTTAGAACACCCAGGGAAGTGAACACCGAGAACAGCGTTGATTTGGATCTGCCATTCATTGGGGAAGCCGAGCAAGAATGTATCGCCAAGAGTGGTATCTTCAGATGAGTAGCCTGCCTCCATCATAGCCCGAGCGAAACGGTTGTAGTACTCCTCCGTAGTTTCTCCAGATCGCATGGTAGCGGTTTGAACTTCACGACGAGCATCCAAGCGTAGAGCAGCATTACTGAACTTGGAAGTGAATTTTTCCTTAGCCATGGACCACGACTTTGCTGTCAGCAGGTCTTGATTCAACCAGAGATCAAGGTCGTATGGAATCGTGAGTGGAATGTATCGCCGCCATACATTTTCGACAGCCTTGCCTGAAGACGAAATTACCTTCTCAAAGGAGCGCAGAAAATGGTGAATCGAATCATAGGAGATTTCGTTGGGAAAGTACTTGGTGGCATGCGAACGAAGTTGGAATTTAGGTAGGTCTTGCTTGGACAATGAGATGCCCTCATTGTCACCAGTGAGTGATGCGGTGACATTAGATTCGGATAGCTTGGCTGAGTGTTTGACAGTGGAGATCAGACGATTCAGGTCCTCGATCTTGGATCGCATATCTTCAATATGCTTTTGGCCGTGCTCATTGTTCATATCAGTTCCCTCGACCATGTCCAGCAACAGACGTACAAACGAATCCCGACGCCAGACCAATTTCTTGATGGAATTCAACGTGCTAGAACCAGCAGCAGAGGAGGATGCATTACCTGATGAACATGATGTCGACGCAGACAAATGAGAAGTAACTTGAGATGAGGATTCACCACCATCATTGGGAGCATGGTTAGCCAAAGCAGGAACAGGAGAGGATCGAAATGGCATAGCATCCATCATGGCAATATCCTCTTGATGGTTTGAAGGTTGAAGTTGTTGTCCGACATCAGTACCTTGATCCAAGTGGATGGCCTGGACTTGCTGCCTAGTGTGCTCAATGGTATCGTCACCAGGTTGACGTTGAGCAGGAGAACCTTGAGCAGAGGGGACAGAAGGAGAGCCAGAGTTGTTGGTATTGTCAGACATTGTGATAAGGTTTGTTTAATAAAATATAGTTTGAATATTGTAAAAAATGCAGTGAAATCAGGTTTAAATGGATTTCACAAAAAAAATAAAGCAAAGGTAAAATACAATAGAAATCAACTGTATTTTATTTTGTGTATAAAATGAACTGAAGATCCTGGAATTGAGTAAAAAAAAAGAAGAGTATTTATACATTTGCAACTAGCTTGTAGGATTAGTGATGATAGAGAGCAATAGGTGCTGCTATTGCGATATCTGGCAAATGTTGTTGATGTTTGATTTAAAGTGGTAGTCAATGCAGGAGCACTGGCCATAAGGGTCGATTTGAGTAACCTTGATGGGCTTGGGTGAGCTATCGTCATAGCATGATTTAATGTAACCTTGATGGTTTAAAGTGTGATGTTTGTTATTGAAGCATGGAATCCTTTATCTGGGATATTGTGCAACTATGGCAGCAGGGCATAGTTGTCATATTTGAATATGCTTGTTATTGATTTAATTCTATTTGGATAAAGATACCATCACCTATTACGACCATCATGGGTGTGATTGAATACACTGTGATCAGGAGTGATTCATTCACACGATGTGCGATATAAGCGTGTATCTTTACTTTAGTATTTTTAAATGGGTTTTTGATGTACATTTGAGCGCTTTCATTAATAGATCCAAATAGCATGAATTTGAATGAGTGCTATTTGATGAACTTTGGTTTTCAATTAAGTTGCGTTTGGGTGGCTATTTCATTACAAAAACTAGTGTAGATATCAAAGGTATTTATAGTTATTTGACAGTGCCGCAGCAATAGGACCTTGATCTTGAATGCGGGATAATTGTGTAAGCCTTGAACCAGTAACGAGGATGTGCTGCATCAGAACTCATGAACCACCAGTCAAGGATAAACAACAAAGATGATCCAGGATAGAATGTTCTTCCTAATAGCTTTGACGGAAGAACATTTGTCGGAATTGAAACCCACTTCCAGGGACGAAAGGCCATAGGCTACCACTCTCCAGGAACCAGTATATAGATTAGCCATTTGATGGCACCACTCATGTTCCTTCGTGCTGCTTGAATAAAGACCTCTCACTTCTACTATGCATCTCAGCTCATTCTCAGATCCTCTTATGTAATATACAACGCCTAATACATTTGCCTCTCAGAGATGATCTATATCCTAAACACTTGCTAGCACTATTGTTATTCAAAATTGAGGCGGAGGATGTTACTGGAGTTGCTTTTTCACGTTCTCTTTCCCACTTGTCCTTAAACAGAGCGTTGTAAAAGCTGTTATCTTGTTGACCACCAAATCCACGGTGGTTTCCTCTTAGAATTGGTATTGAGAGAAAACTTGGTGTAGTTCGCCAACTCTTCTGGAAGGGCCTTGATCAAATAACGAACGATACAATCCTCATCCTGGATTTCAGCCTGATTTCGCAATTGTTGGAATTTGTCTACAAATTGATTGAAAGCCTCTCCTTGTTGATGCACTAGTCGCTCCAACTGCTCTCTTACCGCATCTCTCATATCAATGCTTGAACGACCATACTTGTTGATAACTGCTGTACGGAATTCGGACCAAGTTAAACGGCCTTGTTTAGCAACCATGCTTGTATACCAACAAGCCATTCCAGTTGATAACTTGGCTGGTATTGTGGAATTTGAGGCTTGATAGACTAAAATTCACGGAAAAAAAAGAATAAAAAAAACAGTAATGTCAACTTGATAAAGGTATGCTTTATTATCAAACTGACAGGTGTAAAGTAAACTGAAGTCTCTCTACTGGCCAGGTAGATGATTCTTCTTATATACTATAACAATGGATAAAAGTTCTATTAATTAGATTGACAAATAAGTCAACTCAGATCAACTAATGTCTAATCATGCTAAAAGACAACTCCAGCAAGCTAATCATGATTTAGCTCTGTCTGGATGAATAATTAGACTCTCATCCGAAGTACCCTGATCTATCCTTTCTATAAGGATAATTAATATCGATCTAGTATCATGTATTATCCGATAGGTACAGTCTCCTTAGTCTATATCAATAGTACATATCTGAGTGTATATCGCTGAGCATACATCTTTAGCATGTATCTGGATATATGGCATGTCTATAGCATGTCTCATATATTGCACAAGTCTGTAGTACATAAAGTATCTGTAGCTAGTATCACGGATATAAGCATGTGTTTTATAGCGTGGATCATGAAGTGCACATCTGAAGCAACAAGCTCATATTGCATTAATCTTGGTGCCTATCCAGATATAGTCAACATCCGTAGTCAATGTCGGAATACAAGTATAAGTCTATAGCGCCATCCATGTCCGTGGTGCCATCTATAGCCTATATCTTATATAGTATGAATCTTATAGTACTAGCGTATCTGAAGTTCATATCTTCTTATAGTAAAAATCGATATCGTACATCTAATCCAGTGTACATACAGCTTATATCTAAATCTGGTAACTGGATGAACTGTCGGAATGCAGATCATAGTGGATGTATTCCACAGGTACAATTCTTTCCCAGTTGTCATGGATTGATAGACGATGAGCTTGTAAAACCAGTTCAAAATGATAATGGAAATGAGAAAGCGAATATGCTATTTAAACACTAAGGCTTTACATTTTTGCTTCGCTACGGTAGAACCACCTTTAAAATCGTTGTTATCAAGTATTGGGCTAGATGCTTGAATACTATTCTGGTATTGCACCTTCGCCTCCCTATGATAAAACCTTATATAAATTAATGCTAACAAAAGCTGGATTAAATGCTTGATTGTCATGGCCATTCACCTTCGTTTGACTACGGTATAACTCCCTCAAGGCCAATGATACCAACAAGTGTTGCCTTGAAACAACATATCACGCAATCCATAGCCGAATAGCAAACAAGAAATCACTTGATCAGATACGCTATGTTCTGGGAAGAAGAGCCTTTAATCTCTGATTAACTACGATGGCGCTTTTGTGTTCATATTTTCCAGTATCCGATATATGAAACCTCCGTGGTGCTATACCATACCATGGCCTAGAGCTTACCTTGATAGTAGTTGAATGCACGTTTATACAGTACAACTCCAAAAAAATTCACTCTGAAATTGCTAGCCAGCAACCAGCAATACTCATATTACCGGAATAGTTTAAAGAACCTTCTGCCATTACATTTTAACTAAATTATTTTCCGTTATTGGGAATAGTCAATTCGATCAAATCAATTTCAAACTTTTCAATTCATTACATTCTTACCCATGAAAATGTGATATATTTAAGAAAAAACCACAATTTGACAATACTAAGACTTTCTCACCATATATAAGAACTCAATGTTAGTTAAATGTCAGACGTGAGACCATCAGCGTCTTTATATAAAGAAGTGTGGCCCAGACGTGAGCTTTCGGCGTCAGTATAAAAGAAGCAAGCTCCCCCCTTTTTTTTTCATTGTCAGGTGTCAGGTACACACAGACTTTGTGTGTAACTTTTTTTAATTTAGTATAAATATCAACTTAGTTTGCAAAACAATAAAGATCATCTTATATCTCAATTCTATTCTTTTATATACATTTATCTAAGTCTACTCTAAAACTATACCTATACACACGACACAGGTGCACACAGACTTTGTTAGTAACTTTTATAGTTAATATGAATATCAAAAATAATAAAGGTTATTTTTTTTTCTCACTTACACTGCTGAGACATATACATTTATCTAAATCTGTTACTTATACTCACAACACCATTAAATAAAAAAACACTTTGTAACATTCTATGCGGAAACTTTTTGATAATTTTACATTTATCTGCCAGTAACTTTTAAGCGAATCAGCTCTAGTACACATTCAAAATAGCATTCATATATTACGAACTGTTCAACAACGCGATGGCATAGTAAAAGCGAATATAGTACCACAAAGTTTCGAGAACCTAATTCCACTACAGTAGCAGTTTATGAAGATTATTATCTGCAGTCTGATTGGATTATTTTGTATATTTCACACGGTCATCAAGCGATTGAGAAACAGTATCTAATGAATATTGTGGCAAACATTGTATCGTATAGTATTAAAAGACAATTTTTCATGTATGTTATCTTTTTACTATCTCATGCCGTGCAATAGATAACATCCTATTAATGAAATTAAACAGTATGGGCCCGCTTCTGCAACAAAGGCAACATAATAATGTGTGCTACTCTTTGGGGTATTCAATGCATGCATCTTTAATAAACTCAGTAAATTTGTAAGCCATGTCTTTCTACGTGTTGTATTCACATATAATCCAGTCCAGCCTTTCATAGTATTGATCTATACGAGGGCTTGATTGTTGCGAAGCGAATATGCAAAATCGTAGTATCTTAGTAGTAAATTCGATTTCTCTCCTTCTTTATTAATAATGGATTGTTTAAAATCTACATTTATAGCTGAGTTTATTATTGTTAATGATTTGGAATGTCTACGGCGACAGCCCGCAGGGTGACACCGTCGTCAAGTGTAGTGATATTGCATCTAATTCAACATTTGTTGATATTAGTCCTAATCGAATATACCGTAGCCAAGCAAAGGTGTACAACCATAGTGTTCAAGCAGCAAATTTGGGTTCTCATTTGCATTGTTAATAATAAGCTTACCAGCAACATAGGGCATCAAAATTCGTATGAATTAGTCTTACAAAATCAATATGTCTCCTGTTGAAATTACAAGCTGCACAGGTTGCAGAACTTCCCTTCCAGACGGCTTTAGCTACTAAAGATGTGGTTCATGCCGTGTAAATAAAAGCTATAAAGCATAAACATAACCAAATTGGACAGTTTCCAAGCCTTCATATCTTGACATGCAGACATTTCTGAGCCACCGGAATAACGCCAAACAATTGCACTTGAGTAGTAGTAACTTTCTGACACCTTTGCTCAACTTTTTGAAAACCTAAAAAATATGGCCAAAAATCAACCAAAAAGCATGAGGTACCCCTCATGGTTTTTTACGAAAATCAAAGGATCGCATTTTTCACCTTGAAAATGAAGACTTTTACTATGGAACATAATAAATCAAAATGTTTCTCTCGATCCATAGCAACCTCTGAAACCACTGTTATGAGGCTTTCATATACAAAATATGGCTATTTTTGCTAAAAACCTCATTTCAGATTTTATTGAATTGCTCAATAGTTTCAATCAAAACACTTATTACAGTTAGCACCATCGGAAGCGCCTTGAAAAGTACTTCAAGAATGTATTAGGAAGCGTAGGGTGATTATCACAGTACATATAGTCGAATACCAAAAGATAGATTAAAGAAGTCGAAAAAAAGGCGGAATCTGTCCAATCTTGAGCAGAAAAAAATAAGCTGAGGTTGAATTAATTTTGGCGGCGGCATTGCTGATGGCTGACCTAAATGCTTTTCTGTTGATGATAATGATGGTTGCGATGTTGATTAAATGAGGATCATGGAATTGAAAGGGTAATTGCTTAACCCAAATACTTTTTTGGGTGCTTTTGTTACAAGCGAGCCTTTTGCAATGTCAACATCTCAAAAAAAAGTCGCTGTAAATCTTACACAAGTCCTTTATTTACTTATGACCAGCTTTATGTCGCCATCTTATTAAGAGAATCAGCAGCAGTGAATGATATGACAGTTCTATTATCAAAAAATAGCATTTGTGATATACAAATACTGCATAAAATTTGAATTTCTTTCGCATTGTCCCAATAATAGGCTTTGTTTAATATCAGCGTAAGCAAAAAGGATACTAAGGGAGATACCTCCTCTCCTCCTCCTGGCTCTGATACAACCTTTCTGTTACTAACTAATAATAAATTGTTTAAAATCTACTTGATATACCAAAATGTTATAATGTCTGATTTAAAACGGCTTCGATGAGAGCCCGCAGGGCGACGCCGACATCGAGCGTAGCGAGATGAATGGGCAAGTAATAAATACTGGAAGCCTTGAACATAAAAGCGTCGTAGTAGCAAATTAGAGACTGCAAGCCCTTGTCCCAAGAACACACTGCATCTAATTTTAATGATGTTATACCTGCTATACTTAGCTGTGGATTAAGTGATTTGTGGTGTCAAGGCAACATTTGCTAACCTTGACCTTAAACAGGTATAATAACCCTAAGGAAGCAAACGTGAAAAGCCATAATAAAGCAGTAAATCTAGTTTCTTATTTTCATTTGATGCAATTCACACCATAATCCATTATATTACACCTAATACAACCCATCAACATCCCATCGGTTTTTACATACACTACTAAACGCACATCAAACTACAGTCTACACGCACATCAAGACCCAACAAATAGTCAACTAGTAGGATGACTATTACTGAAACAATACCATTTAATTCAATGACATACAAGAGCGGTTACAATTACACTTAACTGTAGATTATTTACACATATCATTTACAAAAATCTACTGGATCATCACACTTGTCTTTACACCTCAGGATTTGACATTATTCACAAAGATATAAATGGGACCACACAATTCATTCAATAAAGGATCGTCTTAATTTTGCACAGAATGATAAACTGATAATTTACTGATACATTCATTTGTATGACTTTAGTTATCTAACACCTTGTTGAATATATTAG